TGGAACACCATACATCACCACATGTGAAACATTAGGGAAATTCAGGCCCATTCCCAAAGCTGTTGTTGCAACTACTTCACAGCAATTCCCTTCTCCCCTCAGTGAAGCCAACACTCTGTCCTTGTTTTGGGGGAGGGACTTGCTGTGAAACATACCTATCAGGAGGTTCTCACGTTTATGCTCTGATCACAGTCTACCCAGGCGTACTGTTGCAGTTCCCCCTTGAAGTAAGAAAAGACCCTCCCCACTGTTGTCATTTTTTGACAGTAAATAAGTACAGGCTGCATGGTTGAGCCCTTGTCCTTTACATGTTGCACAATCCAGTCTAAGCAGTTCAGTTCATTGCTGGGCACCTTGCGCAATCCAAGACGGATGTTGGTCTTGTTAGGGCTAGCGATGATGTGAACGGCACTGTCCATATGAAGTAGTCTAGTGACTCGGTTTCTGGATTTGATGTCAGCAGAGGCAGTCAACGCCAAGAAAGGTGTACCTGTCAGACAAATTTACAAAATTAAAATATATCACCCACATTTACATTAACAGTATTACTAATATGACATGTATTGATGACAGTGTGTATTTGTGTGTGGTTCTTCTGCCTGTGTCTTGCTCTATAACACTAGCTGCAGTGCATGTACTGTGGTGTCTGACTTAAGATAACACTTTATTGTTCTCACAATGGAGAAATGTACTCGTTACAACAACTCTTAAAAAAAGAAATCATAATTGTAAAATAAATGTCCCTTAGAATCTACCTATAAAAAAAATGTATAAACTGAAAACTACACTTGCACAGTGGGGTTGCTGGGGGCTGAGAGTTGGTGACTCGCCTTTGGACGCTTCACCCCTGAGACAAAAGAAACGGAATGCAAAATTGTCATCAAGCAACAATAGTCTACCCGATTGAGTATGCAAAAAAGCCTAATTTCTGCTGTTTTAAAGTTAACTTACCATTTATATGTAACATGGACTTCATCAACGACGATGCCAATGATGTTGTCTTGGTAAACAGACGAGGTTAGCATTCGTCGCCATTTGGAGTTGAGTAGCCAAGACTCAGGGCTCCCAAATACCAGGCTGAAATGTCCTTCCAAAATGTCACGATCGTCGTGCACATCGAGCTGTCCAGCACTAACTCCCAACTTCTCAGCCTCCTTGACTTGATCCTCCATTAAAGCCAAAAGAGGGGAAACGACTACAACGATAGGATTAGCTTCACTAGCATTCAGCCTAGCCATCTCCTTCACCACTAACGGAGCTAACTGGAAAATAAGGCATTTGCCGAATCCCGTGGGGAGTAAAGCCATGACATCTTTACCAGCAATGAAATTTGCTAAACATTTCTCTTGCTCCGACTTCAATTTCTGGATATTTGGGAGCAAAGCCAGAATGGATTGGAAGCTTTGTTTATTTTCACATATGCCGCCATTGCCAAACTACAGTGACTACAACCGGCGCAAATGCTTGACGTCACCTACAACACCCGCCTCCCCCGCTCACTGAATGGTAGGATGAAATTCTACCGATTGAATCGCAGCCATTGGGAGCAAACCCAGACGTTGATCCCGGCAAAAAAGATTTGACCTGAGTTTACGGATGGCAAAGGCCAGGCTAATCTGGTCATGAACAGAACAGCATTCTGAAAGGTACAAAGAAAATAAAGGTGAAACCAAACATTTAAATGTCCATTTAGAATTCAGTCTTAGAATACCTCTTTAAGGCCAAACCTCAAAGTCTGTAATATCTTGAATGGATCTACTCTCCAAGACGGTGTGTTCCATATCCTGGACCCTATGTCACTGCTGAAGGGTGGCAGTTAAACCAATGAGAGGCCTCAGATGCTTCTTCACTGCTGTTATCCGCCTTGATGAAACAACTCTGAAACATTGAGAGATTAATTAGAATATTAAAACAACAAAAGATGCTTCCATGTGCTTTCAGGTAATAATTCTGAATACCATCCTTAGTAACAAAAAGCTGTTTCTGTATACCAGTGCTTGTGCCCCTTTTCAGACCGCAAACATAATCTGTACCCCCTGTTCCTCGTTAAGATATGCATTTAAACATTCTGCCGCCATTTTTCTTCAAATCCATCAAGAGAGATGAAAAGATGGAAAGAAGTAACTTTTTAGATAAACTAGTGAAACACATCTATTCTATTCCTGTTCATGTTGGTAGAGCATTGGCCTTTGAGCCTGAAGGTTGAGGGTTCGAGCCCACCACAAGACCTACTTCACGACTCCCACTGATTACTGCTGTCGTTGTGTGAAAATGGATAGATGTTTGGTTAGGATAACCATAGGGATACCACTCAACACACACAAGAGAAATATACACCAGAGCTGTAAACAGCAGGTAAATAACTCTGGGACAAGCATTTTCTTCCACGGCACTACAAAACATCAAACTGCAAATATGTTCATTAACCCTAAACTTTATTACACATACGGCACCTTGTGTATGACACACACGACACACCAGGGCTGAGAGGACTCTGTGTTTTAGGGAGGACCAGCTAAACTGAATATAAGACATTAACCCATACTCAGTGTAAGATACTCACATGCATTAATCTAAGAGATGACCATCAGTGTGCTCAGACTGTACCTGCCAGTATAATTGAAATTCATTGATATGTACACTTTTCGGCATTTATCAATCTGGACGTGGGCATACGGTACGCACAAAATATACACAGAGTCTGGACGTGGTGTAAACTTTACACCCATCTGAACCTTCATCACAGCACTCCAAAACACGCATGCAATTCAAGATTTGGACAACAATAAACATGTTCCCACTCTGGCAAAGTTATAAGCTGCGTTTTCATTTAGCATCATGTTTCTAAATTTGAATTCGCTCATCAGAAAAGTCTAATGCAAACACGCAAACTTAAAAAAAAAAACACATATCATGATGACAAGCCTTTTCTGTTTCTTTGGTTTTAAATCTGACTTGTGCATATTATTTTCATCTGTATGTTTTTTTAAAAAGGTGAAGCGCTTTGTGATCCTGGTCTGTGAAAGGCGCTATACAAATACACTTGACTTACTGTTAATGCTGTTTCAACCACAGTTGAACCTGATAAAATCTCACACAACAAACAGACATAGTTAATATTTTACTTGTTACATTGTACAAGGAGATAATCTTGACAGAGGCAAGGCACAGACCCTAGCCTCTCTCAGGAACAGTCTGAAGATTCTCAGTCTGCAAGTCCCTTTTGGTAGAACAAAACACACCTTTATGCAGAATAGGAAAGGAAGAAACCAACTCAACAAAAGACACTCTGTATTAGCGTATACAAAGACTGCTTCCTCTGGTGTTTAACATATGAGCTCCCCAGACCTTTGGAGTCTTCCTGGAGATAAAGTGGATTACACACATAGCCACATATGATTTACCAAAATGATAATAAGTTAAGTTACATTCAATATCACTTACTCACTAACTCTGTAAATCTGTGACAGACCCTGCTCTGCGTAGTTACGCATTTATTTAGCCTCATTCCTCTCTTGCAAAACAATGTGTTTTTTCCTTAGTGTTGTGCATAAAGCCCCATGAACGCACCTGATCTTTCTCAAAACTGTCTCAGCCACTGCCTTGTCCTCTGCATGTGGCAGTTTATAGATAGGACGCTACGCACTTATCTGTGGGAACGGGCTCAAGTCTAGCCCTCCTGAGAAGTGCACAGCAGGTGCCAGGCAGTGGGGGCGGGTCCCGGCATGACGTGCGCTGACGTACTTGCAATACCACCCCGGGCCAATGGGGGTGGACCCGGAATAAGAATTAGCCAATGTAGCATATAGCATCTTACCTCTGGAAAACACCTTTACAGGATGGTCCAAAAGTTGGCTCTTGGCCCAAAGCTGCGTTCCACATGTGTGTCAATGCTGAGGGGAGTGAATTTTTTAGAACCAGTCTAGTTTACTCGTTGTGAATTTTTGAAGTCACTCGTTTAAATGACTCGCCGGCTGACGCATGCGCAGATGCGTTTTCTCACATTTTCCAGCCCCCGCGGCCATTTTGAATCACTCCATGAAAGCCCCATTTTTGGCCCATTAGTTAGAACGGCGGAGATAGGCGTGACTACGTCCGTTAATGGTCTATGGTGCCAGGACAGGTCCCACGCATCACTGCTCAAATGTGGTGCGCCTCATTCAGACGTTTTGGATCCAGAGATTCTCTGTGAAATCACGGACACTTTCCAAAAGCTTTCTCATACGCATCTTTCTCTCTCACAGAGGTCGCTCAGACACTTTACCCGGTTCATGAAGGGAGCCACCGCTGAGGCCGAGATATGAACATTCATTCATTCATTCATTTATTATTTATTTGTTTATTTATTTATTTACTTCTTAAGTTGAAGAGTGATGAGTGCTGCAGTGGGTCTAGACATGAGGGAAAAAACGTGTATATATAATAAAGACTATATTTAATTTTAAACAAAGGCGTGTGTGGCAAAAGCTTTTTTAGGCTTCCAAACAGTCTTCTTAGCCAACTTCCTGCTGACCTGCCGTCTAAACGGTGCGTGAAACAGGCGGTCTCTGAATATTTATAGGCGTGACTTTCATAAATACGATAGTTTTCACCGTGGCATTTATGAACAGCAGAAGGTGCTGATGTCTGGATCTCAGACGGTCAAATCCCACGGTGGGTCTTGCTACACCAAAAATATATATACACCCTTTTCTGCACTAGTTTCATAAATGAGGTCCAGCGTGTGTAATAAGTGTTGTGTGTAATAAATGTTACATAAACTTGTGTGAACGGTGGATAAATGACATCTGTTCTGATGTAGAAATATAAATGAGATAAAAACCTTCTTATCACAACAGTGTCCTTGGCCGTGAGCAGTCAAAGGGTTTAAAACCAGCTGCAGTCCACAGACCTCCGCACACCTCCGCACACCTCCGCACACCTCCACAGACCTCCACAGACCTCCTCACACCTTCTCAGACCTCCACAGACCTCCACAGACCTCACTCCTCCAGTGGACCATGGACACGGCTGGTTTCCTGGTTCTGCTGCTGAGTTCCTCTTTTCTCTTTGAGGGGAATTGTTTGGATGATTCTGGACCAAAGTCTGAGTCTTCTGAGCTCTGTCCGTCTGACATTGACTCAGTGCTGAGACAGATGAGCGCTGCACTGTCTGCACAGCAGGTGGAGATCAACCATATGCAGGAGGGGATCAGACAACTGAAGGAGGAAAACAGACATCTGCTGCAGGAAAACCAGGAGAACAAAGTGGAGATCAGACAACTGCAGGAGGAAAACCAGGGTAAATATCTTCTGAATCATGTGTTGAACATAGTTTAATGGCAGCCATGAATATGTTTATGTTGATGTTTATGCATGGACCTTTATTTAACCAGGAAAGTCTCACTGAGATTTCAGAATGACATTTTCAGGGGTGTCCTGGCCCTAACTTGCAGACACCAGTTTTTTGTTTATTTACAGATGAAAATGATAAATAAAAAATGACTGGTGTATGCACGTAAAGTGTGCGAGAGTTGTTTTTCTTCCTTTTCAAGTTGGCAAAGCTGTGTGCGGAGCCGGCACCTGTCAGAGTCAGATGTGCCATTGCACTTTGACATGATTAAAGACAGTTTTATTTCCTCTACAGCCATGAGGACAGAGGTGGACTCCCTCCTAAACAACGACAAAGGTTTGTTGATATAAAGGTGTTGTTCAGACCTGGAGGCGTTGGCTCTAACTCTGTCTGTGTGGAATCAGCTCAAGAGGCTGCACTGGAGCGTCTGCAGACCAGCTCCTCTGTCACTGAACACAAAGTGGAAGCTCTGACTCACGACAAAACAGGTGCAAACACATCCTTTAGTCTACTTTAGTCTGCTTTAGTCTCCTTTACTTTAGTCTCCTTTAGTCTCCTTTACTTTAGTCTCCTTCAGTCTCCTTTACTTTAGTCTCCTTTAGACAACAAAGTCGATCATAGGCCGGAGGTCGATTATCGACTTTGTTGTCGTAGCATCTGACCTTTGGCCACGTGTCTCAAACACTCGGGTCAAGAGAGGGGCGGAGCTAAAGAGAGGGGCGGAGCTAAAGAGAGGGGCGGAGCTGTCAACCGATCACCACCTGGTCGTGAGTTGGATCCGCTGGCAGGGGAGGAAGCCAGTCAGACCTGGCAGACCCAAGCGTGTAGTGAGGGTCTGCTGGGAACGTCTCGCTGAGCCCCCTGTCAGACAGACTTTCAACTCACACCTCCGGGAGAGCTTCTCCCAGGTCCCGGCGGAGGAGGGGGATATTGAGTCTGAGTGGACCATGTTCTCTTCCCCTATCGCCGAGGCAGCGGCTCGTAGCTGTGGTTGCAAGGTCCCGGCGGCAACCCCCGAACCCGGTGGTGGACACCGGCAGTAAGGGATGCTGTCAGGCTGAAGAAGGAGTCCTATCGAGCCATGATGGTTCGGGGGACTCCTGAGGCAGCTGTCCAGTACCGGCAGGCCAAGCATGCCGCGGCCCGGGCTGTTGCAGAGCCAAAAACCTGGGACTGGGAGGAGTTCGGAGAGTCCATGGAGCATGACTATCGGTCGGCCTCAAAGAGATTCTGGCAAACCATCCGGCGCCTCAGGAGGGGGAAGCAGTTCTTTGCCAACACCGTGTACCGTGGGTAGAGAGCTGCTGACCTCGCTGCTGCTGACCTCTGGTTCTACCTCTGGTTCCACCCATGGTTCCACCTCTGGTTCCACCTCTGGTTCTACCCATGGTTCCACCTCTGGTTCCTCTGTTGCAGTGTGGCAGGTGGCCTTCTCTGCTGCTCTGGTAGATTTTCGAAGTCAGAGCTTTGGGCCTGATGACACTGACACTACACTGGTCTACAAACATGTGGTCGCAAACATTGGAAATGCCTACAACCCACAAACAGGTGTGTAATGTTGTGTGTATTGTTGAGTGTATTGTTGTGTGTAATGTTGTGTGTAATGTTGTGTGTCTACTGCAGGGATCTTCACAGCCCCAGTCAGAGGAGTGTACCACTTCCATGTTCATATTTTTGAACTCTTTGGTGGAAGTCACTATGCGATAGTTTCTCTGGTGAAGAATGGGACAAAGATGGTGACAGCCTGGGAGGTGCACTCTTCGGGTCATGGCTCCTCCTCCAACTCCATGTCTGTGCTGCTGGAGGCGGGAGATGAGGTTTATGTGGTTCTCTGGAGAAGCGCTCGTATTTTTGACGACACGGATCACCGCAACACGTTCAGTGGTCACCTGCTGTTCACCGTCTGACCTGCGACCTCTGACGTCTAACCTCTGACCTGTGACTTTTGACTTGTGACCTCTGACCTGTGACCTTTGACCTGTGACCTCTGACTGCATTAAAGGCTCTTCTCTTTCTGTTCTTTGTTTCTTTTCTTTGTCAATCAACTTTTATGACACATGTCAGACTCATCTGTAGCCTCAGGGGGCGGGGCCAGGAGGGAGTAAACAAATCACACACACACACACACACACGCTCACACACATACACGTTTTTGTTACCTGGTGGGTCCCTTTGACAGGGCCGTTCAGAATGGGACCCATAGACATAATCTTTTTTTACCAAGACTTTAAGTAATACAAAACAGTCAATAGAAACCAAACAACTATTTTAAAGGAATTTTATTTTAGATTTTGTTTTCGAATTGCAGTGATTCTATTTTTGACATAGAATTTAATGCCACTCCATGTCCGATGTCTAAGGTCATCTGGTGAGGCATTAATGCAGGCCACGCAGTGAGACTTCCCAGGGACCTTTCCAGTCTGTATGAAAGGTGTCATGGTCTTCTCCACAGCCTTCACCTCAGATGCAGACCATGGCTTTCTTACACGTTCTAGGGAGAGAAATAAAAATATATTAGCAATATACACTCCCAGGGTAAGGACCAAGCAGCCTGGCTGTAATCCCCCACCTGGTACACTTACCAGAAGGGGCACTGCCACTACCATGGGGTGCATCTGGATGAATGGTTGAAGGTTCTCCGCTTGAAGTTTCTTTTAGCCCGTCCGTTTGTGAGAGGATCTCTACTGCTCTCCCTGTCGCACAGAAAATAAAAATACAAGTGGCCTTTAGGGGAAAAAAATCATACATATTTTAATAATATCAAGAATTACCTTCAGGCTCAATTTGTATCTGGTCGAGGCTCTTTCCTTCGAATTCCGTCACTCTTCCCTGCTCCATGGCCATCAACACTTTGCTGATTTTGGCCAGCTCCAGTGTCCCCTCTGGTAGTCTGTAATATTGCCTGTGGATGCGAATGTCATGGCCGAGGAAGTTGGCAAGTATGTCCATCTCATTCTCTTTCATATTGAGAACTGTAGACATAGTAGCTATGTGCTTTCTAAGTTTGGTTGAGGATAGCATCTCTGGATGCACCGCACCACTTTCTTTGGCTACCTGGCGTAGGGAGTCTGATCCCCTGATGTGGGTGTCTGCGCCCGGGCGGGAAAAAGAAGTATGGGTTATGGTCAGAGATGGAACAGGCCCTTCTGTTCTCCACCAGCACCTCCATCGAAGCAATCATTTCAGGAGTCAAAAGAACCGGCACTTTCCGACTTCTTTTCCCTTTAATTTCAATGCGTTGAAAATGCTGACACAGCTTTTTCTCAAGTTGGGACAGTCCCAGAGCAATGTCAGAATGGATCCCAGTCTTACTTCTTAAGGTAAAGGCTGTCAGTGGCATCTTTGAAACCTCACCTTCCCTTCTTCGATTGAAAATGATGACCTCACAAAGAGTCAAAACTGCCAGTTTAGACCAATGCTTAGACGTTGGCTCACTTATTAGGGTTTGCACATATTCAGGTCGACATACCTCAATATGTGCATGCATGGCTCTAACGTCCTCAGTCAGAGGGAGCAGGTCCGGAGTGTTCCACTTGGCTTGCCGGAGGGTCTGTAGGGCAGCAGAAGAAACACAGACGTCCCACCTCTTCTCAAAAAGCAGCCGGCTTCGTTGGAGGTTTTTAATAAATAGTTCATCAACACAATGCTCCATTTTTGAGTCACATTCAAGAATATCTGCTAGCTTTCTGAGGCTATGGCCGAGTTTGAGGGCCAAGGATGGAGTCTTGTATTGATTTGTTTCCTCATCATATCCAGCCACAGACCTGACTGCATCAATCACATGGTTAAAGTTGGAAGGAATAAAGAAATCCTTAATTGTTTTCAGTTTCCCTGCGGTTTTTGCTTCGTTAATTAACCTACCGACTTCTCTCATGTTCTGCCTAATGTAATCATGCTTAGTCTTATCATGCCCGTGTTTTAAGTACAGGTGCTCTCCGAGTCTCAGAATCCCCTTTTCTGCTTTGACAACACCCGTGACCTCATCCTGATGCATTGCCGAAATTAAAGACCACAGCTTTTTGCTGATGCCCTCCGGTACAGGCTGGGCTAGGGAGCAGAGGGACTGGACCCTACTTCTACCTGGTTTAGCCTGGGCATCTTTCTGTGAAAGCCGGCACCTGGCCACATGCCTCCACAGCGACTTTCGCTTAAGCAATGCCCCACAGTCTATACAGTGCAAAAACTCACTGGATTTAACTGGGGAATTTGGCTGTTTAGCTGGGACTAAAGTTCCAATGCCGGCCTTTAAAACCTCAAAATTGTGCTCACGGTTTCCACTATTCCTGATCAAATCAAACTGAAGTTTACGTGCTTTAGACTTCACAGGTAGAGCCAATGCTCTGGCTACGTCACTTTCATTTCCATGTTTTCTAGTCAAATGACGGGACATTTTGTGGCAGGACATTGAACAGTAGAGGCAGAAGTGTCTCTTGCTGTAAACTCGCCCCCCATTTTTCTTCTTTTGCAGCTGCATGATAACAATCTTATTTGCCTTTGGTTCGTCACTTTCCGAGTCTTGAAGAAAAGTGTTTTTGATTTTTCTTTTTCCATACTTTTTTACAGGTTTCTTCTTGACAGTTAAATCGTCAGAATCTGAGTCGACTTCATCAATTAGGGACTCTTGACTAAGCTGCACAAACAACAAATAATTTGTAATCATTCTATATAACAATTTGAAGTCATGACTTGTAGTCAGCACTTACCAGTGGTTTGTAAGCGTGCGCTTCAGTGTGCTCCTCCATGATTTCTTGCAGCCTAATGAACCACACACTTGCACCTTTTTCTAGCCTGACACCTGATTTCCTCTGTTGTGCTGCTCCATGATTGGCTCCAGCCTGCTGGACTGAAATTGCCCCAGTGTGCCCCTCCTTGATATCCCGCAACCCACCACCAGGGTTCCGACACATAACACACTTTTTTCAGGAAAGTAAACCTCCAGGGGTCCTTTCCATATTTTTACAGAGACTGCATAAGGACCGTTAGAAAAGCATTACCCATTGATTATTAAGCTTGGACCAGTGGGGTCCGGTGTTCGGGCCCCACCACGTAAAACCAGTCCCCATGACGTGAGTGGAATCTCAGGTTATGGAACCCACCAGGAGTTGAAAACAAGTGCACATAGACACAGACACACACAGACACACATAGACACAGACACAAACACACACTCTGTTTATCCCAAAGTAAGTGTTTCCTGAAATGCCCTGTGGTTGTTATCATTAAGTGCCATCCCGGGACGTGTGGGAGGAAGGACGGGAGACTCCTGCAGCAGATTAGGGGTTCTCCAGACACAACCACACACACTCAGGCTGACGGGGAAAAGGCTGATCCTGGGGTTTGAGAACTGGTTGGCAAGTCATGCATTTATTAATTAAGGTAGGAATGTTTAAAAATAATATTTCCAATCAAATAGTTGGGTCCCAGATGACAGTGAGTCATCGAGACGCATTGCAATAAACATATAAAAGAGTGAGAGTGTAAAGTTCCCACAGTTTAGAGTGGAAAAACATCATTAAAGCTGGTAACATTATTATTATTCTGTGTGGTCTGTTGTTTGTTATTTTGTACTACATCCTCTGATAACTTGTGTGAAGCAAACAGCCTGGACTCACTGCTGTCCTCTCCTGACTCTTGACTCTATTTTTATAGCTCCAACTTTGCAGGTTGCTCCGTAAAACCCACTCAGCCTGAACCGAGGGCCGCCGCAATAATGGCTTCAAGAAGGAACTGCATTTGGGCAGAGTGTGCACCGCTCTGCTCCAGTGGGAAACACACGCTGACCTGAGTCTAAATCATTGACCAGTAATAGAGAAAGTGCTCACAAATGATGGCACCACTGATGAGACACACACTACACACACACTAATACTACAACTTACAATACTATGCAGTTTATTCTTGTATAGCCCTTACTCACAACAGCAGTTAAAGGATCAGTATGTATAAATGTGGCCAAAAGTGGTACTGCAGCCTCTCCCACTCTCCCTGACTCAGGTTGCCAGATATGCAGACGAATCCAGCTGGGACCATAACAGCTGAATTATTGTGGTTTTATTCATTTTAAGTTGTTAATGATTTGAGAACTACAACAAAACCTCTATTAGTTTTGCGCCACATGGTACTTTACCAGTGAGATTAACTCGATGCGTTGAGTTCTGGCAACCCGGATCACAGACTTTCTGATTGGTGAAACAGCGGAGGGCGGGACATCGAAATGAAAACAATAACAAGATTTAGAGGCTGTAAAACTAATTTTGAAATCCAAATATCTCTGAAATACTGTTATCAGTCAAAGAAGTTTTGGAAAAGAGCATGTTTTATTAATGCCTTTGGACTAATTAGGGCCCTTTCAATGGTTTTGCTATTTTAACAAAACCATTGAACTTACCAACACAGATCAGAGAATCAACAGTTAAGACACAAAATATCGGACAAACAAGCTAACCACATGCTAAATTGAAGAAGAGTGTTTTAAGCCTGGCCTTGAATGTGGAAACGGTGTCTGTGGATGAAGCTGATCCCACAGTACTCCTGCTTTTCTTTATGGAACCGGCTCAAATGCATCTAAATGGTGTCATGCCTGTTCAAGAACATTTTACACTTCTGATTACTTTAAACAATCACTTTCTATGAATCAGTCTCATAAAAGCAGCATCTCTCATCAGAGGAATCCCAGAAATAGCTACAACAAAAAGAGGATTCTCAGCCTGAATGCAAGAAGATATGACGGGAATAAAAGATGGAGTCAGGCCATTGTGTAAAGCCATTTATTGAGTCCATCTATCATTACACAGAATAAAATACAAAGAGGCTTCAGTGGGCAGTCAGAGGGGCGAATCCATACACGGGGATTAGGAAGGAGCAATGACAAAAGATATGAAGACGGTTATCTGAATATCCACACAGAGAACCTTTACAGTCCAGACAAGACATTTCAATACACTGGAAACTTATTCAAGACTGATATGACGGAATCTTGATCCATTTTAATATCATTTCCATATTTGGTCCAACTGGGAGGGTTGTGGTAAAAAAGACAGAGGCTCAAACTACTTGACCTAAGTGACTGGAGAAGACACTTAGGTCCATCAAGGCCAGAGTATGTATGCACCAGTGTTGGAATGCAATTATTAAGACATTGGTATAATAATGTATTAGAGGTGATATATTCTTCACATTGTGCAAATACCTTAGATATTTGGAGCTCAACAGTCCACCAAAGTTACATTAATTTTCATGTCTATTTAACCAACATTTAAAATCACTACAGAGCCTGACACATTTGAAACTTTCCACTACCTGGGAAATGTTTCTGTTATGGCAAAGTCTATAGAAGACTTCAGATTAAATGCTTCCTGGACCTTCTATACGGCTTATATATGACATTTATCAAGTACATTTACAATTTACTTGCTCTAAAACAGTTCAATCACACGTTTTGATATATTCAGACTCAATCGCAACTTTTAATCAGCTTTTTCAGAAAGGTTTTTCCTCTTCCACCTTCATTTCACACTTTTGAAAATGCCCACAGTTGTAAAGCGCTTTGTGACTCTGGTCTGTGAAAGGCGCTGTATACATAACAATTACTTACTTACTTCTACAGTACATAAAAGGTAAGTATGTAAGTATTATTTGAAATGTTTTTTGTTAGTTTGTTTTCAATGTGATGAGGGAGAAACGTGAGATAACTTTGTTTTCAGGCTTTGTTCATATTTTATTCAAAAACTGGCTTTTGACATTGAACACTATGCTTTATAACGCTTGTATCATGTATATTCTGTAAATACTTTAAATTACAATAATGTATTAATGTTTATTAAATCTTAAATTGGCACAATATTACTGGATTCTTCTGGGTTTAACAAACCAACGCAGAAGCCAAAATATTCACTTTCTACTGTATTTCTATGAACCTTTAAGTGCTCTAAAATGTGTCCATGCAGAGTTTATGGACTTGAATAAATGCTTTTCTCTGGGTTTGGTCAAAGCCGTCTCAAGCCCGTCATCTCCCTGTCTCTTTGCGTCCCAGCACGGCGTCATAGGTCTTCTGTGTGAAGCGGTGTTGCACATGAGTGAAGCCGGCGGCCGAGAGCAGAGCCGTGTACTGGGCTGCCGTCCGCTCTCTGCCCTCCGTCTGCACCAGCATGTTCAGGGAGTAGAGCTGAGCCGTGAGGGGCCCGGAGCCGTCCTCAAAGAGCAGGGCCTCCACCACCAGCACAGCACCACCTGCACAACACGACAAGCTGGAGTAAGGCTGGAGTAAAGCTGGTGTAACAAACACAAAAACATGAACGATAAAACAGAATGCATGAAACCCGTGCTTCGCTCCCGAAAAAGATTGATTCTGTCTCAAGTTTTCACATGCAAGTATTTTCCGCTTTGAGAAAGTGGACCAGGGATCAGATCTCGCCCCAAAGCGTCACATAGACACTCTCAGGGGTCTTTCTTATGTAAGCAAAAAGAAACATGTAGATAATAACATGCAGTACAACATAAACGCATGTTGTGATTATTTTACTTTTACAGGATTCTTTCTGTTGGTGTTATGTTTGAGGGCCTTTTCCCCTTGGTTTTGTATCTTATCTATCGTCCAGGTATTTTTGGGTATTATAATTTTTTGTAAGATTGTTTTTATAACTATTATTTATAGGTGACATTTTGGATAAACCTAATGGTCGTGGGTTCGAGCCCACCACGACCCATGCCACATGCTCCCACTGATATCAGCATTTTGTTTGTTTTGGCTGGCCCACCAGGTCCAGGTCCACCTTTAGTTTGATTACTTTGGGTTTTTTGTGTTCTGGACCCGCGGTTGGGTTTTTTGGATTTACATATATATATATATATAAACACATCAAGAGTTCACTCAAGAAATTTATAAATAAAATAAATGTTGAACTCTCAACCTGTCTCTGTGTCCTCAAATATGTTTTGTCCTTCGGGTTGTAACTGTTGGGACAAACAAGGTACTTCATATTTGATAACAAACATTAGGAGACCGGATTAGCTGATTGCATTGATATCTAATGTTTTGAATGAGGAAAAAGACCTTGAAATGATCCATGCTGTAGGAAGCTGAAACCATATATCATATTGATATGCAGTGCCTTGCGAAAGTATTCGGCCCCCTTGAACCTTTCAACATTTCGCAACATTTCAGGCTTCAAACATAAAGATATAAAAATTAAATTTTTTGTCAAGAATCATGCTCCCCCCTGGACTGCCACCTTAACGTGGTGGGGGAGTTTGAGTACTCGGATGATCCTGGGAGCTAAGCTGTCTGGGGCTTCATGCCCCTGGTAGGGCCTCCCATGGCAGACAGGTCTCAGGTGACGAGTCAGACAAAGAGCAGTCCAGAAGACACCATGGACAACACTAATATGAAAACAGTGACGTCGCCCGGCATGGCGCAGCCGGGGCCCCACCCTGGAGCCAGGCCTGGGGTCGGGGCCCGTATGCGAGCGCCTGGTGGCCGGGCCTTAGCCCACGGGGCCCGGCCGGGCTCAGCCCGAAGGGATGACGTGGGCAGTCCCTCCTGTGGGCCCACCACCTGCAGAGGGGTCCGTGGTGGCGAGGTGCAGAGAGGACTGGGCAGCAGTCGAAGGCGGAGACCTCGGCGACCCAGTCCGCACACACAACATCTGGCTCTTGGGACGTGGAACGTCACCTCACTGGGGGGGAAGGAGCCCGAGCTTGTGGGGGAGGTTGAGCGATACCGACTAGAGAATAGTCGGCCTCACCTCCACACACAGCTTGGGCTCTGGAACCCAACTCCTTGAGAGGGGTTGGACGCTCCACTTTTCTGGAGTTTCCCGCGGGGAGAGGCGGCGAGCTGGGGTGGCCATTCTCATTGCCCCCATCTCAGCCGCCACGTGTTGGAGTTCTCCCCGGTGAATGAGAGGGTCGCGTCCCTCCGCCTCCGGGTGGGGGACAAGTCTCTCATTGTTGTGACGGCCTACGGGCCTAACAGCAGTGTAGAGTACCCGGCCTTCTTGGAGTCCTTGGGAGGGGTACTGGACGGTGCACCGCCCGGGGACTCCGTTATTCTCCTGGGGGACTTCAACGCCCATGTGGGAAACGCTAGTGACACTTGGAGAGGGGTGATCGGGAAGAGCGGCCCCCCTGATCTGAACCCGAGCGGTGCTCAGTTGTTGGACTTCTGTGCCAGTCACGGTTTGTCCATCACGAACACCATGTTCGAGCACAAGGGTGTCCACCAGTGCACGTGGCACCAGGACACCCTAGGCCGGAGGTCGATGATCGACTTTGTTGTCGTATCATCTGACCTTCGACCGCGTGTCTCGGACACTCGGGTAAAGAGAGGGGCGGAGCTGTCAACCGATCATCACCTGGTCGTGAGTTGGATCCGCTGGCAGGGGAAGAAGCCGGTCAGACCTGGCAGACCCAAGCGTATAGTGAGGGTCTGCTGGGAACGTCTCGCTGAGCCCCCTGTCAGACGGACTTTCAACTCACACCTCCGGGAGAGCTTCTCCCAGGTCCCGGCGGAGGAGGGGGGACATGGAGTCCGAGTGGACCATGTTCTCTGCCTCAATCGCCGATGCGGCGGCTCGTAGCTGTGGTCGCAAGGTCTCTGGTGCTGGTCCCGGCGGCAACCCCCGAACCCGGTGGTGGACACCGGCAGTAAGGGATGCTGTCAGGCTGAAGAAGGAGTCCTATCGAGCCATGATGGTTCGGGGGACTCCTGAGGCAGCTGTCCAGTACCGGCAGGCCAAGCGTGCCGCGGCCCGGGCTGTTGCAGAGGCAAAAACCCGGGACTGGGAGGAGTTCGGAGAGTCCATGGAGCATGACTATCGGTCGGCCTCGAAGAGATTCTGGCAAACCATCCGGCGCCTCAGGAGGGGGAAGCAGTTCTTTGCCAGCACCATGTACGGTGCGGGTGGAGAGCTGCTGACATCGACTGGGGATATTGTCGGGCGGTGGAAGGAATACTTTGAGGTTCTCCTCAATCCCCCCGTCACGTCCTCTGTTACAGAGGCAGAGGCTGAGGATGTTGGGGCGGGTACATCCATCTCCCTGGCTGAGGTCACCAAGGTGGTTGGTAGCCTCCATGGTGGCAAGGCTCCGGGTGTGGATGAGATCCGCCCTGATTATCTAAAGTCTCTGGATGTTGTAGGACTGTCTTGGCTGACACGTCTCTGCAACATCGCGTGGCGATCGGGGGCAGTGCCAATGGAGTGGCAGACCGGGGTGGTGGTCCCTCTCTACAAGAAGGGGGACCGGAGGGTATGTTCCAATTATCGTGGGATCACACTCCTCAGCCTCCCCGGTAAGGTCTACTCCAAGGTACTGGAGAGGAGGCTACGGCCGATGGTCGAATCTCGGATCCAGGAGGAGCAGTGTGGTTTTCGTCCCGGTCGCGGAACACTGGACTACTCGAGGGTTCATGGGAGTTCGCCCAACCTGTCCACATGTGCTTTGTGGATTTGGAGAAGGCGTTCGACTGTGTTCCCCGGGGTGTCCTTTGGGGGGTTCTCCGGGAGTACGGGGTCGGGGGTCCTCTGCTGAGGGCCATCCGATCCCTGTATGACCAGAGCCAGAGCTGTGTTCGCATTGCCGGCAGTAAGTCAGACCTGTTCCCGGTGAATGTTGGCCTCCGACAGGGCTGCCCTTTGTCACCGGTTCTGTTCACTGTATTTATGGACAGAATATCTAGGCGCAGCCAGGGGTCGGAGGGGGTCCGGTTCGGAGACCACAGGATTTCATCTCTGCTGTTTGCGGACGATGTTGTCCTGTTGGCTCCAACGAACCAGGACCTGCAGCATGCACTGGGACGGTTTGCAGCCGAGTGTGAAGCGGCTGGGATGAGAATCAGCACCTCCAAATCCGAGGCCATGGTGCTCGACCGGAAAAAGGTGCCTTGCCCTCTGCAGGTGGGTGGAGAGGTCCTTCCTCAAGTGGAGGAGTTCAAGTATCTCGGGGTCTTGTTCACGAGTGAGGGAAGAATGGAGCGTGAGATTGACAGGCGGATCGGTGCAGCGTGCGCAGTTATGCGGTCGCTGTATCGGACCGTTGTGGTGAAGAGGGAGCTGAGCCGAAAGGCAAAGCTCTCGATTTACCGGTCAATCTTCGTTCCCTCCCTCATCTATGGTCATGAGCTTTGGGTAATGACCGAAAGAACGAGATCGCGGATACAAGCGGTCGAAATGAGCTTCCTCCGCAGAGTGGCTGGGCGCTCCCTTAGAGATAGGGTGAGGAGCTCAGTCACACGGGAGGAGCTCGGAGTAGAACCGCTGCTTCTCCACGTCGAGAGGAACCAGTTGAGGTGGCTCGGGCATCTGTTCCGGATGCCTCCTGGACGCCTCCCTGGGGAGGTGTTCCGGGCACGTCCCACCGGGAGGAGGCCCCGCGGAAGACCTAGGACACGCTGGAGGGACTATATCTCTCAGCTGGCCTGGGAACGCCTTGGGGTCCCCCCGGACGAGCTGGAGGAAGTGTGTGTGGATAGGGAAGTCTGGGCGTCTCTGCTTAGACTGCTGCCCCCGCGACCCGGCAACGGATAAAGCGGAAGAAAATGGATGGATGGATGGATGGATGTCAAGAATCAACAACAAGTGGGAAACAATCGTGAAGTGAAACGAAATGTATTGGATAATTTAAACTTTTTTAACAAATAAAAAACTGAAAAGTGGGGCGTGCAATATTATTCGGCCCCCTTGCGCTAATACTTTGTAGCGCCACCTTTTGCTACAATTACAGCTGCAAGTCACTTGGGGTATGTCTCTATCAGTTTTGCACATTGAGAGACTGGAATTCTTGCCCATTCTTCCTTGCAAAACAGCTCAAGCTCAGTGAGGTTGGATGGAGAGCGTTTGTGAACAGCAGTCTTCAGCTCTTTCCACAGATTCTCGATTGGATTCAGGTCTGGACTTTGACTTGGCCATTCTAACACCTGGATACGTCTATTTGTGAACCATTCCATTGTAGATTTGGCTTTATGTTTTGGATCATTGTCCTGTTGGAAGATAAATCTCTGTCCCAGTCTCAGGTCTTTTGCAGACCATCTGACCAGAGCACCTTCTTCCAAATGTTTGGTGTGTCTCCACGAGACTTTTTATGGATATCTTTGAGAAATGGCCACTCTTCCATAAAGGCCAGATTTGTGCAGTGCACGACTGATTGTTGTCCTATGGACAGACTCTCCCACCTCAGCTGTAGTAATCTGCAGTTCATCCAGAGTGATCATGGGCCTCTTGGCTGCATCTCTGATCAGTCTTCTCCTTGTTTGAGATGAAAGTTTGGAGGGACGGCCGGGTCTTGGTAGATTTGCAGTGGTCTAATACTCCTTCCATTTCAATATAATTGCTTGCACAGTGCTCCTTGAGATGTTTAAAGCTTGGGAAATCTTTTTGTATCCAAATCCAGCTTTAAACTTCTCCACAACAGTATCTCGGACCTGCCTGGTGTGTTCCTTTGTCTTCATGGTTCTCTCTGCGCTTTAAACAGAACCCTGAGACTATCAAAGAGCAGGTGCATTTATACGGAGACTTGATTACACACAGGTGCATTCTATTTATCATCATCAGTCATTTAGGACAACATTGGATCATTCAAAGATCCTCACTGAACTTCTGGACTGAGTTTGCTGCACTGAAAGTAAAGGGGCCGAATAATATTGCACGCCCCACTTTTCAGTTTTTTATTTGTTAAAAAAGTTAAAATTATCCAATATTTTTTTTTCCACTTCACGATTGTGTCCCACTTGTTGTTGATTCATGACAAAAAATTAAAATTTTATATCTTTATGTTTGAAGCCTGAAATGTGGCGAAATGTTGAAAGGTCCAAGGGGGCCGAATACTTTCGCAAGGCACTGTATGGTTTCAGTCATAATATTCTTTTCATTGTGGCAAATATTGTAATCCTGTAACAATATTCTATTATCCAGATTAAAATACCATTTTGTTTTGACAAGTTTGAGCTTCTGAAGCGTTTCTCAAGTCTAGAGAACCCATGTTATGAATCAGTCCTTGATCAAATTCAGATGAACATACTTTTCAAACCAGAGAAAGTCATTTTATCTCTACTGTTTGACACAATGTTCAGCAGAATCAGCACAGACCTGGATTACAGGCCTCGTACACTCGGGACAGGAGCTCCACGCAGCACTGGTCGCTCCAGTCATGAAGGATTCTGGCCAGGATGTAGAGGTCGGCTTTGGGAATGGGGTCACTGAAGAAATCACCTGTAAAGATCAAAACCAATTATTACTTGATTCAACGTGTTCTCAAAATCCCAATGTTGTAATTTCTTTGTTGTTTTACAGTGATCGAACAGCAAAGTCTTCACCTGTGGTTTGAGTAACTACCAAAAAGACAAAATTGCAGATACTAGCAGTGGATTGTCTCTTCTTAGGGAAATATCCATTCATAACATATTTTGTTTAATCAAATTTGCCCACTTTGAAGGCCCTCTTATTAAAATTGTTGTGTTTGTTGTTGTTGTTGCAGTTTTTATTGAGTGATTCTGTGAACATGTTTAATTTCCCTTAAGTCAAGATTCTATTAGCTATCCATTTAGCGATCCATTCTCTTCTTTGCTTACTTACATTTATAACAATGCATACAGACTACTTCAGACTACTACTCCAGACATACAGTATCTCCCCAGGTAAACATGGATCTCCATTTTATAAGTGCATTACACCGCCAAATCTATTTACTACTGGGGTTATGTCTATGCCAATTAAATTAGATGAAAAATATGTTAGCAGCGGCTTTGTACCATTCAGCTCTAATGTGTTTAATGTTGTAAAAAGCATAAATCGCTGTGTTCTTGCATAATTTGGCTTGGTCTTGTCTAACACTGACACTGCAGACTCCCATTGTTATCAGCCTATGACAGACACGGATAAATACACAGGTCGGCATGGATCTGGCAACGAGGACCGCAAAGGATTACAAATGTGAACGCACAGGTGAATGTAGAGCTCACGCCAGCCTCCGTCGCCTTCGCCGTATTTTCATCTATTTTATTAGGAGCATTGTGTCATTTTGAGACTAAAGAGAGCTGAATGACAGTAAACAAGGTCGGAGAAACGTGGACTGAGAATGACACGCAATCAGAGCTCAGCAGAATAAGCGGGTCAAACAAAGGCTGGGCCATTCAGATGTAGGTATTTATCCTTGTGTGGGTCATTGTATGGTAATGGGCAGTGCACATCCGCAACAACATGTGCTTTCTTTGGCTCTCAAGTGGTGACTCTAATCCATTTTAATAAGGGCAATTTTGTTTGGTTGCTTTGGTTATGTAACACACACTTTCTGACTATTGCCCTCAACAAAACAACCATTCAAGTGTTCATACAGATACACACTTTCCGGGTGAAGGTTCCACTTTTAGTTTAGATCATGGAGGGTCTAAGGCTAGGGATAGAGATGATTCGGGACATTTAGAGATATTTAATTCATGGACATGTATTAAAATGTATGGACGTTGCTTACCCGCCTGCTGTAAACCAATGGCTCCTATCTATGTCCATCCCTCCATTTGGTTTCTTTTTGAATGTGCTGAAAACGGCTGCTAGTCCTGAGTAGCTCTGAAACAGTTGTTGTTTTGTGCTTTACAATTTTTATTTGTATTGCTTTTTTCTGCCTGAGATGTTGCTGCAGTACAGTGTTCATGGTTTTACACTGGTCCAGACCAGAGCAGAGAGGATTCATGGTCTGAACCAAGTGGATCAGGCGAACATCCATTGGAGGAATGCTAACTTTTGAAAACTGATAATAAAAGATTTAGCATTTTACTTTGGACCAGAGCAGAGAAAATGGTCCGAACCAAGCGACTACTCCACCTCTCCTGCTGTGACCTGAAGGACTGTTGCTGATTATTACTATTGTTATCTTTTTAGAATGATCAATTTCATTTTTTTATTTTTGCTGCTACTGGACACCTGAATTTCTCCGACGGGCGTCAATAAAGCATCTATCTATATATTTTCTTCCCACTCTGTGCCTGTTTGTCTATGTCCTTATTATTATTATTTTTCATATTGCTGCTTTTGTTAACCTGGTTTTTATGTCTTTAAGTGGCTTTTAATATCTGATGCTCTGTTTGTTTGTTGTTGGCAATAACATCAACCTGACTCGGGACGATGAAACCTCACCTTCTTGGTTAAGTCTGGCATTTTTACATTGACAGATGATCAATAATCAATCATTTAATAATCATAACACAGATAAAAACATACACATTGGACCCATTTTGTAATAAGTTAGCTGTAAATTAGAATTTGATCTCCTTCATTGTGTCGGTTATGTTGGGTATCAGCAGATATTGAAAACCAAAGTACTGTATCTGTAGCAAACATGCCCCACTCCTGTCCACCCTGTTGCCTCATATTTAATCATTTCAGTATAAAGCGAGTACTTGTCACGCCAATAATGATTTTTATGAACTCTGAGACCATCAACCAATAAATCATCGTCTGCGTAGTGCTGCTTATCTCCATTTGTATTCAGCTGAATGACAGACAATGTTATGTGTGTGTTATGAGATGCGTATCAGGTTTGACAGCCTAATACGCCTCAGCCTTCCACAGGTGATTTGTGAATGTGTGGAATAAATGAACAAAGTGGACCTGTAGCTTCAGAGTTCGCACTAACACATGTTGATATGAGTGACTGACAAAGCCTTCAAACTTCAAACATTTTGCAGCCTCATTATAGATGCTACCTTCATGGAAACCTATTCTGCTGTGGGCACCGGTGACAAAGTGTTCCCTTGACGTGCGCACCACCTTGGGCAGGTCAAAGATGGTCACAGTGCATTGTGGGTAGGCAGACGTGCAGTGCTTGGCTAATGCGCCGCTGCAGCCTGGAGGGATAAAAACACACAGAGGGTAGGATTACTTACACTGTAGTTAGCGCACAATGAATACTGATCAGCTTCATTCTTCTGAACCAAGGCACTGACAGAGACACAGTCACTAACGAGCATGAGAAATTATGTAAGGAAAAACTGTCTTTCAAAGTAAAATGGTCCTTCAGCATGTGTTTAGTTGTATGGAAACTGACGCAGAAAAAGGAAGAACATGCAAACTCCATTCAGAAAAGAATAATCTACTGAGAGGCAACAGCTCAAACTACTATGCTAAACCGCTATGCTAAACTACTATGCTAAACCGCTATACTAAACTACTATGCTAAACCGCTATGCTAAACTACTATGCTAACACATCACATAAACTAGTTTTGCGATAACATAAACAGGTTTAATGAGAGGCATAATGGTTCTCAGCAGGAAGCTCCTGGATTCGAATCCTGATCAGAACAGGGCCTTTATGATTGGTGTGAATGTTCAAAATGAAAAAACATGTAAAATAATATATTATATAAATAGTATACCTTAAAGAAAAACCTGAATTCTTCCGATTCTTTCAAGATTACTGACCAAACTATTCATGTAGACAGGATATAACACAGTAACCTGTGTTTAAAGGAGTTCAGGTCAAATGATGTCATGTTTGATGTCAGCAATCCATCCATCCATTTTCTTCCACTTCATCCGTTGCCGGGTCGCGGGGGCAGCAGTCAAAGCAGAGACGCCCAGACTTCCCTATCCACACACACATCCTCCAGCTCGTCCGGGGGGACCCCAAGGCGTTCCCAGCTGAGAGACATAGTCTCTCCAGCGTGTCCTGGGTCTTCCCCGGGGCCTCCTCCCGGTGGGACGTGCCCAAAACACCTCCCCAGGGAGGCGTCCAGGAGGCATCCTGAACAGATGCCCGAGCCACCTGAACTGGTTCCTCTCGACGTGGAGAAGCAGCGGCTCTACTCCGAGCTCCTCCTGTGTGACTGAGCTCCTCACCCTATCTCCAAGGGAGCGCCCAGCCACTCTGCGGAGGAAGCTCATTTTGACGCTTGTATCCGCAATCTCGTTCTTTCGGTCATTACCCAAAGCTCATGACCATAGGTGAGGGAGGGAACGAAGATTGACCGGTAAATCGAGAGCTTCGCCTTTTGGCTCAGCTCCCTCTTTATCACAACGGTCCGATTCAGCGACCGCATTACTGCGCACGCTGCACCGATCCACCTGTCAATCTCACGCTCTATCCTTCCCTCAGTCGTGAACAAGACCCCGAGATACTTGAACTCCTCCACTTGAGGAAGGACCTCACCACCCACCTGCAGAGGGCACAGCACCTTTTTTCCGGTGGAGCACTATGGTCCCAGATTTGGAGGTGCTCATTCTCATCCCAGCCGCTTCACACTCGGCTGCAAACCGCCCCAGTGCATGTTGTAGGTCCTGGTTCGTTGAAGCCAACAGGACAACATCGTCCACAAACAGCAGAGATGAAATCCTGAGATCCCCGAACCGGACCCCCTCCGGCCCCTGGCTGCGCCTAGAAATTCTGTCCATAAACACAGTGAACAGAACCAGTGACAAAGGGCAGCCTTGGCGGAGGCCAACATGCACCGGGAACAGGTCTGACTTACTGCCGGCAATGCGAACACAGCTCTGGCTCCGGTCATACAGGGTACTCCCGGAGAACCCCCCAAAGGACACCCCGGGGAACACGGTCGAACGCCTTCTCCAAATCCACAGAGCACATGTGGACAGGTTGGGCGAACTCCCATGACCGGGACGAAAACCATTCTACTCCTGAAACCGAGATTTGACCATCGGTCGAAGTCTCCTCTCCAGTACCTTGGAGTAGACCTTACCGGGGAGGCTGAGGAGTGTGATCCCACGATAATTGGAACACATCCTCCGGTCCCCCCTCTTGTAGAGAGAGACCACCACCCCGGTCTGCCACTCCATTGGCACTGCCCTCGATCGCCACTCGATGTTGCAGAGACCTGTCAGCCAAGACAGTCCTACAACATCCAGAGACTTTAGATAGTCAGGACGGATCTCATCCACTCCCGGCGCCTTGCCACCATGGAGGCTGCCAACCACCTTGGTGACCTCAGCCAGGGAGATGGAAGCATCCGCCCCAACATCCTCAGCCTCTGCCTCCGGGACGGAGGACGTGACGGGGGGATTGAGGAGAACCTCGATGTATTCCTTCCACCGCCCGACAATATCCCCAGTTAAAGTCAGCAGCTTCCCAGCCACACCAAACACGGTGTCAGCAATCATCAGACATCCATCCATCCATCCATCCATCCTCTTCCCCTTAATCCATTTCTGGGTCGGGGGGGTGGCCAGAGCTGCACCCAGTACACAGAGCACCAGCCTCTCACTGATCCTCCTGCAGGTGGTGAGTCCACAGGAGCTGAGATATTTCAGTAGGAGCTTCAGGCAAAGTAGGGTTAAGTGTCTTGCCCAAGGACACAACGACAGCAGTCATCAGTGGGAGTCGTGAAGTAGGTCTTATGGTGGGCTCGAACCCACGACTTTCAGGCTCAAAGGCCAGTGCTCTACCAACTGAGCTACTGTCGCCCCTCATCAGACAGATTCACATAATTCAGAATTCTGCAGCTTGGCTTCTTCTCAAATAAATGTAATGCATCAATGTTTGATTATTTGCACAATATTCACACCTAGCGTATGCTGCTTTGATATTTTTCTTTCTACAACTAACTTAACTCACACTAAACGTAGCTAAAATGAGAATTATTTCTATTAGTGTCTATGACCAGGATTGCTTACTCCTGCTACAGCTACTACAGTGGTGAAAGAAAACATAAACAATCTGAGCACGGTTCTGAATTATTTGTGTGATTAGCATCGAGATGCCTTCTTTTAGTTGCTTTATATAGTGCATAATTATTTAGTTGCCCGACTCCATTTATTTGTGCACTGTCTTGGGAAATTTGCTCCATCTAATATTTATGCAAATGCACATTTTTAATTGAAGCAAATTTTGAGTGACACTAACCCACTTCATTCATAAATATTCAAGCTTACGTTCCAGGAATCTCTAATCCACACATCCGCAGTTTGAATCCATTAAACCTGGTCATGAATGTGATTCATGAAGCTTTTCACCACTATTGTTTTAGGAACAGCACTTGCTGCGTCCTGGAGGACCTCCAGCTGTGTGGCGGAGGTCAAAGCTGTGATTTGAGGAAATTTAATAAATAGAGAGAAATACAATGTACAACACAGGAACAAGGCACACATGCAACACTCACATATTAGAGGTTCAGTTTAATAAGAAAAGTGACACATTCATGTTAATCCTTTGGCGGATTATTATCAGCGTGCATGAATTTCAAAGAGTGTGTGACAGATAATATTAGCGGCAGCGTGTGTGTGGAGGGTTGCATTGATAGGAAATCACTGAGGTGGAATCAGGGAGCACACATATGTAGTGCCTGTTGAAAAGGGGAAATAGACCTCCTGCTTGTGAATGCAGGGGCGTCTGACAGCTGCCTGCAAAGCCATGAAATGTTCTGACTCACTAACTCAAAGTATCAGCAGTACACAGACAACTGTCCAGTGGTAGCCAAACCCGCTGTCTCACACCTCAACTGTAATCTTCACATTGAACGTGTAAATAAAACAATAACATAGATATTCACTTAAAACTAAAGTTATCCACGTGGATGGACTCAACACATTGAGCAGACAATCTGTTATTATAATCCCCCTCCACAGTTAAGACATGAATTCAACAATCTTAATATTTAAACCAGTCCCACATGCAGAGATGATTGACACACACACACACACACACACACACACACACACACACACACACACACACACACACACACACACACACACACACACACACACACACACACACACACACACACACACACACACACACACACACACACACACACACACACACACACACACACACACACACACACACACACACACACACACACACACAAAAACGAATGTCGTTGGGACATGATGAGAAGCAGGATGGGACCATAGACGGTAACCATGGGACACACCAGATGCTGAGGTCCTAAATGGGACAGCAGCTCGCGCCCTCACACCCCACTGGCCACGCGCTCATTATTAGACCCCCACAGTGAGGTATAAGCACGAGCGCGTACGTGGCTGACAGACACTGTGCGTCCTCCTGCAGCCGCTGCGTGTTTGTAAGCCAACTGCAGGGATTTAATGGCTTCCCAGCGCCCCCCTGTGGTGATCTGAAGTGTCACACAGGGGGTGCATGGATGCAGTGGGTTATAATATTGGTTTTACTATTAGTTAGATAAAAACAGGCCATTTCCAGATCCATTTTTAACATTCTCTGTACCATTATCAGATTGTTGCTAAGAGGGTATAATGTGGCCACACGTCTTTGAGTTGTCAAAGTATTCTATATCAAATGCCAAAAGGAAATCTGATGAATCAATCTAACAGCTAACAGAGGCTCAATAATGTACTCAAAAACATATCTCTCTTGTTGAAACAAAGTCTTTAATACCAAAGAAGTGGAGAGGGTCTCTGAGAGCAGATTGCAAAACTACTGCAAAACATTCGGGAGCTTAAAGATTTCTGATGAAACCCAACAAACTACAAGTCCACACAGTGATCCCATCCCAGCTGTCTGATGAGAAGCTGAGCTGAGCCAAGCGTTTTGACAGACCTGCTGGATACTAAAGGCAATCCATCTCAGCGGGAACGCACTCGACAAGTCTCAAAACTTCAAATACGAGTTTTTCTTGTGGCTAATATAAAACGTTGGACAATTCTCAACTTCATGCTAATACGTTGAGACATCTACAGTTGTGCCAAAGGATCCATCTCCAGCTTTGAAGCCAAAAAATGTAGATATTTTATGTGTCCTCAGTAGGAATGTGATGAATGATTATTTTGTTGGGTGACTGATTACATTTGACCAAAATAAAAGCTCAAGTGCCACTGGAGAAGAGTTTCAGAGAGAGGACCTGTTACACATTGGGTTGTTTGATTAAAAATACTTGGTAAACACATTTCATTTAATTCTGCTGTAATTGTAGAACTACCTGAATAATAAAACCTATTCACAGCATGTTTAAGTCTATGTAAGGTTAGACAACTATTTGAATAATGGATTAGCTGTAGTAAATAGATTCATTTGTTCCAGCCCAGTCCTCGGATACCGTTCAACCAAAAACATATACTATTTGATCTCTTATGAACAAAAATTGAGTTGTTCTTAATTAAAAATATAATGTTTATGGTTTGCACTCAGGTATCCAATCAGAGAGCAGAATTGGGTGAAACGTTATCATTATTTAATACAATAAAAAAATAGCACCACAGATTTGTTTAAAATAAAGCAGGTATAAAATAACTTGCTACACAAAATGCACAGTGTTTGTACTGCTTCTCACTAAACCCCAGCAGGTGGTCTGCATCACTACTCAGCGCTTAGGAAAGTCCCATTGAGATTTCAGAATCTCTTTTTCAGGGGAGTCCTGGCCGCTGAGAGAGGAGAGCATTCCTACATGTTTTTAGTGGTAGAGAAACTGAAGGAACCGGAAGAAACCTAAACGCAGACATGTGGAGAACAAGCAAACTCTAGAAAGGCCCTAACCACAGCCTCACAATGCCCTAATTGTATTTCTGCATTTTATATATATTTCCTTTAAAATACTGTGCAAGTTTTACATTGATCTTGGAACTTGAGATGTTAGAAGAAATCCACATACACACAGATGCACAGAAAGGCCACACCTGCCCCTGAACCCAACACAAAGCCGTCCTGATGTGTGGGTTTGTTGAAATGAAAGGAGAGGCTCTGTGTGTTTATCCTCTTGTAACATCTGAATGTATATAAATGGAATTTTACACACAATCACATTGAAAATCCCCTGCGTGTCAGATCCATTCAGCTCACCCACAGCTGAATTCACACGTCCTTCTTAAATATCAAAGCTAAGTTGCTCGTTCATTTGTTCCCCTAGGCCTCAAACGGCATCATCTTCACCACATAAATAAGATGGCGTTATTAATGAGGACATAATAAGTGAAAGGGAGGTGACTTTAGCAGAGTATGGAAAGTCCCATGTTGCGCTGTCTCTTTTAGCACATACAAAGTGTGTGTGGCTGCACCAGCTGTCTCCTGATTAACCCAGAGATACGAGTGTTCGTAAATGTTAATGATAATCAACCTGGGGGCGTATGCAAATGAGACGGGTGATGTGACGAGCGGAGACTAGCAGAACTGACTTACCTCCGAGGTCACAGATGTCCTTAAAAGGCGATAGGTCGAAGGCAGTGACGACGTCTCGGCCGCAGATGTTCCAAATAGAGTTCATTAACTGCATAAACTTGACCATCTCCTCGTCAGACCTGCCCACACAGACCAGCAGACGCACAGTGAGGCGCCGCTTTGGGGAACAGTGTAACATTGTGCTTATTCTATATATTCTGTTTTGACAAAAGCAAATGTACTATTCCAAAGGTTAGGTACACTTCCCCTTTAATAGTAAGTAAGTAATGTTTTATGTATATACCGCATTTTACAGACCAAAGTCACCCCAAAGCACTTTACAATGTTCAGATTCCAGATATTTTTCCATTGAGCACTACCCTCTCCTCCTTCCTACTTTGTCTGCATTATTAGGATTTCGACTGTAGTCTGTTCAATGCTATTCACATGTTGTCCCATTGTCTGTTTAATGGCGCGACGACAAGACCCATGAACCCAGCCCCCTCCATCTACACCTGCGGACTGCCCTGCCCGAACTTTAATTTAATTCTGGCGCATCAAAGCCCCCAACCAACACCTTCCATTCACAGATATTAATATTGTGCATGTTTCTAGTGGTAGGGGAAACCGGCGTAGACACAGGGAGAACATGCAAACTCCACACAGAAAGGCCCGGAGGTGAAGTCGAACCTAGGACCAAGCTCCAACTGCTGCGCCACCATGCCGCCCTAAACATAGATCAATATTTAAGGGGAAATGACTCCCTATTATTGACAACCTGAACAAATTCAATTCCCCCACGCGGCCTCGACATGTGTACTGTACGTCTGGCTCAAAAAGTTGTAAACTGAGATTCACATTGTTCCCATCACTGCTGCTTTACTGAGAGACGAGGAGCTGATGTCTGGACCGAGCTCTGTCGACGTCAATATTCAGCCTTTGTTGGATCATGAAAACAAATAGACCTTTAACAGCCGCAGAGTTTGCATCATACTGGTCTGACATGTCAATTGAGAGGGAACTGGAAACACAGGAAGCAAGTACGAATCTTCTTCAGTTGCACCAGAGTATGAAATATTTTTATCAAGTCAAACAGAAAAGATCCACTATAGCAGGGGTCTCCAACCTGTAGCTCAGGAGCCAACAGTAGCTCGCCACCTCCTTCCAGGTAGCTCGCCATTATGCCAATATTTAAGATAAGATATTTCTTTATTCGTCCCACAGTGGAGAAATGTCAGTGTCATTGTTGCACATTACAGCAGAGAAAGGAGGACAGAGCACTCAGGTTGCACACATTAAATAGTCTATTATTTAAGATAATAGATTATATAATTAAAATAAGATAAAGAATAAAACCAACTCTGGAGCTATAATGGCACTTGGTTCAGGAGTATTTACAGATGTGTATATTGTTCTTAAGCAGTGGAGAATATGAGCAGAATAAACATCAGTAATAATATCAACAGATAAAGTGACAAGTGACAGATTTCAGATTGCGTTATTCATTATATTCTTGTAAATGCACTTACTTTGTGCATTAGTAACAGAAATGCGATGATAAATAATGATTGTACCCAATATCAGACTATCCATCCATCTATCCATTTTCTTCCGCTTTATCCGTTGCCGGGTCGCGGGGGCAGCAGTCTAGGCAGAGACGCCCATACTTCCCTATCCACACACACATCCTCCAGCTCGTCCGGGGGGACCCCAAGGCGTTCCCAGGCCAGCTGGGAGACATAGTCCCTCCAGCGTGTCCTGGGTTTTCCCCAGGGCCTCCTCCCGGTGGGACGTGCCCGGAACGGAGGCGTCCAGGAGCCATCCGGAACAGATGCCTGAGCCACCTCAACTGGTTCCTCTTGATGTCCGTGGTGGCGCGGTGCAGAGAGGACTGGGTGGCAGTCGAAGGCAGAGACCTCGGCGACACAGTCCGCACACCCAATATCAGACTAGTTCACATCAATATATCACCAAATTTTTCCCAGGGCTGCTTAAAGGAGTAGCTCTCTGCCGTTATTCTCACGGGAAAGTAGCTCTCTGGGTGAAAAGGGTTTGAGACACCTGCACTATAACAATGAAAGTTATACAAAAAAAAAAAGTCCAAGCCCCACGCTTTGTATGATGAAAAATAAAAAAATAACGCCAATATGTACGTGACTGATAGTTTAAATCAATATTGTATCATTATCAAGCCAAATGTTCTGTTTTTTTTCCAGAAAGGGCTTCTATAATTTGCATTAAATATATGGTCGAGCATCCCCACAGAATTTTTATACATTTCACCTAAAAGAAGTCAAATTTAACTATCAAACCTACATCTTTTCACCAGTGGCGGTGACTCATCCTTTGTCACAGCACTTGTCAGTTTTGCTCCTCTGCGATTCTTTCTCTCGTGTGGGATCTCGACTTTAAATTATTCAGGTGCAACACGGTGCAGCCTCAATTCTTTGGACTAAACAGTACTGAGTGAGTCATCGCTCTGAATCATCTTCCTGCCGCCGCGAGAGGTTGTTCCCCACTTGGATGAGAGAACTGCAGTATTCCACGGAGAGTGAGTGGAGTAAACAAACAGATACATTTTGCACAGGTGTTGACGCTCCTCATTCTCCATCAATTAAAACTGAATTTGAAAGTAATTGGAGAAAGGGAGTAAATGCTCAGTGTGTACGACGGTTGTGGACCCAATACAATCATGAGCTGCACAGTAAGAGTTGGATTGTCTGCTTGGAATGTAAAAGTAAAGAAATATTATTAATGTAAAATATGCAGCAAATTACTCTAATAATGAATCTGTGATCATTTTTAACTTGTGAATTATTTAATCAATCACACAGTGTTGACAAGGTGCACCAGAAGCCACAGCTGTCCTCCATCAAACATTCATTTTAATAATAATAATAATAATAATTCATTTGATTTCATTGCGCCTTTCAAGACACCCAAGGACGCCTTACAATATTTAAAAAACATCACACACATAATTAAAAAATGTCTTCCCCTTCATCCATTTCTGGGTTGGGGTGGCAGACACCGAACACACTGGACCATCAAAGCCTCCAATCAACACCATCCATTCACGCTCTCATGTTTTTATGTGCTTTTAGTGGTAGGGGAAACCAGAGCACCCGGAGGAAACCTACACAGACACAGGGAGAACATGCAAACTCCACTCAGAAAGGCTCTGTTTCCGACCGGGATTCGAACCCAGGACCTTCTTGCCGAGAAGCGAGAGTGCTATCCATCCACTCAGCCACTGTGCTGCCCTAAGTCAGGAGAATGTTGTTAATCAGGCCACAGCTTTCCCGATTGACAAAAACAATCTTCAATCTTAACTTTTGACCACCACAGATAATTTATGCACTGACTACATCATGCACTGTAGGTCATGTGGGGGTGTCTTGCCTCAGGACACAACAACAGTTTTTGCGACAGGGGTCTCACTGTAGAACTTGCACCGTGGTCCCTCATCACAGCACTAACCAGGCCCCCCCCCAGCTTAGCTTCTGAGATCTGACGAGATTTGGCGTAGCCATTCTGAGCTCCTTCCGTAAAGTGTACTTCATGACTGACAGACAGACAGACAGACGGACGCACGCACACATACACATACACATAGGTAGTTAGATAGATACTTTGATGATCCCCGTAGGATAAATTCAGGTGTCCAGTAGCAGCAAAAATAAAAAATAAAACTGATCATTCTAAAAAGTAAAAAAAAAGGTGAATATTTCCTGATTTGTTAAGATGATTTTGGATTACCATAAATATTGTAAGTAATCTTTATTTATATACCGCCTTTTCACTGCAGATCTGAGTCTCAAAGCGGTTTACAATTGTTTTTTAATTTTTTTATTTTGGGCATTTGTCTCTCACTCCACACAGAGATGGGAGCGGGGCCAGTACAGGAGGCGCATGCCAGAACTATTGTACATATTTTTAGTGGTAGGGGAAACCGGAGTACCCGGAGGAAACCTACGCAGACACGGGGAGAACATGCAAACTCCACTCAGAAAGGCCCTGGTCCGACCGGGATTCGAACCCAGGACCTTCTTGCTGAGAGCCGCACATTGTAAATATTGTATTTGTTGTATCAAGCTGCCATGTCCTTCATCTTCTGCTCCTGTGTATATTTCTGTTCTTACACAAAGGAAAAGACGACGGGACATTAACGACAGCACATCGCCTCGAACTCCCTGCGATCAAACCCTATTAGCAAACGTGTGAAACTCCTCCAGCCATGTGACCCCTAAAAACGGCTGACCGACCAATCACTGGAGCAGAGAGAGAAGCCATTATAGATTCTAAAAACAAACAAGAGCTCAAGGACGATAGCTCTGAGAATTGCGGCTTCTTTCTTGCCCTGAGCTTTTTGACATCACGGTGTCACATGCCTCCTAATGAATTCCACCTGTCGTTTCTGCGAATGGAACAAAGGGTGAATATTATTAAGAACACAAGAGGACTGCATACTAAAATAACTTTATTAATCAGAAATCAAGTTCCAAAAATGTAAATTGACAGAAAGGTAGAATTAAAACAGATTTAAGTGAACCTGAATCCTCCCATATCCATTAAAATGTGTAAAAAACTGCATTTGGACAAGATGAAATAGCAGTGACTGAAGTGAAGTCAAACTATCTTACTGTTGTTAGAGTGTTCATTGTACAGACTGACAACAACCAAACAACATGGTTCAACCTTCAATATAAGCCTACATTTAGCTTATATGTTGGGGTTTATATTTTTCCATTCAGGAATTGTGGTTAAGTCTAGGGCCAGTCATAATGGAGGTCAGTGTAAATTCCCCAAAAATATGTATAATCAAGTGTTTCATGTACACACTGGGGTAGTCTTGCACAGTTTTTCCAATGTGGTTTTACTGCAAATGACAAATGTATTCTTGTACCTTGTCTCTTGTATGTCTTACCTGTAGAGAGCCTGAAACAAATCTTTCGAGTTGACTCCAAAAGCCTTTTCGTATTGGTTTCTTCCCTCTCTGAAAGAAATATTCAATATTCATGTTATGAAAACTAGAGAACTTCCAAAAAAATCAATGTAGAAGAAAACACGTCCCGGCCCTGAGTGGCAGTAATGTCAGAAGATGAGGTGCTCTTTTGTGAGGTGATAGTCAATATTTTAAAGCAATATTTTTCAAGGCCTTCTCATACTGTTCATTCATTACTGTTTTATTGTACTGCAGTATTTGTCTCAACAGCCCGTACTGATCCCCGATGCATTTCAGCCACAAAGGCCTTCATCAGGAGAGAAAGTGTACATCAAGTCATTTCAAAAATCTGACTATTTTCCACTCAATTTAGCCGCTGCCGCTGTGTCCCAGATGTAAAAACTACTCATTTTGCAAGCAGAAAGCAAGTTGCAGCTTTCAAACCTGGAGGCAAAAAGTGTCCTCTTCCACCCAAATCTCACATCGTCTGTTCTTTCTTATCCCTGTGTGCATTATTAACCTTGGCCTGGTTTGAAGCGGCCTGTTTATTTTCTGTTTTAGCTCGTCGTGTGAGCCTGTCAAGCCCTTGCATCACGTTGTGTCCCAATTAAACAAAAGGAAATGCGTCCGTCACTTGGGGCAGAAGAATTCGACGCACCTGGGAAACAGCAGAGGAGGTTCAAAGCGGAATATTTATTTTAAAAAAGCACATTTAAACCCAACGGACCCAAGATTCATTTTGATTGGAGCCCAAAATGACCTTAGCGAGCTGCAAGTGTGAGGCTACTTCTGACTTAGAATTAACATATTTTCTTAGCATCTTGAGTTTAAATGTTCATGCTTATATTCTATTAGAGCAATAAGAAAAGCTTTATAATTAAACTGAATCATAAATATGGGAGATTAATCCGAGTAAAACAAAACCAGACAGACCTGATGGCGTCGGTGAGGTGGTGCCAGCACAAGTAGATGGTTTTGGAGCTGTACTGAATGGAGTGATATAGAGACACTGGACTCGAGTGTGTCAGGTAAACGCTGGCCTCGTCGCTGTTACTGTACGACACTGAAAACACCATCACATTATTTTATTTTTTATATATTTACTATACGCAAAAAGGATATGAGGAAGATGACTTTGCCTCAACCCCAGACTAAACATTTTCTGACACATCAATGTCTTATCACACAACACCACACTCAGCCTGAAGACCTCCTTTCATCACATACTGTATATACCAATACTAAATCCATCTGGTGAAAGATTGATCTGTTTTTGCCATCATTAATTAATCACAATGTGTATATAATCCCGGTGTGGGTTAATCCAAACAACAACGTTTTCCAGTGAGCAGAAGGTTTTCACTCTTCAATTTCATCAAAGCGTTGGCACAGAACTCTCACGCTGACTTAAGAGAACTATAAAAGGGCTACTTCAAACAGAGCTATTTCAAGACGTCCTGGGGAAGTCAGTGCTTTATTACAGTTAGAATCATCTCCAAAATGTGAACAGAATTGGAATATCACCAGCCCCACCATGTGCAGGAAACACAGTATTTTGAGTGGGATTTTTTTGTAGTTACCAAAAGTAATACATCAACAATGTTCTCAAACAACAAACTTCTATAGTTACAATGACCATCTGTGTCTAATAAAAGCATGCGGCTGTTTTCTCGGATGCACTGACCATGGCTGTATAATAATGACACTAACCCGCTTCAGTTCCCTGGTGAGCTCTGAGCAGCTCCAGCCCTGTGCACGCAGATAACAGCCTCTCCATCCCGTCCAGACTGGTCCCCAGCGCTGCAGAGAGCTGTGCCGCCGACAGGGGGCGCTGCGCCTCATGCAGCGCGTCAAACACTCCCAGTTCACAGGCTGTGAACACCGTCTGCAACAGAGAGGAGGAGGATGAGGGATAGACCATAGACTGTACGATAGATCACAGAGCAAAACAAGCTATAAGTAACATTTGATTAGAGATGAGACTGCAGACTGAAAAATGCCTTCTTGTCTTATCTAATTAATTATAAAGTGGACATTTAAATTTCAACCCCATTATGTCACTTTTTAGCCCAAAAGGTAAACTAGACTATATAATGAATAAAGTGTATTTCTGCTTCATGATTACACAAACCTCCTGCTGCTTGTTTACTCAGAAATGTTGTTCTTTAGGCTACAATCGATCTATCACTTATTATTTAAAAAGCACTTTTCATACAGAATAAACAACACAAATGGCTTTACAGTTTAGTTAAAAACAATTCCATATACTCATGATCCGTTAACCTTACCACCCAACAGACCGGCCCCAAACCAGATCTACTATCTACTATGTGACGTCATTGAAGTGCCTGAAGAATGTCCCATATGGTTTCAATCTTTTATTTCCACCTCCAGAAAGTTACTGCTACACTTAAACACATACAAAAACAATAGCATTATACCCAATAACCAAAGAATAATATATCTTAAGTGATCATTGCAATGCATTTCATATCCCCAAATATTGTGAAACATACCTGTATATGCCTGTATGTAAACCAAGAACAAGCCTGAATTATGAATCGTTGCAGATAAATACATTTCCTTCAGTGATAGTAAATTACCTTGTGTGTTTTACCTTGGAGATGAGAAACCCTTCCATGTACTGCAGTATTTTTCTGGGGTATGCTTCTGAAGTCTGGGGAGCATCAGCTTGTCTCTCCTGGTCTTCAGCCATGTCTTCCCTGGTTGTTCATGAGCACCGTCCAAACCAGAGTGAAGCCCTCGGTCCTGAAACAGTGAGAGTGGCAGTGGGCTAAGAAGATTACCCTCAGATATCCCAGATTAGGACAGGGGCTCAGACAGCACCACACAAAGAAGCAATATGGCCACAGTGCTGCATTGTTCATTATCAGTCACACATGGTTGGAGTCTTTGGGCCCGGGCTTTCCCAGAACAGGACAGTGACCCACATGGAGCCAACAGGTGACCGATGGCTTTGGACATGTGTCTGAATATGTGGCACCAATGCGACATGAGACTGGTTCATCAAAGGAAGAAATCTAAATCTTTTAAAGGAACATTCTGTGTTTATGATGAGGACCATCTTCTGTGTCTTTGTTTTTAAATCTGACTTGTAAGTGTATTTTTAATGTGTGTAATGTGTTTCAGGAACCCAGGACCTTTTTTACTACAAATAATAATAATCCATCGGTTTTATATAGCGCTTTTGAAGCGAGGCAACCAGTCTGTGCCATCGGCCCCTCCCACCACCACCAACCATTCACACCAGACTCATTCTAGGGCTAGGCAATGGGGGTAAAGTGTCTTGCCTAACGACACAGGTTTGGCACTGCACACCCGCCCCACTGTGGCACCTGCTGTTCCCAGATGTTAAGTGTCTTGCCAAGGACACAATGACAGCAGGTATCAGTGGGAGTCGATGGTGAAAGTCTTGAGGTGAGCTCGAACCTGCGGCGCGACCCTCTGGCTCAAAGGCCAATGCTCTACCAACTGAGCTACTGTCGCTACTACTACTGGCGCAGAGGTTAAGCTTGTGCCTCACAGCAAGAAAGTCCTGGGTTTAATTCCACCTTCAGGCCTCTCCGTGTCTATGTAGGTGTCCTCCGGGTGCTCCGGTCTCGCCTACCACTAAAACCATGTACACTAGGCATGAATGTAATGAGTGAGTGAATGGATGGTGTTGGGCTCTGATGCTCCAGTGTGTTCGGTGTCTCGCTCCCGTCATCACCGTGTGGAGAGAATGGAAAAATATCTGAACTTTGAACAGTTGTAAAGCGCTTTGGGGGACCTTGGTCTGTAAAAACACACTAAAAACCTTACTTAGTTTTATAGTCCGGAGTTAGTTAATACTTTGAAAGCACTTTAAACGGTGCGAGTTGACCTCTCACTTGACACAATATATTTTCAATTGCAATTTTGTTGTTACTGCACATCAAAGATCCCTCCATCAATATTTATATATATATAAATATCATAATATTTTGATATATATATCAAAATAGACATAGATAAAAAACAAGAAGCTGCCCTCGTACATTTGGGCTTGTGAGAAACCCAAGATTTTATTTGGTCTGAACAAAGCGGGTGATCCTCTGGGTTTGCTTTGACTATGCCCAGAGATAAAAAATGAAAATCAAGTCTTTCACAAATATTAGGAAATTCCAGAACCAGTTTTATTCGACAAACTTCACAGATGCTGAACATGCAACAATCCATAAAAGCCATTTTGAAAGCCAGACGGATGACCACTTATTAAAGGTGTTTTCAGTCGCAACTTAAAGGTTCATTAATGTGCTTCCTACGGTCAGCAGATGGAGACGATTATTTCATAAGATTTTCTAACAGTTACTGATTTTGGCGCAACTTATGTACAAGACATTCAGAAACACTGATGCCCTTTGAAGAAATGAATGTTAACGGCAATTATTTTTGTTGTAGCTCTGCTTAAAGTCCTCGCACTTTAAGTTCAATATAATTTACGTTTGCCGTTTTTTTTTCGAACAATAAACACAAATTGTCTACGAAAAACAGCCTGAAACCATTTGAAGGTCAGTAAACACGTTTGTTTGTCCATGTTTGTTCTTCATAACCGACCTTTCCTGGCTCTGCTCAAGGAAAGGGAGGTCTGTCCAACTTCAGGACCACCTTAAACAAATAAAATGCATTATAATAGTTGTTTCACTTTTTTGACATTCCAAGCTCATTGTGCAACATTTTTTGAAAGCACCGATGTGTCTTCAGTCTGGTCCAAAGTTTATCTTCTGACATGGCTCCTGCTGCTGCCCCTTCTGTGCCTGTGGGAGGAGCTTCGAGACCTGCGCCGGTAGCCCCGCCCCCCACTGCTGCTCCTGCTGCGGGAACTGGAACTGCTGCTGTGTCTGCTCCGCCTTCTGCTGCTTCTGTGGCGACTGGAACTTCTCCTCCTGCTGCTGCTACCGTGATGACTGTGGCTCCTTCTCCTCCTGCTGCTGCCGCCTCGACTGGGACTCCTCCTCCTGCCGCTGCTGCCGTGGCGACTCTGGCTCCTCCTCCTCCTGCCTGTGTTGTCAGGGCTTGTTCTGCGGTGCTCTGGAGCTTTGGTGTTCTCTTTGCTGGATCTGCTCCGTGATGAGTCAGTTTTGTAGTGATCTCCGCTAGCGCCCTCCCGGCTTTTCTTCACCGCCACATTCGGTACGACAACAGCCTGCTCCGACTTCACGCCGTTCACTCTGCTCAGGACCCCCAGGAGTATGTCCTGGGCTCCGTTGGGCTCCAGGCCCTCTGGCTCCTGGACATCCGGAGTCTTTTTGCCGCTGCTTTTCTTCAGCAGGTTACACAGCAGCTTCTCCCTCAGCTCCTTCTCTCGTCGCTGCAGCTCCAGTGCTCGCTCCTTCTCCACCTCCACCCTGCGGAGCTCCTCCTGCTGCCTCCGCCTGCAGGCCTCCAGCTGCTGCAGCCGCACCTGCTCCTCCCTCTGCCGCACTTCCTGTTGCCGCTGCAGCTCCTCCTGCGCTGCACGCTCCTTCTCCAGCTGCTGCTGCTGCTGAGCCTGAACAGGTGAAAACAAACATTAAACTTCTGCAGGACATCAGTGTCTTCAACAGGTTTACATGTCACAGGGTTAGGGTTAGGATGGAACTATGCAACTGCACTTGGATATGCGTCCATAAACAACTGATCACTTATTTGTGATTTTAAATAATGATTAAGGAAATTGACAAAAAAAACCCAAACAACCATTACTTCAATTGACAAATTGGCAGTTATTTATACTCATTAACGCTTGGTTGCTAGGTAACATGTCATTACATGTTACAGCTGCAGCCTTCCTCCAAAAAGGACTTCACTTTCCTATGTTTCCCAGTATAATTGGTAATATCATTAGGGACAATAATTAGTATCTTGAATTAATGTGCATATAGTCAAAGCCGGAGCGACAGTGTCTCAGTTGGTAGAGCATTGGCCTTTGAGCCTGAAGGTCGTGGGTTTGAGCCCACCATGAGACCTACTTATATCTGCTGTTGTTTTGTCCCTGGGCAAGACACTTAACCCAACTTTGCCTGAAGCCCCCACTGAAAGATCAAGGCTGTGTCGTCACTGACAGAGCACCTGCAGCAGGATCAGTGAGGGGCTGGTGCTCTGGGTACTGGTGCAGCTCTGACTGCCACCCCCTGACGCAAAAATGGATGAAGGGGAAGAAAATGGATGAATGGATGAATGGATGGAAAATCAAAGCTGAACTGGTGTAATATAACCGATGTGTGTATAGGTGCAGGATGGCAGCCATTTCCCTCAGTAGAGCAGTCACCTGCCAACAGAAGTAACTTAAAGCTGCATTACCTCACTTTGTTTTTTTATTCCTTACAAAAATCCAATCCATGTCCATGCAGTGTATTGGGATATACGTCCTTTTGATGAAAAAGTAGCGCAGATTTGTGCTGGCGTGTCATTTTATTTTAGATCGAGTTTTGATGCAACAAGGAAGGTCCAGATTGTGACCAATCACAGCGGACCACTGGCCCCCACTTTGAGAAAAGCCACAGGTCTGTGGTTAGCACAGACAGCTGAGGTAAACAAGCGGTGTAGGCTAACCTGAAACTTCCCGTGTCTTCGTTACTGCTTACTCGGCAAAACATCCAAAAGAAAGTCTCGTTCCTCCGCGCTTCCCGGTTCTATCATTCTATGGTACGCCATCCACGTGCGATCCATATTGTGAGACGTGAGCTTCGTATACATAGCGTAGCATGTAGCATGTGAGCGCAGGCTGAGGGGGAGGGGGGTAGTGGGGGGCGAGCAATAAGAGCGAGCTCACCGCTCACATTCGAACATTTCTCAAAGTCAGTTAGTGCAGCTTTAACTCAGCAAAAGAAGCACACAGTATATTCTAGTTGTATAATCAATATGCATTCAAATAAAAAACAGTGTTGTTGTGTATAGAGCACAAAGTGAGAGCAGTGCACAGGTTTTTCTTTGGCAAACACCATAATGTTTCCCAGCCTGGTAATCATGCAGGGCTCGACAGTAACAGCACAATAATGGTGAGTGCCATTTACAACCAATCTTCTGCAGCTCTTTGAAAATCAATCATCGAGCGATTAAGAAAGTACTGGCAATTTGCATAATTATCCCACCATCTGTTTACCCAGCCGCCTGCCCAGGGAACAGGGATTTAGTCTGTTGTGTCTTATTATGATGTCTTTGTGACGTCCTGCTTGATTCGTGACGGTACCTTTGCTCTGGACAGCAGCTCAGCGATCAGCCGGATGGACTCCAGGTTTCTCTGAGCGAGCAGCAGCCTCCGCTCCTCCATGGCAATCTTCATCTGGAGTTTCTTCTGCTCCTCCTCCTGCCGTTTCTTGAATTTCCGCATGTTCTTTCGCTCCTCTCTCTCCTTCAGCTTCTGCTCACGTTTGCGCAGCCGCTCCTCCTTTCTCCTCTCCTTCTCCTCTTCCTCCTGCTCCTTCTGTTTTCTAAAAAAGAAATGTTAAAAGATTCAATAAGACAATATTATTTTGACGCAATATACATCCTGCTAGAGTTTGATCAGTCGTTTAGTCTCTTTGAAGAGAAAATATCCACACATTATTTTTGTTTTCAGGGGTAGTTATTTTCACCACTCTTTTTCCAACTTTCAGACATGATCGCTTTGTCACGGTAAGCTAACTAAAGCTAGCAACATTGATGGTGCACTTTCAGATCCTTTGTAGATGAAACAATTACACCAATTATCATTTTTGTTTTTAAAAATAGCTCACCTATCCTGTTCTTTCCTCCGCTCCTCCTCTTCCTTCTCCTTTCGTTTCTGCTCCTCTCTCCGTTTCTCCAGCTCCTGTAACTTCAGCCTTTCCAGGTTCCTCTTTTTCACTGCTGCATCACTCAGGTGCTTGCTGGTGTCAAAACTCACCTGAATTAAAAATAAAAACACAAAACACCACGTTAACATACAGCAACTCAGTCAAGGGACATCGTATGCTTAATTTAAAAACCAAAAGTGTTAATTAGAAACAGATATTACCAAAACACATCACGTTTTCGTTCTTACACGTATACAAAATCCTGTCTATTGCACTATCAAATGCCAAAAAAACAAAAAACCTACCTGCTTTCTGAATAGCAGCAAAATAAGTGTAAGTAATTAGTTATTTAGTACATGCAACCTCCACACAGAAAGGCCTGGAGGTGGGATCAAACCCAAGACCTTCTTGTTGTGTCTGTGTCGTCCAAAATGCAATAGATTTTAGATACTGCACACAAATTAATCAATAAGTGATCCTTAAACGTTTTTTGTGATCAACATGGACCAATTACATGAATCATGAAAGAGTTTTCGGATTAGAAGGCACTGCAGTCTGTGACAAAGTAATGAATCTACGAGCCTTAAACCTGCTCGGCTGTGTCAATGCAGAAATAAAAAAGTATCAGTGTTTGGAGGTTATTATTAGAACAGAGTGATAGCTAGAAGAATACATAATGCAAAGTCAGAACACATTTTACCTTAATGTTACAGGCCACAGCTTTGCCATCGTCGCCCTTCAGCATTAGCTTCATGCTCCGTAGAGTGTCCATGGCTTTGGTGAAACCGCCGTACTCCACAAACTGGATATATGCCTCAAAGTTCAGGTGCCCTCCGAAACTGAACGTGTTAAAGTTTTTATCCAACATGTCCTCTCTGTAGGGGTCCAGCATGGGGATGTCCACTTTCCGTATCTGGAAAACAATTGTAAAAGTATCATGTAAATGCGTTTTAAAAATATATATATTAAGTTGGTTTAACATTTGATAGTTTTAGATACACCATGTTACCCTGAGTCTTCATGTTAGATCCACGAGAACCACAAGATTGATATGACTATGACTATTATTAATGATTTTAATATGGCCTTTTTCATTCACTTTCTGCGTGAGATTGAGAAGTTAGGGCAGTTACCTTTCCAAAAGTCTCAAACACAGCTATGAGCACGTCCTCAGATGGCCGGTCAGGGTGCGGACTATCCTTTTGGCTGAACCAGCGACCGGGCAGTCCCTCCAGGTGGATGGTGTCGGGCCGCTCTCCTGGTAGTGCTTCATTCATGTCTTTGGCGTCCCGGAAAAACGAGTCCCAGTCGTGACGTGTTGGACAGTCCACTTTGTTTTCCACGGCACGGACCTGGAGAGGACAGAAGCTAGATGTGATACAAAGTTGAAATTCTTATCTTTAAACTTCACTTTAATTGAATAGATAGATTTAGAATATGTCTGATCAGAACAATTCTCATAGACACACTTGCAGCACAGAGATAACAATCACATGTCTTTGTCAACTGAAGATAGAGCAGGTTATTTCTTGACTTAAAGGCACACCGCGGACTTTGTGACCTAAAGAGTTGACACATATGAGTTATTTTATATGAATACTTGGGCCAATATACAGCGCTTGACACTTGCAATGCTCCGAGCGGGGCTGCCCTCTTGAAATACCGCCCATGTAAGTTTCGAGCAGACGGACCGTCTGCCACCAGGTCACGTGACTTGGAAGAAACACTTGCTTTACGGCTACAGGCGCTGATATACTCATGGAGCTAAGGCTTTTGCTACTCATTTTTCACCTGCTCGACTCCTGGTCATGGCTGAGGCAAGGAAAAATTTTAAACCTTCGGAGGAGGCTAAAAAGAGGAAACGCGAAAGGGATCGTGCTGTAAGCTGCATGTCTGTATGAGCGCTGCTCTTCACCTGGTTCCTGGATGTCATCGACTGCAAAGATGTCATTCCACGCAGCACGAGCTAGACGCAGAACTCCCTCATCCAGGATATAGAAGTCCATGTGTGGTAGATTACTAATGCAGCGGTCTGGAGGCTGACCACAGCAGAGTCTCTCAATATCTGTAGGCATGTCTCTACAGTTTGAACACACACACCAGTGCATGCTGTCTGAATACACACTCAAAAGACACCGGCTGACTGTTTGTTGACTTTTGCGACAGTGCTGAGTTGCTTGTGGCCACTAGGGGCGCTAAACGTGAAAGTTGCAGGTCTAGCGCCCCTAGTGGCCAAGAGTTACACGGTGTGCCTTTAAGTAAGGATAAGTCTCATTTATTTTTGAGGAGAGTCCTGGTCCCAGAGGAAAAGAACTTATCGCACACATTCTTATCTCATTTGATTGTTCTGTTTTTGTTTACTTTTTAAATCACAGGTGAAAGTTTGGCATAATTTTGGAACTACACAAATCTGAAATAATGGCTCTTCATCATTGAGAGCAGCGTTACCTTCAAAACGTCAGTGAATCCACTCAGCTTGATCGTCTTTCCGTCCAGGCGCGTTAGGAGGTTCTTCACTACAGTCTTGTTTTCCACTTCTCCTTCAAACCGGATAAAGTCCATGGTACTCTTAGAAATCCGGAGGACAGAGAACTGCTCTGGGGCGACCATGGACTTCACTCGCTCCATCACCTCCCAGTTGGAGATGCTCTTCCCCGGCAGCTTGAGTTGAGGCAGAGCGACACTGATGGTCATTTTGGCGATGGGTTTGAGGTACAGGTTGTAGTCGGCAGACAGGCACACAGCCTCTGAAGTGTCATGGACTATTGTGGTGGTCATTGTAACAGCAGGGTCCAGCTCTGGGTAGAAAGAACAGAGAAGTGCGTAAGTGCAACAGGTTACTCTTTCAACAGTTTTAGAAAGTTTCTGTCAATGACAAAATCATAAGAAAGGAACTTATTGTTACCTTAAAGAATTATTCAACAACAAAAGGTGTTGCAGCATCACTGCTTCTCATAAATGTAGAAAATCATACACGGATTTCTTTTAGGGTTCTTAGGTTGCTAGTCTGCTAGTCTACATACTGTGATCTAGGCTGGGGTAAAACAACTCTTCGCAATTAATATAATTGACTACTTTTTCAAAAAAACATGTTTTAATTAAAGCATCCCGTCTTATGTTTTGATAAAACAGTGTGGAGGCAATTTGTATTTTATTTTATTTCCGTATCAGACCGTAACCCACAGTTACTGTAACCTACAGTAGCTGTACTGACATGTCAACAGACACTTACAGATTTCTCAGGACCGTGATCAATGTGGTCATTTTTGTTACAAATTTGGCGTTTACTAAATTAAATTCATCCATATGTCAGCCAAAGATTGTGTCTCCTGTAAACGCTTCTGCAATGAACAGGACGTGCCAACTTTCTTTTCATCCACATCTATAGATTTACACCGTAGAACACCGCTGTTTGCCCTGATCACAAACATTAAACCACATTAGTAGTTAGTGTTAGACACTAATGTTCGCCGCTAGCACGTTACAGCAGCTAAGGCTAATGTGTTCTGGAGGAGCTTGGGAACATTTCTAACATAAAGCCGTCATCTGGAGTAAAACAAACTCTAAATCTGTCAGATTCCACTCACCTCACATTGACAACATGTGTATAAACCGTTTAACTATCGATTACAGACCGATTAGCGATCGTGGTTAAAAGGAAAACATAGCAAAACGAGCTACTTCGACTTTACCGGAAGTGAATCTTGCTCTTGAGTGCACCACGTGTGAACAGCGCCCCCGTGTGGCCAAATGTGCATGTTTATTTAACACGCACATTGTGTATGTTAAATAAAAGAACATAATCAGGTAGTATCATAGTATACATATTTGTTGAACCTAAATGACTGAGATTAGTAAATTCATTGTTTCAGTTTCCGAAGTTATATTAAGTTAACCCTTTTTAGCATCAAAGCAACATAAGCTCTCTCTTTATTTTTTTTTATTTTTTTTAAAGCGCCCTGGTTTCCCATAAAAAAAATCCTAAAATGTTTCTGACATATTTTAATTCCATTTATTTTTACAATGGATTTTAGTAATCTGTTAGACAGTTTACAGAGTAAATGGCTTTTTTTTTCTTTTATTGTAAAAACAAATCAACGAAAGAAAACCATATTTGTTATATTTCTGCCATTTGGACTTTTGGGTGTGATGTCTCTATAAATCTTTCTATTTTGAATAAGTCTTTCACTGCATGTCACAGTGAGAATGTTGCACGTTTGGACTGAATAGCAACAGTGAATGGATTGGACACACGGATAAATGTCCAGTGGAGGCCCCAGGCAGGAAAGTTGGCACAGTTTCCCTGAAAAGATGGCATAGGAATTTACATAATAGACATTGCTCTCGAGCTGTGAATGTAGGTCAGTATAGCCTGCACAGTCACAGTCCAATGGGCAGCCACCAAATGACATCCCTGCTTTGGGCTATGAGGCCAGGGGACGAGTTGAGACACAAAAATACTGTAGTAGTTATGTAATAAATAATGTAGGCTACTGACTATTACTTAAAGTTCAACAAAGTACAATAAAAACAGGGGATTACTGCATTCGGATTAGGTTGTAAGAAACACATGCTTTACGGTCCACTCATACACCAACTGATCTTCCCTCTTGCTAAAAGGACATATCCTACGTGGCCCTATTAAATTAAACATAAGTTAATTGATGTTCTGTGTAATCCGATGCCTCCTGGGGTGTTCCCCAAGCGGCAGGTGCAAGACTGCATGATGGGAGTGAGAGGTGGCCAGCTTGTGGACAGGAAGCTGTGGATAAAGTCTGAACAGAGGACCACAGCCGCACGGGACGGGGAGCACAGGGACATCAATTATTCAGCTCTATCGGTCCAGGACAATCTGCTGCTTCAGCAGGACTACCAGCTGAGGAGACACTTTCTCTCCGACACAGTGATGGTAGAGTAAGTACATGTAGCTCACATTAAAGGGATACGTCTGTTAAAGTACTTCATTCATTGTAGAAAAGGATAATGTAATGCGACATGTGTCATATATAGTTTCAGTGCATGAAGCCTTTTGTATTGAAAGGATGTATTTGTTTTATATTCTCTTCGATACATGTTTTTTCTTGTTATTGTGTAAATGCAAATACAACTTGCAATTGCTCAAATACATTTAATCAAATTAAATTAAAATATAAAGAAAAAAAGGATGCTTAAAATGTAACAACAAATAATCTAACAAATAAACAACTCTTGCTTTATTCACATCCAGGGATGACAAATACAATAAGTGGCTCAGGTTTGACAACAGATAAACTTCACAGAAATGATTAATGAGAAATTGAAAAAATCTAAAAACTGCACAGCAGGAAAGAAGTCTGTATTCATGCTCTTTACAAAGTGTTAATGATTTTTACACATTTACATCAAAGTTTCTCCACGATTTGTGTTATCAAATGTTAGAGGTACATTCATTTAGATTCAGGATTCATTAGGCAGTCGTTGAGGTTTTCAAGGAACACAGTAATAAATTAAATGAATTTAGAGCCAAAGATCGTACATGCAGGATGACACACAAGGGCAGTACAGCACGTAGCACCTCAAAGTGCAGCGGAAGAGAAGTAGCTTATCTATGACATGTTGACATCTGCAACAAAGTGCTACAATGTAATTACAAAACCAGGTTTTGTTTTCCATTAGTGGCAATGTAAATGTTTTTGAATATTTATTATAGCCTGACTGACGATAGACTTGTGTTTTGGTTTCGGCAAAGGCTTTGGGACAGAATCTTGACAGAATTAGAGATATCGTTTTTCCATTAAAAAAGGCAGTTTCATCGAGGTGGTTCTCCCCAAACAGCATCTCTGAATGAAACAATGTCCTGTTCCTTGCTTCCTTTTGGTTCAAATCCAGACTTTAAAACATATTTTTTTTTACTATATACTGAAAGACAGTCACAGGTCCTTTGATGAGTGGAACGCTGCGTTACTATTTGACTGAAAAATACACCATCATTTTACAAATGATTATTGACATTTCTATTTTCAATAATAGGTCCAAACTGACTTGAGAGGCCTGTGAGAGCACTCTTCCCAAAGTGACGCAGTGCAAAATGTAGAAATGACAACGATTCCCAATCAGTTTTGTGTAAAAATATGCTACATAATTAAAGGTAAAAGGATGGAAACATATTCTAGCCGAAAACTGAAACGAACAAAATAAACCTGCATATAACACATACATCATGACTATTTCAACAAAAATCAGTTAAGTTTAGTGTGACGGAAAGTATAAAAACGCAATTAGTCATTTTCTTCTAATAAATAAATTGATAAACTATAAATGATAAATATTTAAATAAAAAGATAGAGATTTGATATAAACTTGTGCTTTTGAAGTTTTGAGGATTAGGTCTTTTAAAAAACTGCATGAAGAACATTTAGTTTTTCAGTATAACTAGAAAGAATGAACGTTATCAAAACATTTTCTTGGCAGTTTGAAATTCAGCAAAAAGAATCTAGCGGCCGGTTCTGCAAACGTTTCTGCATCAGCACCAAGTCAAACATGTGCAGAGTGACTTTGTGTGTTGGATTATTAAAACTCCAGGCAACTGGGAGCAAGAGTATTCACTTCACTGTTTTATTCATGACTGGGGACTTTTGCACATGTATTCCAAAGGGGTTTTACTGCAAATGGCAAATACTATAAATCTGATATGGTGTAGACCCATAACACACACAACCTGTTTATTGCTAAGGAGACAATCTGGAAGTGTCTTGATTCTGCTGGTTGAAGTTTTAGATTAGATTTTGATTTCAACTTTTTTAATTTAAATTCTTCACTCCTTTTCACATAAACAATAGGCATGGCTCACCTCCCAGCTGCCTGGAACATAGCATACATAGCATAAGGGCGTGTGCACACTTTTAGTCATGTCGTGAGAATTCGGTTAATAAGAAAATGCACCATTAATCTGCTTTGAAATATAGTAGTGAGGAGTGGACTGAGACGTCACTGGAGAAAAACTCTCTCGTGGGAACTACCGACTAACTTCTGAGCCGGACAAGAACGAGGCTGATCCGTTCCTGGATATTCCCAAGCCGAAGCCAATTCAGGGATAGAAGGCACCTGATTGGTCAGTTATTAGAGGTCATATCTAGATTCACGGCGATTAGGAACATAACCCATGAGCACTTCTCTCATTCGGCCTGATCAAGGAAGCAGTTTAGAATAGTCTACTCCTTCTGATCTGCGATTCTCTCTTATTGGTCAATTGAACTCGGATCACTTCAGATGAATGAAAACAGTCTTGAGTGCGTTTAGACAAGACATGAGTGAAAACCGAAGTCTTCAAGTTTATTTTTTGAATGTACTCTGTGTTTTTACGCTTTGTATTCGCGCTCACTGATCTTGAGTGGTGTTTTTATATCTCCACATATGTAGCATAATCACCATAAATGAACCAAATCCACCTAAATATGACCAAGTGTGAACACGCCCTGAAACCTTTTTGTACTTTTGTATTTTACCCAAACAGATTTGAGAGTGGCCGAGGTCGCATTGGACTTTTTGGCAGTTCTTTGTCTGTAGCCACATCTCCAGAGTCCCTGAAGGAGGTGCTGTGTATGATCTGTGCTCTGTGGCGCCCCCTATGCAGGCGAGCGTTCAGGCGGCTCAAAGAGGACTTCCTCTGTACCCCTCCTTTACTCTTCCTGTCCTCTGCTGCCTCTGCTGGTGGGTTCAGGAGGCGCAGCGGGTTGAGGCTGCCCTGAAGCACTTTGGGAAATCGCCAGCGCCCCCCTGTGGTTTCGGCAGTGGAGTTTTCGTTGGATTCGCTGTCAGGTGAAGAGACCACGCCCTCCTCTTGTAGACCTGCCACCAAAGGAGGAGCGAGGTACTGGAGGGCCCGCCTCCCGCTGTAGTCCCGGGCTTCAAGGTCCGCCTCCCAGTCCGACAGCAACACACGCACAACCTGGAAATGAATTATTATTGTGAGTCACTAGTCGAAAGGTTTAATAAATGTCCCTATTTTGGAGATACACAAATACAACGTTAATATACATAAGTGTAATAGATTTCTTTATCTTATTTCGATTATCAAAATAGCAGCTCTGTTTTTCATCTAATAGTGATATGGAGAGGGCCCAATTATATATTAATACTAATAGGTAACAGCAGTAGTAACATGTTTAAGAGTCTATGAAAGAGCAATCGGAGACCTAGCAGCACATGTAGCAGGAACCCAACTATCAAACCACAAAACATGCAATTGTAAAAAAATACATATAACTAGTGTTTTGCAGAAGGACAACCCTCACTCAATAATTTATCATTCCAAAGGATCAAATAGCAACTCACAGTGCTCAATGTTTTCTAATGAGATTAATACAGCATGTGGTAGTCAGATTAGTTAACAACATTTAAATTTTACCAGACGAGTCCAGACAAGTCCAGACGAGTCCAGACGAGTACATCATTCCTACACTAGAAAATGTTCTTTATATTCCGTATAAAACCTCTGATTATCTTCCCCTGGCTGCACATGAACAATTACCACTGTCTATTACTGTCTGGAGCAGCAATATGTGCCCGTGCATGTGACCCACCTGTATGTGCCCGTGCATGTGACCCACCTGTATGTGCCCGTGCATGTGACCCACCTGTATGTGCCCGTGCATGTGACCCACCTGTATGTGCCCGTGCATGTGACCCACCTGTATGTGCCCGTGCATGTGACCCACCTGTATGTGCCCGTGCATGTGACCCACCTGTATGTGTCCGTGCATGTGACCCACCTGTATGTGTCCGTGCATGTGACCCACCTGTATGTGCCCGTGCATGTGACCCACCTGTATGTGTCCGTGCATGTGACCCACCTGTATGTGCCCGTGCATGTGACCCACCTGTATGTGCCCGTGCATGTGACCCACCTGTATGTGCCCGTGCATGTGACCCACCTGTATGTGCCCGTGCATGTGACCCACCTGTATGTGCCCGTGCATGTGACCCACCTGTATGTGTCCGTGCATGTGACCCACCTGTATGTGCCCGTGCATGTGACCCACCTGTATGTGCCCGTGCATGTGACCCACCTGTATGTGCCCGTGCATGTGACCCACCTGTATGTGCCCGTGCATGTGACCCACCTGTATGTGTCCGTGCATGTGACCCACCTGTATGTGCCCGTGCATGTGACCCACCTGTATGTGTCCGTGCATGTGACCCACCTGTATGTGCCCGTGCATGTGACCCACCTGTATGTGCCCGTGCATGTGACCCACCTGTATGTGCCCGTGCATGTGACCCACCTGTATGTGTCCGTGCATGTGACCCACCTGTATGTGCCCGTGCATGTGACCCACCTGTATGTGCCCGTGCATGTGACCCACCTGTATGTGCCCGTGCATGTGACCCACCTGTATGTGCCCGTGCATGTGACCCACCTGTATGTGCCCGTGCATGTGACCCACCTGTATGTGTCCGTGCATGTGACCCACCTGTATGTGTCCGTGCATGTGACCCACCTGTATGTGCCCGTGCATGTGACCCACCTGTATGTGCCCGTGCATGTGACCCACCTGTATGTGCCCGTGCATGTGACGCACCTGTATGTGCCCGTGCATGTGACCCACCTGTATGTGCCCGTGCATGTGACGCACCTGTATGTGCCCGTGCATGTGACCCACCTGTATGTGCCCGTGCATGTGACCCACCTGTATGTGCCCGTGCATGTGACCCACCTGTATGTGCCCGTGCATGTGACCCACCTGTATGTGCCCGTGCATGTGACCCACCTGTATGTGTCCGTGCATGTGACCCACCTGTATGTGCCCGTGCATGTGACCACCTGTATGTGCCCGTGCATGTGACCCACCTGTATGTGCCCGTGCATGTGACCCACCTGTATGTGCCCGTGCATGTGACCCACCTGTATGTGCCCGTGCATGTGACCCACCTGTATGTGCCCGTGCATGTGACCCACCTGTATGTGCCCGTGCATGTGACCCACCTGTATGTGCCCGTGCATGTGACCCACCTGTATGTGCCCGTGCATGTGACCCACCTGTATGTGCCCGTGCATGTGACCCACCTGTACTGTATGTGCCCGTGCATGTGACCCACCTGTATGTGCCCGTGCATGTGACCCACCTGTATGTGCCCGTGCATGTGACCCACCTGTATGTGCCCGTGCATGTGACCCACCTGTATGTGCCCGTGCATGTGACCCACCTGTATGTGCCCGTGCATGTGACCCACCTGTACTGTATGTGCCCGTGCATGTGACCCACCTGTATGTGCCCGTGCATGTGACCCACCTGTATGTGCCCGTGCATGTGACCCACCTGTACTGTATGTGCCCGTGCATGTGACCCACCTGTATGTGCCCGTGCATGTGACCCACCTGTATGTGCTCGTGCATGTGACCCACCTGTATGTGCCCGTGCATGTGACCCACCTGTATGTGCCCGTGCATGTGACCCACCTGTATGTGCCCGTGCATGTGACCCACCTGTATGTGCCCGTGCATGTGACCCACCTGTATGTGTCCGTGCATGTGACCCACCTGTATGTGCCCGTGCATGTGACCCACCTGTATGTGCCCGTGCATGTGACCCACCTGTATGTGCCCGTGCATGTGACCCACCTGTATGTGCCCGTGCATGTGACCCACCTGTATGTGCCCGTGCATGTGACCCACCTGTATGTGCCCGTGCATGTGACCCACCTGTATGTGCCCGTGCATGTGACCCACCTGTATGTGCCCGTGCATGTGACCCACCTGTATGTGCCCGTGCATGTGACCCACCTGTATGTGCCCGTGCATGTGACCCACCTGTATGTGCCCGTGCATGTGACCCACCTGTATGTGCCCGTGCATGTGACCCACCTGTATGTGCCCGTGCATGTGACCCACCTGTATGTGCCCGTGCATGTGACCCACCTGTATGTGCCCGTGCATGTGACCCACCTGTGTGCCCGTGCATGTGACCCACCTGTATGTGCCCGTGCATGTGACCCACCTGTATGTGCCCGTGCATGTGACCCACCTGTATGTGCCCGTGCATGTGACCCACCTGTATGTGCCCGTGCATGTGCCCACCTGTATGTGCCCGTGCATGTGACCCACCTGTATGTGCCCGTGCATGTGACCCACCTGTATGTGCCCGTGCATGTGACCCACCTGTATGTGCCCGTGCATGTGACCCACCTGTATGTGCCCGTGCATGTGACCCACCTGTATGTGCCCGTGCATGTGACCCACCTGTACTGTATGTGCCCGTGCATGTGACCCACCTGTATGTGCCCGTGCATGTGACCCACCTGTATGTGCCCGTGCATGTGACCCACCTATATGTGCCCGTGCATGTGACCCACCTGTATGTGCCCGTGCATGTGACCCACCTGTATGTGCCCGTGCATGTGACCCACCTGTATGTGCCCGTGCATGTGACCCACCTGTATGTGCCCGTGCATGGCCGCCAGGTGCAGAGGCGTGTATCCAGCGCTGGATCTCACGTTCACATTCACAGACACACCGTTAGCTTTAGCAAAGTTCAGCAGCTGCGATATCAGCTCATCCTTGCCCTGCTTGGCCGCCCAGTGCAGACACGTAAACCCGGTCACAAAGTCTTTCTTGGCCACTAAACTGGGCTCCACCGTGAGCAGCGGCTGGAGGCTCTCCCACAGGCCGTCGGACGCACACAGCATCCACTCGTGCTCCATGGGGTCCAGGGCCACGGAGGTGCAGTCTTCATCTGTGTTGGAGGAGAGGATGGACGTGGAGTCGCCTTCACTGCGGATCGAGTCACGAAGACGAGAGCCGCGGTTTATCAGAGACCTGCGCACCTGGAAAAGTCCGAAAAGAACAATTATAACAGGATTGCGATTTTGTCTATGTGAAGTTCTTCATTCGTAAAAGTGCAATACATATTTTGTCCAGGCTTGACTACTGGTTCAAAGCGTCTGTATTCTTTGTCTGGTTGATATCCTGAAGATAACAGTACAACAACGTCTTCCATTAAAGAAAGTCGACTGATGAGCTACATTATGATAAGAACCCAACAAAAAGCAAAGCCACCCATATATTGAATTGTAACATGTCATATTGTCATGATAATGCCTAATATATTATATAAACTGGCTCTAAAAAAGATCAAGAAAAACACTTGTGAGAAAAGCGAGGCAGATCAAAGCATAACGTGTAAGACCTCTGACCTTTCAGCGATTTTTAACATCTGTGTAATAATACTGTTCACGAATGATTCATAAATGTCATACAAATATTCCTTTTGTCTTATGACGCTCACAAGTTGCCTCAATAAAAAGAAACCGACCGGCAACCAGTATATATTAAAATATTCAAAGTATTCCAGTGTTTATGCGTCACCACAGGAAGCTAAATCCAGAGTGTTGTGGCAATTGTTGAGAGTGTCTTGCCACTGTAAGCAGACAGTAGCTTTAGCTTAACGTGTGCTCTTGAAAAAATAAACAGATTGAATGTCCAGATTTACGGATTAACGGAGAAATGTGGTTTTAATGGAGGCACAGATTTCATGGTTTCAAGCTAACAGTTTCAATTCCACATCAAATGCAGTTTTCCACAAAATAGTACAGTCAAAAAACTGTTCCATGGCCTAAACCCAGGTCAGCTTCCACATTACACTCACTGGTTCCCCCTACTGTCATTAAAAGGAACTGCACTTTACCTTGCCTCACCCAAACACACAAAATAAAGCATAGGTGCCTACCCAAATAAAATTATTAACTTAGAATCAGCATGTTCTTAATGGGAAATAAAACGGCCAGAGTCATATATCAACAAATTCTCACAGTCAGAAAAATAAAAAAATATTCCAAATTGAGTGAGCACCTGAGGGGAGCTGTTCATCATGAGCTCGATGAAGTTCCTGCGGCTCCCTTTCGGCGTGTGTATGTCCCCGATGGTCTCCAGTCCCTCCAGGCTGTTGTCCTCGGATAAACAGCTGGTGAGGATGGCGCGCTGGGAGCCTTTAGACACACGGCGCAGGGCCCTCAGCTGCTGACTGTGGGCTCCGGCGGCATGCACCTGCTCCAGTTCCAAGGCCCCGATCACTGGAGCCGACTCCCGCCTCCTCCGCTCCCGCAGCCTCACCTCCGCTGTCCCGCCCCCACAGGTAAGGGTCGCCTCCTTGTGGGTCTGGGGCACTGGTGCTGGTGCTGGCTGCTTGTTGCCATTGGACTCTTTGTGGTTGTCAAGCGTATCAGCGGGTGGACTGGAAGCCTCTAGAATAAAAAAAAACTTAATCAATAGGACTGCTTGATCGACTGGGCCTTTATGAGAATGTCTTTGGTCCATAACAGCACTAATAATAAATAACTTGACCAATGATATTCAAGCATTTACAGATTATTATTCTAATAGCTATTTATCTTGTATTTGAGGCAATTTGAGCACTGAAAATTCTCCACTTTGGGAAAAATAAAGGTTGTCTTATCTTAGTTTTGCCTAATAAATATAGTTATATAGTTTGTCCAAGTAGAAAGGGATGATAATTGAACAATACAGGTTTATGATCATGTAAATTTGCCTTCACATGAGCTGCATGTCCTCAGGCATCGCTTTGTCGAGTGGTCTGCTGAGGATGATATTGTTGTAAGATAGTACACAGGCCTGTTTCATGTTTAGTCACATTGCTGGAGGGGTTTGAAAGTAGGCCAACAAAATACTATGGTACTCTCAGCATTAATCTGATTTTCATTGTAGAGAAACGGAGAAGCTCAAAGACAACAGCTGAAGTACATCATTTTGAATAAAAAAGTATAAGTAAGGCTATAAGCAAATCAGAAAAACAACTTATAAAGACGGAAAAGTGAAAAAGAAAAGGACCACTCTCACTCAGCCAATCAGCTCTCAGGTTCTATAGCATGACAGCATGTTATGGTCTGATTTGTTTGCAGCATTTTAGTCTGACAAAACTCTTATGTGTTTTCTTGTAAAAGTTTGGTATCCCAGCTTAAGGATAATAATAGTAAGTAAGTAATGAGTAATCTTGTCAACAGTTATTTTCTAACTGTATTATGTACTTAAAGCCTGCAGCCCAATAAGAATCACAGCTGCATTCAGCCAGCAGCATAGGATATTTGGTCTCTAAGGATCTAATGGTCTGTAATCACAGCCTGGCTCACCTGTTTGCTGCCTGTTGTCAGGGTTGCCATTGACAAAATGAATATTCCCATTGCATTCTGAATGAGGCTGGCCGTGCGCATCCGTGCCTGAACGCACCACATCTTTGTCGTTGTTTTCGTTGTTTAAACACACCATTTTCTCCCCATTTTCCACTATTACAGAGCCCACTGAGTCCACGATGCGTCTGACCATCTCGCGTCTCTCCCCTGATTCATTCTCAGCACAATCCGATAGGAAATGATCGACCAGCTCCATCATTTGGACCCTCCCTCCTCGGTCCTGTAGATACTCCCGCACGGATTTCTCTGTGCATTGAGATGTCATTGTTTCTGTGGTGGAATTATCCCAAACGTCAAAGAAAGACGCGTCAAAATAGCGTTGTTTTCAAGTAGCTGCCATTTCCCACGTTTTGGTGACAGCATGACAGCATCTTCATCCTCCTGCTCTCATCCTCTGTGGGAAAAACAGCATTGTGTGCATGCAGAGTGCTCGCCGCTAGAGGGCGCAATGAGAAACGAATACAGAAATATTATTAAAATATTACGTAACAATAAAAAACAATAACATATCCTTGTATGTGTTACGTTTGGTAAAATGAGTGCGAATCAAATATATGTACATTTATACATAATTTATTGTAAACATAGGGAACATCTTTGATGAGTGAAAGAATGTACAGAGCGTACTATTGTAGTGTGAAAAGGGGGGCCGGGACAAGTTAGCGCGTCAGTTAGCTTCAATCAATGCGTAACAAAAGTTTAGTTGTTCATGATTTGTATATATTCATGTTTTAAATGCAATAATAATGAAAACAACATTATATCGAACTATAATAGCGTTATATGAAACCTGTAACCGACCCAGATCTCCTTTTATCGGAGTGGTACGGTCTGCTCAGTTGTCGACGCAGGACGGTCACATTGGGGCGGTCTGAGAGGATTCTCCTAAAAACTCTTTTTCACTTCATTCTTTGTTTTGTTGAGTTTGTTTCATTCATTGTTAAAAGTGTATGAATCATGGCTTCCTCAGATGTCGCTCGCCAGCCGGTATGTGTTTTATTCAGAGATTCTCGCAGAGTTATCACACATTCATGGTATTCCAGGGAGTGTCTAATGCTAATGTTAGGTTAGCCGCCGCTAGCTGTGAGAAAATACTTCTGTGTTTTGATGACTACAGAGAAGCAAACCATCCTCCACTCCCTGAACTACACATAAAAGGCCTAATGCAAACATACTTTTAGATGCATGTCTTCTTTACTACTGTTTATTGACTACTCAAAGATGCCCAAAACTTATTTGTTTTCTCAAACTAAAGAAATAATTATCCTACTGGTAGCACATACTGTATTTCTAGTTCTTATGAAGAGCCGTTGCTTTGTACAATCAGGACATGATTATGGGACACAGGTCGTTTTCAAATTAATTACGACTTCAGGGGATTTAAACACTCATTCATTTGTCACTCACAATAAAAGCGTATAGTGAATTATACATTAATTAGGCCTCAGGTAATGAACATATGAGAGGTGAGAGAGGTTGGACAGTAAAACATTGATTTGTCATGTTGTGTAGCAGGGTTTGTGAACCATACAGTACAGACCAAAAGTTTGGACACACTTTCTCATTCCATTAGTGCCCTTTTTTCATGACTATTGACTGTAGATTCACACCCAGGCTGTGTAAGGGCTATTTGTCCCATAAGGAGAGTGGTGGGGTGCTGGGCTAGATGACCCGGCCTCCTGTCACCGGACCTGAACCCAATCCAGATGGTTTTGGACCTGAACCCAATCCAGATGGTTTTGGGGCTGGACCACAGAGTGAAGGCAAAAGGGCCAACAAGTGCTAAGCATCTGTGGGAACCCGGACCATTTCAGGTCCTCTTGAAGCTCATCAAGAGAATGCCAAGAGTGTGTGAAGCAGTAATCAGAGCAAAAGGTGCTACTTTTGGTCTGTACTGTATGTATATTTACTTTATTTTTGTTGCGTGTCCAGGACAAGAACATCCGCCCCCTGAACTTGGCTGGACATGTGGGCTTCGACAGTCTGCCCGATCAGCTGGTCAACAAGTCCATCTTCCAGGGCTTCTGCTTCAACATACTTTGCATTGGTACAGACCATTATGAAACTCATGCATTCAATAAACCATCTTTTGTTGGTTTGGTGTTACTTACATTTATGTGTTGGTTCAGGTGAGACCGGCATTGGCAAGTCAACTTTGATGGACACTCTTTTCAACACAAACTTTGAGAACTTTGAGTCGTCGCACTTCGAGCCTCAGGTGAAGCTTCGTGCTCAAACCTACGACCTGCACGAGAGCAATGTTCGCCTGCGCCTCACTGTGGTCAACACGGTGGGCTTTGGAGACCAGATGAACAAGCAGGAGAGGTTGGACTCTCTTCACTTTAGTTTCTATTATGTAAAAATTGATATATGTTGATAACATTCAAATTGAATCAATGTGAATGTAAGGAGCATGCAGAAAGCAGGCATTTAAAGCAGCAGTAAGCGATTTGGTCGTTTCCGGCAGTTTCTTCTGCCTGAGCGAGTTAGTAGCCCCGCCCCCGTCCCCTCGTCACACCACATGAACGCGCATCGTGTTGGTGATGGCAGCAGCATGTTCATCTCCGTCAGGTCTACGTAAGTATATCAACAACAAACTCTGGGAGTGAAATATTAGCATAGAATAGCTCAGTTGTAACCTAGCTATAACACTGGAAGCAGCTTGGTGTTAGCTAGGATAGCATCACTAAGAAAGAGATAAAAACAATCTAGTCTTTTATAGAATACTGCTTTTATAGTTGGTACACTGATAACTGTTGTGATAAACATAATGTTGCAGATTGCAGTGTGACGTGTCTCAACATTATGCACAGATGTTAATCTGTTACAGTGCATATGTATTAGATGAATGTAATGCATATACATAACAACAAAGCTTTACATGAAGGTTATTTAAAGTAATACATTACTGCTACTTATTTCCTCACAATTTGTATATTTGGAGTTCTTTATAGACAACACTGTAGTAATGTATTATGTGAAAGTAAAGCTGCATCTCACTGGAAGCTGCCTTCTCAATGTCACAAAATAAAGATACATTTATTGATGTAATCAACATCTGTATTATGTGCTTATTGTTCAGAGAATGAAGACAAAATCAAAGTGTATCAGAGCTGTACAGTGAGATGTGGGACTGAAACAATTCCAGTAAAGCTTGTCCGAAACGCAAAAGTACTGTCATAACTAATTACGTTACACTATTACACTGTAAGGAAACTCACCACTTTGAAAGAAAAGCTACAAGTAACAGAATATATAAAGTCATTTGTCATAACGGTTCTTTCAGGAAGCACTGAACGCCCTCTGTCCAGAGAAGCTGATGACCAGATCCTTTCCCTGATGCGTCTGTGAAAGGTGCCAACAGACATTGAAAACGTGCTTTCCTCAGCGGCCCCCATGGTGCACGTCCACTCTGCAGTTCTGAAATATGTTTGTAGTTGTACTATTTCAAAATAAAAAAAAAAAAATACACCTCTTTCAATGTGCTTTGTTTTATAGTAGGAAAACAAATACAGTCTGTAACGAGTCTAAGAAACTTTATTATGTAAAAGAAGATTTGAAGTTATAGCCGGAAAAATATACACAATGTCCCTACTAAGACAAATAATTACAAGTGATGGTAAGGCAACGTTTGTGTTATCACTTTTTGCTCAAATGAATAACACTGTTATTATCCAGGTCCTTATCCATCGCTGCTGCAGCGAACACTATCAGAGATATCTAACAAAATGTTAATCTTTATGTTGTAGCTTGTTTGAACACATTTCCTCAAAATAATTCATAAGCAGCCACGCACACACAGCCACAAGCACACACAGTCACACACAGCCACAAGCACACACAGCCACAAGCACACACAGTCACAAGCACACACAGTCACAAGCACACACAGCCACAAGCACACACAGTCACACGCACACACAGCCACACGCACACACAGTCACACGCACACACAGTCACACGCACACACAGCCACACGCACACACAGTCACACGCACACACAGTCACAGCCACGCTTCAGGGGCCCAGGTTGAAGGAACTGGAGACTTCCTCTGGCAGAGATTTTCCTTTGAAACACAATAGAGGAGACATCAGTTTTATCTACTCAAATATGACTTTGATATATTCATCATCAACAACATCAGTATTTATTGATCACCAGGAGTGGCCCCTGATCCACAGGATCCTTGAACATGTTTATTTGGACTGTGAGAGACTGTGCATTGTGAGAGAAAGACACTTACATCGGCTGTTTTGGGAGTCGAGTGATTATCTCACTCCTCTTGATTGTTGAAGAAACTCAGCGACAGTTTTGTCAACACTGACTCCTGGAACATGATCGATATTCATTTTGGACCTCAGGGCAGCAACACAACTGTAGGGATGAACGACACACACATCACAACATCATTATCATAATCACTGCGTCCCATATATGCATTCACAACAACCTACATGACAAATGTGGGGTGTAAAGTCTTCCTCAGGAGATGACAATGGCCATTCTTCTAATTCTGGAAGCAAAGTCTTGTCTTCCCAGTCAATACTAGAGAAAGAAGAGGTCAGCAGAAAAGTATCTAGTCGTTATGGCATTGTTTTTTTTTTAATAGTTATTTAACTTGCATTATGGAGGCTTTTGAACTCTTGTACATTGAAGACCTCATTCCAATTGATTTAGGCCATACCTGGAGGATAGGAAGTACTTTGTGGAGATTGGAGACTGCGTCTCAGATCATGTGGCCCTGACCTGTGGAGTACCACAGGGGTCGATCCTGGGACCTCTCCTATTTAATCTCTACATGCTGCCGTTAGGTCAGTTAATACAAAGAAACAAAGTGTCCTACCACAATTACGCCGACGACACTCAGATCTATGTCTCACTGACTGCAGGAGAACATGGACCACTGGATTTGCTCCTTCACTGTATCCAACAGATCAGTGACTGGATGCAAAATAATTTCCTCCAGCTAAATGCAGACAAAACCGAAATCATTGTCTTTGGTCCCCAGAAACAAAGAGAGGGCGTCATTTGTCAACTTCAGTCTCTCTCCCTACTTCCTTCAGACAAGGTCAGAAATTTGGGGGTAATACTGGACTCAGACCTAAATTTCAATAGCCACATAAAATCAATAACATCAACAGCTTTTTACCATCTGAAGAACATTGCCAAAGTTAGAAATATAGTGTCCAGGGCAGACTTGGAGATTCTTGTCCATGCATTTGTCTCCAGCAGGCTAGACTACTGCAATGGCCTGCTTACAGGTCTGTCCAAACAGACCTGTAAGCAGCTGCAGTACATCCAAAATGCAGCAGCTAGAGTCCTGACAGGAACCAGGAAGTATGACCATATTAGTCCGGTCCTCAGGTCTCTGCACTGGCTTCCTGTGGCTCAAAGAATAGATTTTAAAACAGCTCTGCTTGTGTACAAGTCTCTCCATGGCCTTGCACCAGAATACATTAGTGACATGTTGGTGTCATATGAACCAGCCCGGACTCTGAGGAGCACAGGGACTGGCCTCCTGCTGGTGCCCAGAGTGAGAACCAAACATGGGGAGGCTGCGTTTCAGATCTATGCAGCTAAGATCTGGAACAATCTCCCTGAAAATGTGAGGGAGGCGTCTACTCTGTCAATGTTCAAATCCAGGTTAAAGACTGTTCTGTTTGCCTGTGCATACAACTGAAGGATTTTATCTCCATTTTTAATGCACTGCTGTCATTTATTTATTTTTTTAAATTTCTTGTGTAATTTTGAAAGTTTTAATGGTTTTATTCTTTTGTGTGATTTTAATGTTTTAATTGTGTTTTAATCTTTTGTGTGATTTTAATGTTTTAATTGTGATTCTGGTGTTTGTTTTATGTGATGATTTGTGATGTGGACTGTGAAGCGCTTTGTGTTGCCCTGTGTATGAAAGGCGCTCTACAAATAAACTTTTATTGATTGATTGATACTGGAAAAGATACAGAGAAAAGAATGCAATGAAGACATGTAAATTATTACAATGTCTATATTATATCATGCTCATAATTTATTTGGTAGTAGTCAGCAAGACTTTTCTTACTTATTCTCAATACATAATAATAAAAATGTATGTAGTGGTCACGGAAGTTAGATTTGAGGTAAAGAGATATTGTTTTTATAACAATAAAACTAATATACAGAGTGCAAGTTGCAAAACTTAGTCATTGAAGAATGAAATGCAGACCTACATATATATATAGTGCAAGCAACTATGTTTATTGGCAAAAACAAACGATTCATACAGATCAGAAGTGATCGTAGCAGCCACATCATATTCACAACTACAGACAGCTAATGCTAACAGCTAACGCTAATGCTAACAGCTAACGCTAATGCTAACAGCTAACGCTAATGCTAACACCACTTCACGGGGGAACTCTGGTGATATGGTCATTTAATGTTGTACATGTGGGGAACTAATAATTGACCGGAGTTTATGTTGTGTTGTCTGTTGTTGTTTCTCAAAGCTAAGCCAAGGTAATGCGCAGTTATTGCCACAAAATGCGGCCGTATTTCTACAACAGCTGGGGATTTTTAACTAGCTAACTTGGTGAAAACCCGCATTACAGTCTCAGGCAACAATATGTATAAATAAAACAACTACTACTGCCACTACTGAGTAACATGCTCACCTGTTCAGTCGGAGAGAGGAATCCACGGAGCTAGAGGTCGCCAACATGAGTGCAGCTGGTCACCATGTTGCTCCTACTTTTTGTCGTTCCTCTGTTTCTGGCGTTTTGCCTGTATTTAATAGATCCATGCCATGGTATTTAGTCTGCAGCAGCGCTGGAGGCGGCTTTTCCTTCTCCGCCATGTTTGTTTTGAAGAGTGCGCGTGCACACACGGGAGAAACCCCTTATAAGGCGTGCTCTCTCGTCATTGGATAAGCGCATAGGATGTGAGGTTTTTTTATTATATAGGTGGGAGAAGACTGGAAGGACTGAGAGATCCGTGTTTAGGTACAAACACTCTATATAAGTGATGGCTATTGGAATATATCAATATTTAAGACGTATATTAACACCCAAAAATCGCTTACTGCTGCTTTAATGATTGTATTTGTGCAGTTACACTACAAGACCTGAAACCTGTCTCAATGGGGTCGGTTTCTGAAACATTGGCAATTTGTGCATTCAAATATACTTTGGAAAACCCTGTATTTTCCCTGATGATTTACACAAACCTGATATACTTTCATAATACCATGCAATTACTTTTACTGGAGCTGTCATAAAGAGTTAAACATGCACACTCACATTTGATGACTTCTACAATGATGACAACTGCTTGGACAGCGCATCCCAGAAGGACCTGGATCTACTGCACACGCACTCATACTCTCAGCACTAACAGTGTGTGAATCATCTGACTAAACATTTCACCAAACTACTGTGAACACAGGCCCTGTGTACATAATTAGTTATGACGTTTACATTAAGAAAACACTCATGAGGTTCCAGTTGTATGTGTACTAAAGGTTGAGAACAAAGACGTCTCATATTTATTTCATGCGGAATGATGAATTGAACCAAATTGTGCGATTGCTGAATCCTTGCAGTCCATACATTTCTAAGTTTTGTCACATTTCTATCTACATTTTAAAACAATAGTTAAACGTCAAACTATGTATTATGCTAATCAATACAAAGATTGCAATTATTTTAAAATGTGTATACTTTAAGAAATAGTAGCTATTTGAAAATGAATCTCATTAAACCAAACTGTATTCCCTGAAATGCTAGCTGCAGTATTGATGGTGAGAGGTCAGAAGTATGGTTACTATGGCTAAGTTAATCAATTAGCTTAATAACACAAGCCCCCAATTAAATGTAATCTAAAATTTGAGCCCAACACATTATTAGGCCAATGATAAATTATATACTTAACTTAACAGTCTACATTTTTGACCCAGTTTTGGTTTAAATATTTCACAAAAGAATATTAATCGCATGTTATTTGTCAATTATACCTTCATAATGTAAAAAAATAACCACCAATGCATAACAATAGCTATCCAAGAAATTGTCTTGTTCAGTTTTGCTTACAAACAAACAAACTCTTACGTTTTAAATTTAGCCCCAGACCAAAATCTGTCAAGTCCCGCCTTCATTAAACTATCTTGTGGTTTTTTTGTTCATTTTTGTGTATCATTGTGGCTTCGAAATGTGTGTTTTTGGTGCATTCCTGACCATCATTATTTGGTTGTCAGTTACCAGCCGGTGGTGGACTACATCGACAGACAGTTTGAGAGTTATCTACAGGAGGAGCTGAAGATCAAACGCTCTCTCCACAACTACCACGACTCACGAGTCCACGCCTGCCTCTACTTCATCTCCCCCTCCGGACACTCGCTCAAGTCTCTGGACCTCGTCACCATGAAGAAACTGGACAGCAAGGTGCATTTTTAATCTAATTATTCATGTATATACTAGCTATAGCAGCTTGTACATTCTCCCATATGCAAATATATTAATCTGTGTTGTAAATATTATCCTATACTTGCGCAATAGATAGATAGATACTTTATTGATCCCCGCAGGAGAAATTCAGTCCAGCAGCCGCTTGGTTAGGACCATTTTCTCTGCTCTTGTCCAAAGTAAAATGCTAAATACTTCATTCGCTTTTTTCAAAAAGTTAGCATTCCTCCAGTGGATTTTTATCTGATCCACTTGATTTGGACCCTGAATCCTCTCTGCTCTGGTCTAGACCAGTGTAAAACCATGAATCCTCTCTGCTCTGGTCTAGACCAGTGTAAAACCATGAATCCTCTCTGCTCTGGTCTAGACCAGTGTAAAACCATGAATCCTCTCTGCTCTGGTCTAGACCAGTGTAAAACCATGAATCCTCTCTGCTCTGGTCTAGACCAGTGTAAAACCATGAATCCTCTCTGCTCTGGTCTGGACCAGTGCAAAACCATGATCCTCTCTGCTCTGGTCTGGACCATGGTCCAGTGTAAAACCATGAATCCTCTCTGCTCTGGTCTGGACCAGTGCAAAACCATGATCCTCTCTGCTCTGGTCTAGACCAGTGTAAAACGAAAGTTACGACTGTAACTACGGTTCTATGAATCCTGGATGACCGCCAGAGCGTCCAGTCCCTCAGGGCCACAGTCTGCTTGCGAGGTGAAAAGGGGCTGGGCCTCGTGTCACGTGACCTATATAGACTCACGGGGGTCACGAGGAGGTCACAAGTGACTTTGTTGTCATTTAATTCTCGAACTGCGCATGCTCAAAGATGATCATTCAGTGCTTAAAGCACCGCCTCTGGCGGTCAGGAAGGATGAAATAGAACCATGAATCCTCTCTGCTCTGGTCCGGACCAGTGTAAAACCATGAATCCTCTCTGCTCTGGTCTGGACCAGTGTAAAACCATGAATCCTCTCTGCTCTGGTCCGGACCAGTGTAAAACCATGAATCCTCTCTGCTCTGGTCTGGACCAGTGTAAAACCATGAATCCTCTCTGCTCTGGTCTGGACCAGTGTAAAACCATGAATCCTCTCTGCTCTGGTCTGGACCAGTGTAAAACCATGAATCCTCTCTGCTCTGGTCTGGACCAGTGTAAAACCATGAATCCTCTCTGCTCTGGTCTGGACCAGTGTAAAACCATGAATCCTCTCTGCTCTGGTCTGGACCAGTGTAAAACCATGAACACTGAACTGCAGCATCTCAGACAGAAAAAGCAATACAAATTTAAATTCAAAAGCACAAAACAACTGTTTCAGAGACACTCGGGACGACTATCGCACTACTGCTTAGATGTTTAAATACATTTTGTTGCGTTGTTTATTTATTTTCATTTATTTATTTATTTAAATTGTGGACATAACAATACATCACATATTACAATTACATTTAAAATAACTGTCGTCACACAAATGAAAAGGAGCATCTTATGTTGCCTGCCCCTTTCTTCAAACAAATTAAATGAAAAATTAGATGGACTTCAGCTAGGCAAGGCAAGGCAAGTTTATTTGTATAGCACAATTCATACACAAGGCATCTCAAAGTGCTGAACAAGATAGCATTAAAATCATAAATAATCACAGAACATTAAAAAAAATCCCTCAGTTGTATGCACAGCTAAACAGCACAGTTTTTAACTTGGTTTTAAACATAGTCAGAGAGGAGGCCTGTCTCACATCTTCAGGAAGAGTGTTCCAGATTTTAGCAGCATGAATCTGAAAAGCAGCCTCCCCATGTTTAGTTCTGACTCTGGGCACTAACAGGAGTCCAGTCCCTGTGCTCCTCAGAGTCCTGGCTGGTTCATATGGGACTAACATGTCACTAATATATTTTGGTGCGAGGCCATGGAGAGACTTGTAACAAGCAAAGCTGTTTTAAAGTCTATTCTCTGAGCCACAGGAAGCCAGTGCAGAGACCTGAGGACCGGACTAATATGGTCGTACTTCCTGGTTCTAGTCAGGACTCGAGCTGCTGCATTTTGAATGTACTGCAGCTGTTTTACAGCCTGTTTGGACAGACCTGTGAGCAGGCCATTGCAGTAGTCTAACCTACTGGAGACTGGAGCTCTCCTTGTCCGCAATGTTCTGACTTCTAATTTCACAAACGTATTATATGATGTTCTGGTGACTGATGGCCTCTGTGATTGTATGGAGATCAGCCGAAGGAAAGGCTCCAATATCAATCAATCTTGGAAATGGTCTTGAATGAAAAAAGGTGATTTGTGGCAGAGAAGCATTTTGTTACACACAGCGGTTCGTATTCGGTGTGATTGTCGCAAATTGTCTCTCTATATTAAAACTTACTACTAAAAAAATGACAATGAGCCACAAAATAGAGAATAAATAACTATACAACACTTTTAATGGCACCACAAAGTAATTCTAATAAAGTAAAATCAAAATCATCCAAAAACTGCTCAGAGAATCTCACGTGTCCTTTTAATGTGATTTTCTTTCCTCAGTAACGATACTTCCTCAAATAAGAATCTAGTTTTGATACTAGTTTAGTATCAATGAATATCTGATTTTCAATACTTTTGACAATCCTGTTCAGACATGGACCTTCGTCGTCCCAGAGGCAGCTGTGGAGGGTAACAATGGCCAACAATGAGCTTTTAAACCTTTTAATGTTAACTCCTTATATTATTATTTTTGTGATTTTCTAAGGTGAGAAGAGAGAAGAAGAGGGCCTTTATCCCCACTGCTGTCAGACTGTACAATAAGTCACTTTAAGTCACTAGGACTGGAACAAAAACCCGCTGCACTACTATTGCCACTGTTTCTTAATTGCCACCTTTTTATTGTACATTATATATTCTGCATTTAACATGTTTGCACAATTTTTTGTTCACACACGTTTTTTTCCACGGCAGATGTGACATGTGACCTGTGTGAGATCAATAAAGTCTATCTCATCTTATTTAAATATTATAGGTCAATGAGGGAGATTTATGTTCTAACCTTTGACTCAAAAAGTGATCCACCAAAATGTTGAGGAAACCATTAAAGGGTTAAGTCGAATGAATCCTCATAATTCTGGCAAACACAAATGGATGAAGCGTTTCCATTTTCCTGTTAGTGCTGGTTTTTAGTTCAGGACCCGTCTGTGGCAGTCTCTCCTCTTGGTGTTTTCATGGTCCAGCTTTTTCCCTTTTTCTCTCCCTCTTTCTCTCTCTCCACCTCAGTCACTCCGCTCTTTCACCCTCCCCTCTGTGCGGTCACAGACTTTCCCAGGCTCTCTGTGTGTGTGTGTGTGTGTGTTGTGTGGCCACTTGTGTGTCCATTGCACTGTGTGATTTCACTGGTGCATAGTGTCAGTGCAGCCCTGGATTTGCGTGTGAAAAGAGCAGAAAAAACAGCGGAATGCCGTAATCACTTCCCGCACACACACATATACACACACACACACACACTTTACCGCAATCACCCCTTTGTTTCACGTTACCGTTACACTGTGAATGTGCTGCCGTCTACCAAACCATTTCCTCTGTTGGATTTAGTGCGGCTCTTTTTGTCCGTCTTGTGCTCGTCTTGTGGTGTTGGAATGGATGTGTGGTCGGCATAGAAACTCGTCCAGTGACAAGGGCCCATTCCGGCGCTGTCTTTGACGAGATGGCACACACAGAGGAGGAATGTAGCGGCCGACGCCAGAAACAACACGGCTGCAGATTGTGTGGAGCTTTTAGAGCAGTTAATTTAGAAACAAAAACTATAATTAGACCAGAAATGTTGGAAAAATGCTGCTGCACTTGTTTGGTGTTAAAATGCTGCTGTTGATCCATGTCTCGCGTCACATCACAGAAGTTTTGGTTGTATTTTATGTGCCGTATGGAGCAGTCTATGTTCGGCTGGTAATTAATGCGATTATTATGAAAGCGACTCCTATGTTTCTGCAGCTTGTTGAATTAAATTGAGTTGGTTTTCTCTTGTCCAGCGTAGATGGTATTTCTGTATTGATGATGACGCTAAACTGCATCAGGAATTTACAGCTTATCTTGTTTGCATTTATATATTTCTTAATGTGTTGCTCTGTTGGAGTTTACTGATCAATCATAAATGATACTAAGCTAATTGATAATGTCTTTATTCAAATGAACATTGGTTGAACGATACACTCTGAGTCAAACACACCGAGAAGTTTTAGTTTAGTACAAAAATTGGAGCTGTTTGAATTGTATTTTTGATCAAATTGAGACGATCCCACAGCCACAGGCCTTTCAGGATCTAACTCATTGTCATAGTTCTGGATTTACGATTGAAATAATGTGGATTTGTGTCTAAGATTCGAACTCTGAACAGGTTGACGCTAATGTAACTTGGTAAAGCTCGTTTCTTGTCGTTGGTGATTCTGTTGCTGTGATTGTTTTGGTCAGGTGCCATGAAGCGGTCCATTACTGTCACGTCTTAGACTCTCAGTAACTACAGATATGTCTTCTTAAGCGTTTGTAGTTAGTGACGTGTGTTCCCTGTGCGAGGCGGGAACTGAAGACTTTGAGGTTCATGAAAGTTTGGTTTGATTTGATGAGAAAGTAATGATCTATTCTTTACAGGTGAACATCATCCCTGTGATCGCTAAAGCCGACACCATCAGTAAGAGCGAGCTGCACAAGTTCAAGATCAAAATCATGAGTGAACTCGTCAGCAACGGAGTTCAGATTTACCAGTTCCCCATCGACGACGAGACTGTGGCCAAAGTCAACACCTCCATGAACGTAAGACACTTCAGAGACTACCCTTTATTACACGTGTGTCCACATGTCTACTGCTGATTCAGCTGATTCTACTGATTCTACTGATTCTACTGATTCTGCTGATTCTGCTGATTCCGCTGATTCTGCTATTTCTGCTGATTCTGCTAATTCTGCTGATTCTGCTAATTCTACCGATTCTGCTGACTCTGCTAATTCTGCTGATTCTGCTGATTCTACTGATTCTGCTAATTCTGCTGATTCTGCTGATTCTACTGATTCTGCTGATTCTACTGATTCTGCTGATTCTACTGATTCTGCTAATTCTACTGATTCTGCTAATTCTACTGATTCTGCTAATTCTACTGATTCTACTGATTCTTCTGATTCTGCTGATTCTACTGATTCTACTGATTCTGCTAATTCTACTGATTCTGCTGATTCTACTGATTCTGCTGATTCTACTGATTCTGCTGATTCTACTGATTCTGCTAATTCTACTGATTCTGCTAATTCTACTGATTTTGCTAATTCTACTGATTCTACTGATTCTTCTGATTCTGCTGATTCTACTGATTCTGCTGATTCTACTGATTTTGCTAATTCTACTGATTCTACTGATTCTTCTGATTCTGCTGATTCTACTGATTCTGCTAATTCTACTGATTCTGCTAATTCTACTGATTCTGCTAATTCTGCTGATTCTACTGATTCTGCTAATTCTACTGATTCTGCTAATTCTACTGATTCTGCTAATTCTACTGATTCTGCTAATTCTACTGATTCTGCTAATTCTACTGAATCTTCTGATTCTGCTGATTCTACTGATTCTACTGATTCTGCTGATTCTGCTGGTTCTGCTCCTGTCGTATTGAAATCCAGGAGTTTAACTGAAGTCTATGGTTTAGGGTCATTTGCCGTTCGCCGTCGTGGGAAGTACAGAGGAAGTGATGCTCGGAAATAAAATGGTGAAGGCTCGTCAGTATCCCTGGGGCATTGTGCAAGGTATGTGTTTGCTTTAGGTAAATATAAGAATATACAAAGGCTAAACTAAGGAAAGAGTTTACTCACTGTGGAAACAAAGTATGTGATGTTTTCCTCTGGGCTGCATGGTTCTGCTCCTGAGGCCCTGTTATAGCTGCATGGTTCTGCTCCTGAGGCCCTGTTATAGCTGCATGGTTCTGCTCCTGAGGCCCTGTTATAGCTGCATGGTTCTGCTCCTGAGGCCCTGTTATAGCTGCATGGTTCTGCTCCTGAGGCCCTGTTATAGCTGCATGGTTCTGCTCCTGAGGCCCTGTTATAGCTGCTTGTGTTTGTTTCAGTGGAGAACGAGAGTCACTGTGACTTCATGAAGCTGCGGGAGATGCTGATCTGTGTGAACATGGAGGACCTGCGGGAGCAGACGCACACACGCCACTACGAGCTCTACAGACGCTGCAAACTGGAGGAGATGGGCTTCAAGGACACAGACCCCGAGTGCAAACCTGTCAGGTGAAAAACCACAGCAGCTGCCTTTGAACTGCTCTGGCACCGCTGAAAGAACAGGATTCAGTGAAACAGTTTAGAATTGAACGTCTAACGTGTTGTCCGATGGATAATCAGCCAGAATCTGAACTAGAACATAAATAAAGTGGACGTCATGTCCATTGGAGTTTAAATTAAGAATACATCTATTTTTTAACTTTTGATTAGAAAAGACCAAATATAAGATTGTGTCTAGGGACACATTTATAATATTACAGCTAAACAACAGAGTAAATGTGTTTGTGTCTTTTCAGTCTGCAGGAAACGTACGAGGCGAAGCGGCAGGAGTTCCTGCTGGAGCTGCAGCGGAGAGAGGACGAGATGAGGCAGATGTTTGTGCAGAGAGTGAAAGAGAAGGAGGCGGAGCTGAAAGATGCAGAGAGAGAGGTACGCTCTACACTTTTATTCATGACATCACAGAAACTGCTCTAACGCATGCTTTATTTCTTACACTTCAAGTCTTGTTTTATAGAATAAGTATTTTCAACGTCAAATCCAAGCACAAAACAAGTGTCTCTTTTCTTGGTATCATTTTCTATTCCACTGTATAAACCTTGAACATTTCTGATGAGACCAGATGTAACGTTCACACCTGGAGACAGATGCAGAACACTAACGAGCAGAGAGCTGCTACATAATTAGAGCAGTTATGTGAGTTATGACCTTCAAGACCTCACTCTACATGGTGTTAGTTAGATTTGCATGTATTTAAAGTCCACTGTAGACCTCTTCCAAATGAAATTGGACTGAATTCACCTTGTCTGTGATAAACTCCAGGAACAACTGATTGTTTTTACCCACAGTTAAAGTTACTATAAAATCATGCTGGTCCAGTGAGTTCCGAGCTGCGGTTGTTCTAATGTTTTAGTTCGAGGGCCTCTCTAGTTAACCAGACTTGTCCAGAGCTTTAAAATGAGGTATAATCTCAGAAGTTGGCTGAATATTAAAAGTATGGATGACACTGTGAACTTGTGTTAATGATGCAGAGGGCACGTAAAGTCTGAGGGTCCTGACAATCCCTGTGTCTGTTACAGCTACAGAGCCGCTTCGAGCAGCTGAAGCGTCTCCATGCCGACGAGAAGGCCACGCTGGAGGACAAGAAGAAGGCTCTGGAGGACGACCAGGTCTCTTTCAGTAAACGGCGTGCGGCGGCTCAGCTCCTGCAGGGACAGAGCCTCACGGCCAACGGCAAGAAGGACAAGGACCGCAAGAAGTAAGGCACTGTCACAGACCAGAGTCACAAAGCGGTTTACAATTGTTATTTTTTGGGGCATTCGTCTCTCACTCCACACAGAGATGGGAGCGGGGCCAGTACAGGAGGCACATGCCAGAACTATTGTACATGTTTTTTAGTGGTAGGGGAAACCGGAGCACCCGGAGGAAACCTACGCAGACATGGGGAGAACATGCAAACTCCACTCAGAAAGGCCCTGTTCCGACCTGGATTCGAACCCAGGACCTTCTTGCTGAGAGGAGAGAATGCTAACCACTCAGCCACCGTGCCCCCCCCAATTTATTTTTATTGATGCTAGAGTTAGAGGTTTTGTTTAATTTAATTAGTATAGAGTTATAGTTTGTTTATCTTTTCTCTTTCCTACTGTTCTATAACTTGTGATGCAACATTGACCTTTCCCCACTGTGGGATGAATGAAGGATATTTCTTAATCTTAATCTTAAATGTCGGTACTGGGAAAAACAGATTTTGAATTGAATACAATTTAATGAGTGACTTTGATAATTGATAATTCAATTTTGTCAATATTTTTTTTCTTTTATACATTAGCCTTTTGTTCGCTGTGATCTGAAATACTTGTAACTTGACGTTTTGTTCTGAACTAAACATTATTCTCTCCTTTCTCTTTCAGCTCTGGTTTCATGTGAAGACTGGACCTAAAACCAACAGCAATGACTTTATATCTGCGCCAAAGTGCTGTGTCCCAGAAGAACGTGGACACTTCCTGTTTTTGTATTCTACTCTGTGGGTTTTATGTGTTTTAAAAATGTGTATTTATCCTTTCTTTTATACATATATATATATAAATAGTTTATCTTGTATTGTTTGTACACCTTTTTTATTTACGCAGAAATGGAACCTTAAGTCTACACTTTTAATAAACATCCAGCTGCTTTTTTATTTACTGCAAAAATACTGCAAAAAATTGAGCTGTCCTTTTACCGCGGCAAAAAGCCGGCATTAATATACTTTCTTAAAACTTTACAGAATTGCAGCGACTTGCTATATATTTTTCTACTTCATATTTTTCATGGGACACAAATATATAACACAGTATTTTGATTTTGGAGTAAAATGATACTGCACTCTAACATCTGAGTGGTATTTTGATGAACCTCGAGGCTTTGTTTACATCAGGTACGTGTCATTCTCTGCCAACCAACAGGAAGCAACTGTATTTTACTATTTTTATAATAACTAGTGCGTGTTTTACATACATGTATCATAAAGGGCATTTTCAGGCACGAGCAAAAACACTTCTTTGTCGAGGAACGAGAAACACAGCCAAGTTTTAGAGTTTGTGCCTTATTGTGACGTTGACATTCACCTGTGCCTCTAACACCAGTGTTATTTGGGAGTCTTTGTATTCTTTCTAAATAAATCATGTATTTTTGACAAGAGATCTGTTCAATTTGAGTAAAGTATTACAAAGCAATAATTAAAACATGGAATACTCGAGGCAATTACTGCTCACATTTCTGCATCTTTTAAATATTTTGTCTGTACCAGTGTTTCCCAACCAGCCATGACACACTTTTCATTTTAAGCAGCAAAATATGTAAGATTTTCAATTCAAGTCATCAATTAAGGGCCCTAATCTGTCATAATAAAACCTGCTCTTTTCCATTACTTCTCTCTGCGGTGAGGACAGCCAGCTGACAGCATGTTTTTGGCTTTTTGATTGTTTGTTTTAGAACTAAAAACACTAGCTTTTGAACGAATGGTATGGGTAAGCAAGTTTTGTAAATGTGGTAAAATCCATTCTGAGTAGTTATGTTTAGATGGGCACAATCCGGTAGCTGCACAAAACATAGAATCCTTAGAGAAATATAAATGAATAAAAGGAGGAATCGCACTCAGCCAGTCCAGCCCCAGTCATTTAGTGGCGTTTGGCTTTTCAGAGGATTACCCATGATACACTGCAGGGAGCTTGATTAATCCTTCCTTTTCTCTAATGAAGAGTCTTGTCGCTGTCTGCGTTTGCTCCTTTACAGAATTAACACATTTTTAACCGATTTCCATCGAGAGAAAGACGCACGAGTACAGCTTCATCACATTTACTGACTTGTAAGTTTGAGGTATATATACTGTATATACTGTATGTTTACTGTATGTTTCAGCCAAAAGATTATGACCACAGACAAGCAAAGAAAAACAATCATGTTTTTGAGAGATATATTGTACGTTATATATCAGTGGTTCTCAAACACTTTGAGTCCATGGGAACCTCATTGGTCAGAAATGAAATGGTCCCACAAACTCTGAGTTAGTTCCAAATGATTCCAACAACCTTTTGCCTTCAGTATTTTATCACAATTAAATATAAACCGTGTCAATGCCCCATACTTTCAAAGAGAACTTCCCAGTAGTGTTAATTATACTGCTGTTTAACCCTTTAATGGTTTAAGTCACTTGGAACCGAAATACACCTTTTTGATTAAGACTTTTTGTCCAGTAGCAGCAGAAAAATAATAATAATAATAATAAAACAAAAGAAATTGGGGCATCTCGCTTGGTTTTAGGCTCTTTTACCATCAAACTGCATCTCAACTATCTGGTAAAGGCCGATAATAATCTAAAACTAGGGGTAAAAAAATAAAAAAAACGTTTACAAGGAGTGAACATTAAAGGGTTAAGTTTGTAAAATGTTTGAGAGTCACTGTGGTTTACAACTTTTAGACCGCAGATTAAGAGTGGACTGACTGGGCGCTGATGACACCCATAGTGTTAGCCTTCATTAAAGTAGGGGCCGATTAGCGCTAGCTTGAGCCGGGATGTGGAGCCAAAAATATGCAAAGGTTGTCGGTAGCAACGGCTGAGTTACCGAGCACCAATCGGAAGCGGCGCCGGTCTGTCCCTGCTGCCGCTTCTCGCTAGCCGAATTCTGCGGCAGAGGGCTCCTGATTGGTCATATCTGGATTTTAAAAACAATATCACAATATAAACACCAGGATCGAAGAGCTAGACCAAAAACGTTTCTGAGCTAGATGTGTTTAGTTTTTAATGTAAGTCAACAGGAGCCAGAGCGAGTTGGAGCAAAACTTCCCCCATGAGCACTTCCCTTTTGGGCTTCTTTGACCAATGGGGTTAGCAAAGTCCATTTTTATACTGTCTGGGTTTACTGTTTGGCAATATCTGGCAGATTAGGTGGTCAGGTCAATCTTGTTGCTTTTGCTCAAGTAAAAAATACTTTTGGCATTTTGTCTGTGCTTTTCCACTGTGCGTCCAATCTCTGATCCATGCATCGTTAAGGCTGCAGTATTTTCAGGTTCTATTCATGAGCAAAGATTTAACAGAAAGAAAAGATGTGTTTCTGACTGAGAATCCAAAACAGCAGCGATGGATGTGCTTCAAAACGAGACGAGCCTGAAGCTGCAGAGAGAACATTAATCGCTGGAGATGACGGATACATTTTGTGCCAATATCTTCAAAAAAGTCCAGAAATTGTACAAATACATTACCAAATCTTTGACAAATAACACAACGTACTTTGAAACGAGACAAAAAAAAATTGGCAATTATTTTCAAAGTGCCTTTTTGTATAAAACTTTTGGCGCAACTGTCTCGGTCTTGGAGCATTAGGTAGGCTTGTGTGTGAAATGGTCATATTTAAATAACGAAAATTACTTAGAAAACATAAATTACGGCAAAACACCTAGCCAAATCGACATATTTCAAACATAATGCTACATGCACTATTCTTGTAATGTAAACTTAAGATGGCAATGTGCTTACGATGAGTTCAAATCCCTTTTGCTGTATCCTGTCGATAGTAAAGCACCCATATTCAAGTTGTGAGGTCTCGGTCTGGAGTTTTTGTGCTAGGTTCTAGGTTTTGCTGGTGGATAGAGTTTTTATAGGCAGCCCACGTCTCGCTCTTTGCTTTTCAGTAGTTTCACACAAAGCCAAAGAAATGCCCGGTTCAGGTGAGCGCCGGTGCGTCTCTCTGTGGATCAGAGCTGGTTCCTACAAAAGGACCTCTTCTTTTGGCAGAATATAGAATTGAGCTTTATGTAAGACTGTGACTGTTCGGTACATAACGGCTTCTCTTTTCTGGTTAAGAATGATGATTATGATTATTATGATTTTCATGTTTATAACTTAGAAGTGTAGCTAACTGTTATTCCTCTATTCTTTAGCTCTCTCTTTGACTGTTGCAATGTCCTTGTTTTTGCTGTTACTTACATGACAATAAAAATGATTCTGATTCAAAAATGAATTATTATAAGATGCCATTGAATTATTAATGGGCTTATTTTTTAGTAAAGGCTAGATTCAGAATTCACAGCAAATATGACTGTTGTTGTGATTTTTCAATACTGATTAAATTCAATTGGCTAAAATCAGTGGCCTTTGCAGAAACCAGCCTGATCGGCGAGCGCACTGGTGGAACAGTTGTCCTCAGAGTGACTTTGTGCTGCTCACTTCAGAAACTCTCCACAAAGCTGCCCGGAAACAGGCCGGTCTGGCCGTTCCTCTGCAGAGTGCCTTTGTACCAGCCGTCCTCACGCTTCTTATGCACAAACACCACGTCCCCCTCCCGCAGCTCGATCTCCGCGTCGCTCTGGGGAGGGTACGGCACGACCACGCGGTATCTGCCAAAACACACAAACACGTGCGACTGAAAATGTGCCGAACAAGGATCCCTGAGGAACACTTTTAAAATATGGATATGTCCCAGAAAAGCATTTGGCGACAAACTGCATGAGGCTTGTTCATGTTTTAATCTTTACTAAATAAGTCCCATAGTGTTTCATCCATGGATCATCATCATCATCATCATATAGGGAACATTATCTTTGGATTGCCTCGAGAGAATAAACCTTTAACCCTTTAATTAATGGCATTTGGTAGATCACCTTTTGAGTCACTTGGAACTGAAATATAACTCTTTGATAGATTCATATAGATACTGCATTAATCCTCATAGGAGAAATTCAGGTGTCCAGTAGCAGCAAAAAATAAAATAAAATTGGGGCATCTCACTTGTCGTTTTAGGCCCTTTTACCATCTCTACCATTTGATCAAGGCCTATAATAAAAAAAATTAAAAACAAGGGGTGAAAAAAACAAAACATTAAAATAATCGATTTGTGTAGATAGTGTTCCTACATCTTAGAAAATACAAAAAAGTAAAAAAAGACATTGCTTTCTTCGAGGAGTGACCATTAAAGGGTTAATGAGGGGTCCTATTGAAGCCAAAAAGACATATCAGGGTGTTTTGACCCAACTCAGGTACTGAAAGTTGATTTTACAGTATATTACCATGCGGACGTGTTTTACATACATACATACATCAAATCTAAACGGGTAAAGAAAGATAAAAGTCACAGAGCTTTTGGTTCATATAGTAAATATATGAACCAATATGGGGTTTTATTGAATTTCCTGTACAACAAATTTACCGAGAATCATTTCCAAAAGACGTGTGGCTGTAGGAAAGTGCTCATGATCACTGCACACATACAGTTTTCCATCCCATTTGTTATTGATACTCTGTGTGATCAATCCCCACAGCTGTTGTGGCACCCACCTCTCTCTGGACAGGGGTTTGGGCTCCGGCCGTAACACCATGAGGATGTTGCCAGTGCGCGTTGCCGGGGGCGACATGGGGAAGTTGGTATCCAGGGACCCGGACTTCCTGTGCAGCAGCTCCATACCGATGGCCCCGATGTCACTTTCGATGGGACAAGAGCCTGCCCTGCCCTGCCAGCACAGCGTCAGGTCAGGATTTAGGGTTCATTATTGATCTTTTAGCCTCTGTCCCAATGTCTGGGCTGTTTTAGAACCAGTTTTGCATTTGACACCGTAACCCAGTGTTAAAGATATTAATTCATGCACAATATGTTTGGCAGTAAAAATACTTACAGTGCATAGTTTTAAGCACTGGATAATAAGATAGATTTTATGGATCTCACACTGGATAAATGTACATGTCACATTTGGCACAGATATAACTCAGATTGATTCTTTAAAAAGTGTCAATTAAAGAAACAGTGGCAATAGCAGTGCAGGTTTTTCAGTCCTAGTGCACTAGTGACTCAAAGTGACTTATTGTACAGTCTGAAAGCAGTGGGGATAAAGGCCCTACATAAGTAAGGAAGTATCTTTACTGCCAAAAATATTGTAACGGGAAGAGTTTGGCTCGTGCAATTATCAACTGTGTATTTTATATTGTACTGTGGAAAATGTATTTCAAATGTGTTTTCAAGCAGCAATATCACTATACTAATACTAATATAGAGCCGTGTCACTATTTGATGCATGTGTTAAGTTAAACTAGTGATGAATTGATTTTATTATACAGGTTATTTATATACATATTATTCTCGTATTGTACTGTACGTGGCAAACCTGAATTTTCCCCACTAATACTTCATACTATTTCCGTTTATCTTTGACATAGATTTCAAGTACAACACCCAAATGCTAAAAGTACCGACGCAATAGATGGATGGAGACTGGGGCACCTGTGAGGCCATGGGGCAGGAGCCTGAGCGCGGGTGGTAGTGGTGAGGGCGTGGGTGGGAGGGGTCTGTTGCCACGGCTCCCAGCGAGGGGGCGTGGGTCGGTGGCGATGACGGAGGGGAGCGAGGTTTCTTCTTTGCCGCTGCTCCGGACAAAAGCTTCAACAAACCGCCGGCTTTTCTCTCTTTCTGTGGACGGAACAACAAAGATGTCGTTAGCATGCATAAAGTTTATCTAATGCCGAAAACTTTTGCAGATGACAACACAATGTAATTAGACACACAACAGGTTCTAACAAGAGACAACTGCAGGACAGATTTTGACTCACTGCTGAATCACATTTTCAGCAGTGTCATTCCAGGTGAGAAATTGCTCGTCTTAACAAGCTTTACTTTGCTTTCTATATAAAAATTCATACCATTCAGGTTTCATGTGGAATAACATAACACATTCCTGCTTTTTAATCTCACTTTCATACTTCCATATGTTATATATATTATTTTTCAAGATATATATGAGCACATTTATTTGTTTCCCTATGTCATTTTGACTACGTTTGAAGTTGAAAATAAATACAGAAGGGATCCACTGTGGCAGAAGCCCCTCCCTCTTCTACTAAAGTAACTTATATCTCTGTCAGAAGTCATTGTTAATAGTTGATTGTCCCCCATGGAAATACAGAAATGGGGCTTACTTTTTAACATGCCCTACTTTTTTATTACACATACAGTCTTTTCAATGCGGTAATAAATAATATTTACTTTTAAATGCGCTGGAAAACGGCAGCAGGTCCTAAGCAGCTCTGAAACAGTTGTTATTTTGTGCTTTATACATTATTTTTCTTCCCATTTTACACTGGTCCAGACCAGAGCAGAGAGGATTCATGGTTTTACACTGGTCCAGACCAGAGCAGAGAGGATTCATGGTTTTACACTGTTCCGGACCAGAGCAGAGAGGATTCATGGTTTTACACTGGTCCAGACCAGAGCAGAGAGGATTCATGGTCTGAACCAAGTGGATCAGGTGAAAATCCACTGGAGGAATGCTAACTTTTAGAAAAATGCTAATGAAGCTTTTAGCATTTTACTTTGGACTAGAGCAGAGAAAATGGTCCGAACCAAGCGGCTACTCCATCTTGTGACCCGTCCTGCTCCACCCAGCGGCTACTCCACCTCTGATGTGTGACCCGTCCAGAATGTATTTTTGAATGTATTTATAATGACCTTGAATTCAAAGATGTAAGATGCGTAAACAATTGGATTTATGAAAATAGAATAAGAAACTGGTATCAAAAACACCCATGGTCTCCTTTTGTAATTCCCAATGAAAACCGGGAATGCCAGATATTATATAGAACTATCATTTAGCAGTGACACCTGTTATACACTTTTGAATAGCTTAGAGTAAAACAGGACGCTTCATTAATTCCCAAAGTCCCGTGGTAATGCTTTAATCAGCTGAAACATAGAAGCTGTGTTATGTTTCTTGTTGCGCTCTCGGCCTCAACACTGTCTCTGATCAATACTCATCTCAGAATTATTGACGCCTGAAGGTTTGGGGAGATAATGTTGACATCGTTGCAGTAGATTCAAAGAAACAAACTATGAAGACCTAAGAAAAAGTTTAGCAAAGAAGTGTTTTAGCAAAGAAGTGAACCTTTGAAAGCAGAAAAATTGTGTAAAATTAACCCAACAGTTTAGTACTTTCACTCCTTTCTACATGGATATACATTTAGATAGAAAAAACATAGAAAAATAATGTATGCAAAGTAATGTTTTCTAATACGATGAAGAAAGCATGATGTGGTCTTCCTTGTTCTTCTTTCTCCTGATCCATGCTTTCATATCCTCCAGACTTGACTTCTGCAACTGTCTTTTATATGGCCTTTGTTGCATATTTTAAATATAGCACACGTCGATACACTTATATTTTCGCGTGTGTTAGACTTAGGAATTAGGGACCAAAAGAAATACGGGGGAGGAGAAGGATGGGATCCAGAGCCCAAGGCCGGACCAGACCAGACCAGAGTCCAAGACCAGTCCAGATGACGTCAGCGGCACTTCCTGTTTTTCTACATCAAACTGTTCTGTTCGTTTGGTTAATCAGTCACTTAGGGAGAGACCGCAGGGAGGGCATTGTTAGGATAGGAGCTCTTGAGTTTTGTATTTGATTGCAAAGATAATTAAATACTGATTTTTAACTCTTGAAATCTTCGTCTTCCTTCTCTTTTTCAAATTGGAAACACGTCAGTCTTATTTTTAGACAATACCTTCCTTCATCAAAAACTGCAATATGTCCAAAACTCTGCCGCCAACCTCATCACTCAAACCCGCTCCAGAGAACACATCACCCCTGTCCTTTAAAAACTCCACTACAAAATCCTCCTCGTCATCTGCAGACTAACACTGCAATTTTGTATTCATTTATTTGATATTATGAAGAAAACTAAAAAGCAAGGGTATATCTGGTTTTATCCCTGCCCTGCTCTGCCTCTTACATCACTTTAAAACCCTCATATGTTCCAGTCACACTGACATGGATCCAAGTATAACTCTTCACAGGATTTTAATTTAAAACTCAGAGCTTTCAGCGAATTGACAGTTAACAGCAGACTTTGTAAACAGCGTATTTACTTCAAACAATATGGTAATGTCAGAGGCGCACAGGGTGAGGCTTACGCAATACGGTTTCATCATTTAGAGATAGAGCAAATCCAATGAAATCAAACATACTGTATATTTCTTGCCTGTAAGCACGTGTGTAAGTGTGGTGATAAGTGTAAACGGCTGTAGGCACAAGACTGCAGCACGTGTCCAACCGGTTTGTCGGAGGAAAGGCAGCTCTATGGATTTGATACGTTCTGTTTAGAGCGGCTTTTAAAGATAGTTTTAGTGATGAACTTGTCAAAGGTTGTTATTTTATGATTAAAGTTGCAGTAAGTGAAGTTGTTAGCTTAGCCGTAGCACCGACTGGAAACCACTCCCCCCTCCCCTCCCTCTCCACCAAACCAAACATCCAGCATTTTCTTTTCTTTGTCACAGGGAGAGTGGAGCAAAGGAGAAATTGGCATTTTCTGTTCAGCCATTTTAGGTTTTAAAAAATCCGATAACTCCGGTGCACTCGTGAGAAACAGGAAGAGGGTGAAGGTAACACATCCCATTGGTTTATTTTTATCGGTCCGCTCCAACATATTTTTCATTAATTTTTGGAGACTATAGACATCTGGTCAATTCCATTACTATTTGAAAACACATGATAAGGTTTAGGGACGTTTTCCCACAATATTTAAAAAAAAATGCTCATGGAAATGTTTAAAAGATTTGTTTGAATGTTTTGAAACTAGTATAACTATGCATTTTCATGAGATGAATGAAAAGAACCTAACCTAACCTAACCTAACCTAATGCGCCTGTAAAAAAATCACTGACTGCATTTTTAATCATATACTCACAGAATAAATCATATTGTTTATTCAAGACAGCAGGATGTGGTCGGATTATTAACAAACTGTGCAGTGATGTTGAAAATGACAATACATTGAATCTTGAAGTTTTTAAATAACATAGAGAATAAACAGATACAGGTTGACTATAGTGACCAAAGGCTAAAAGATAGAGAAAAGTGTGGTTTGATCAGTGAAAAGCGCAGTCTTTGTCCATTTTGAGAATTTTAATATTATCTTTGTCCATTTTGAGCATTTTAGTATTACAGCATTTTTGTACTGTATATTTTATGATGGCATCTGCTTTGGTTTTTAAAGTCCAGTTAATGATTCCACTTATAATAGAATATTAGGATTAATTTTATGTGTCTTTCAACCATAGAATTGATCTAACATTGGGTCTTTCACTTTCAATTTCAAAACGCTTTCATTACATAGTGAATGAATGATGACAGTCTGTGCAAGAAAACCGTGTGACTAAAGTGACCCTAGTTACGCCTTTTATCAACCATAACTGGCTAATTCATTAAAACAATCTTCAAATTCATATCTGATGTCACCAGGGCTTTGATCTACTGTTCTCCTGACACTGAAACACTGCAGTGCCGCTTACAGATTCAATGAAGGTCAAGTAAAAAGAGAAACATTAAGGATTCATAGTTTATTGACCGGTCTGATAGGGAGCTGGACTGAGAAAAGTGCTGTGCAAAGCAGTGCAGACCATAAAACCAGCGGCCGTGTACAAACACACGCAGATACAGACTTGAATAAGACCTAAAAAGAACTCACAAAAGGGGGGTGAAGAACAAAGGAGGTTCTATAGCAATCTTTAGAAGACCTTTGCGAAGATAAAAGGGTAGGAATTCGCATATATCAAAGCCGAGCCACAATTATGAGCACTTAAATGAGAAAAAAGGAAAGCTATATGGAATTTGTCAGAGAAAAGGCACCTCTCTTTTCATCTCCAAGCTCAGAGCAGACTTAAGCCTATATAGAAAAGTGCTGAGAGGCTGTATACAGTGATCCAGTCCACCACCAGAGGGCAATGTGCATTAAGGAATACTTGGATGTAGTGGAAGTTTGCATGTTATTATTCCTAAGAGAGCACTAAAGGCACAGTCTAGAGATTCTATGATGCAAAAATGTGGAGGAAGCCAGAATTATAAATTGTACATGAATAGTACTTTGATTGATACAACTGATGCTGCCATTTTATTGGTGTGATTTTCTAATCTTTGAATGTCAGTCACAGCAAAGGGGTCCAACGGGAAGTTAAAATGTCCAGAACAAGGTGGCCACTCTACCTTGGTGCAGTCAATATATACTTTGGTGTTTGTTTGACATTTTAAAAGTAGTATTATTAGTTAGAATAATGAAATAGGTCGAAGTATAGAGATAAATATGCAATGCACTCTGTAATTACCCAGCACTTAAATCTGCACAGAGCGAGAACCTTTATTTTCATTTCATTTCATTGAAGTTAATTCTGAAGCTACATACTTTTTTGTCTTGTTAATGTTTACTTGATTATTGAATCTTCCTGTTATCCTGAACACTATGTAAGAACGGCCGTGAACGTAGTCAAAACACATCTTCATGACGTCACATTATCTCGAGAAACTATTGTGGATTTTCCATTTCGTCCACATTTGATAAGGATTTCATTTGGCATCTGCAACTTGTTGTAAGAAGTGTTCGTGGAAACGGTCTACAAACTTTGTGGAATGTGTCTGTAATGTTGGCTGTACAGACAGTGTGTCCAAGAATTCTATGACGATTAACCAAACTGAGCTGTTTTACATTGTGCTCATGCTTTGCAGTCTGAGAGCAACTTATTTACACAACAGAAAAATGAATATGCTGTATATGTTGTCAACAGAGTAAGTGTTATCCTCAGGTTATAGATGTACTTCTGTCATATATTTCTGTCATATAAACGTATGATAATAAAAGCATCATTACAAGTTATGATATAAATATGTGATGATTAACATTGGAAAACTATCAAGTATCAAAAATAGGCTCACTTCAAATGATATTGAACAAAACAGTATCATTTTGGTAATAACAATAGCCAAAATATAACACATTATGACTAAATGTTTCTAAAAAGCAGAAATTGTGTGGAGAGGAACACTGTAATCAGGGCTGCATTGTCACGGTGTGGATTCTGTGTTATTTTGTTTTGATATCAGTTCAGACCCACCTTAACCCTGACCTTAACCATCTTACTCAGACCCACCTTAACCCTAACCTTAACCATCTTACTCAGACCCACCTTAACCCTAACCTTAACCATCTTACTCAGACCACCTTAACCCTAACCTTAACCATCTTACTCAGACCACCTTAACCCTAACCTTAACCATCTTACTCAGACCCACCTTAACCCTAACCTTAACCATCTTACTCAGACCCACCTTAACCCTAACCTTCTTACTCAGACCACCTTAACCCTAACCTTAACCATCTTACTCAGACCCACCTTAACCCTAACCTTAACCATCTTACTCAGACCACCTTAACCCTAACCTTAACTATCTTACTCAGACCCACCTTAAACCTAACCTTAACCATCTTACTCAGACCACCTTAACCCTAGCCATCTTACTCAGACCACCTTAACCCTAACCTTAACTATCTTACTCAGACCACCTTAACCCTAACCTTAACTATCTTACTCAGACCACCTTAAACCTAACCTTAACCATCTTACTCAGACCACCTTAACCCTAGCCATCTTACTCAGACCACCTTAACCCTAACCTTAACTATCTTACTCAGACCACCTTAACCCTAACCTTAACTATCTTACTCAGACCACCTTAACCCTAACCTTAACCATCTTACTCAGACCACCTTAACCCTAGCCATCTTACTCAGACCACCTTAACCCTAACCTTAACTATCTTACTCAGACCACCTTAACCCTAACCTTAACTATCTTACTCAGACCACCTTAAACCTAACCTTAACCATCTTACTCAGACCACCTTAACCCTAACCTTAACCATCTTACTCAGACCCACCTTAAACCTAACCTTAACCATCTTACTCAGACCACCTTAACCCTAGCCATCTTACTCAGACCACCTTAACCCTAACCTTAACTATCTTACTCAGACCACCTTAACCCTAACCTTAACTATCTTACTCAGACCACCTTAACCCTAACCTTAACCATCTTACTCAGACCACCTTAACCCTAACCTTAACCATCTTACTCAGACCCAGCCTTAACCCTAACCTTAACCATCTTACTCAGACCACCTTAACCCTAACCTTAACTATCTTACTCAGACCACCTTAACCCTAACCTTAACCATCTTACTCAGACCACCTTAACCTTAACCTTAACCATCTTACTCAGACCCACCTTAACCCTAACCTTCTTACTCAGACCACCTTAACCCTAACCTTAACCATCTTACTCAGACCCACCTTAACCCTAACCTTAACCATCTTACTCAGACCACCTTAACCCTAACCTTAACTATCTTACTCAGACCCACCTTAAACCTAACCTTAACCATCTTACTCAGACCACCTTAACCCTAGCCATCTTACTCAGACCACCTTAACCCTAACCTTAACTATCTTACTCAGACCACCTTAACCCTAACCTTAACCATCTTACTCAGACCACCTTAACCCTAACCTTAACCATCTTACTCAGACCACCTTAACCTTAACCATCTTACTCAGACCCACCTCAAACCTAACCTTAACCATCTTACTCAGACCACCTTAACCCTAACCATCTTACTCAGACCCACCTCAAACCTAACCTTAACCATCTTAATCAGACCGCCTTAACCCTAACCTTAACCATCTTACTCAGACCAGCTTAACCCTAACCTTAACCATCTTACTCAGACCACCTTAACCCTAACCTTAACCATCTTACTCAGACCCACCTTAACCCTAACCATCTTACTCAGACCGCCTTAACCCTAACCTTAACCATCTTACTCAGACCACCTTAAACCTAACCTTAACCATCTTACTCAGACCACCTTAACCCTAACCTTAACCATCTTACTCAGACCCACCTTAACCCTAACCATCTTACTCAGACCACCTTAACCCTGACCTTAACCATCTTACTCAGACCACCTTAACCCTGACCTTAACCATCTTACTCAGACCACCTTAACCCTGACCTTAACTATCTTACTCAGACCACCTTAACCCTAACCCTAACCATCTTACTCAGACCACCTTAACCCTAACCTTAACCATCTTAATCAGACCGCCTTAACCCTAACCTTAACCATCTTACTCAGACCAGCTTAACCCTAACCTTAACCATCTTACTCAGACCACCTTAACCTTAACCCTAACCTTAACCATCTTACTCAGACCACCTTAACCCTGACCTTAACCATCTTACTCAGACCACCTTAACCCTAACCTTAACCATCTTACTCAGACCACCTTAACCCTAACCTTAACCATCTTACTCAGACCACCTTAAACCTAACCTTAACCATCTTACTCAGACCCACCTTAACTCTAACCTTAACCATCTTACTCAGACCACCTTAAACCTAACCTTAACCATCTTACTCAGACACCTAAAACTTAACCAGTCACCACTTAGGAGGAATAATTAGTCTAAAACTAATTCGAAAGTAGGATTGCTACCTCTGCTTACGTCCCAATTCCTTATATATGATCTAGTGCCGACCCTATATGTACTGGTGCTCCTCTCCTCTTCGTTTTTGCATTCCTGCTATTTGAGTCCTCCTCCTTTCCACCACATGACATGCATAGTCAATGAGCTGTTTGTCACTTGGCCATGTCCTGAGATTAGCTGTCCCACACCGCAGCCACACAGCAACAAATGGAGCTCAGACAGATGCCATCCTTTAGTGTCAGCGCCGCCTGATTTACCCTCTTCAGCTCGGAGAAAGAAGACCAGGATAGAAAAGTACGTCACGCAAACTGCTGTCATAGGGAAGAGGAGGTTTATGTGCTCGAGAGGCGTCAACACACCCCACACTTTCACCTGCTGCACTGCTAAAGGCAATTACCGCTGTTCTGACACCTACAGGATTAGAGTACAGTCTGCGATGCTGTTCATTCTACTCATGGATATGCAGCGGAAAAGGTCAAATATTTTGTTAGTTCAATAAGGATTTTTTTGGTATCTGTGTTAGAGCCAGCGCAGGCATTGGGATTAATTAGATCATCCAATTAGCGGCTCCCCATCCCCTCACATTCCTTCCGTCTCTGTGTGTGCATAAACGGACAATGACACCCGCTGTAAGAGAAAGAAGTTTTGAGCCTGGAATAGAATCACACTGAGTCTCACTTTTTGGATGGGGAAAAACTTTCTCTAACTTCATTTTTAGGTTGGCCCTTTCCCAAGCACGACCAATGCAAAAGTTGGTGAGCAGCAAACTCAATGAAAAGATGTCTGTCGTTTGGGAATAACAAAAGGACTGTGGTGACTGCGGTGAGTTTCAATGCAAAGTTAAAGGTGATGTCCGCCCATGTGAGGAATTGCATGTACGTCGCGGTACTTTTGTCTCGCACGGCAGACGCGGTGGGTACGGTGGATAGATGCATGCAGCGAAATCAGGGTCGGTAAGTTTAAAACGTTACGATTAACAGAACAATTAAAAGGAGCCGTATGTAAAAATATGACTAAAAGTGGGGCTGCAATCTCCCTGACTCACGTTGCCAGATATGCAAATGAATCCAGCTGAGACCATATTATCTACAACATACAACAAATCTATAACCAACACCTTTTTCACAAAGATAGAAATCCAGATTTTATTCCTTATTTTGTTGTTAATGATTTGGGAATCATAACGAGATCTTTTTAGTTCTGCGGCCACATGGTACTTTACCAGTGAGAATAGCTCGACGCGGTGAGTTCTGGTGCCCGGATCACAGACTTTCTGTTTAGTGGAACGGTGGAGGGCGGGACATCGAAATGAAAACAATAACTAGATTTAGGGGCTGGAAAAGTAATTTAGAAATTCAAATATCTCTGAACTACTATTATCAGTTAAAGAAGTATTGAAAAAGACCATGTTTAATTTATGGCTTTTGACAGATTAGGGCCCTTTAATGACGACTTGAAATGAAAATCTTACGTATTGCTACTTTAAGAACTTGTTTGAACAGTTTAAAAATAAAAAAAGAATAGATCAAAAATAAATTTTGTGTTAGAAATTACCTTCTCCACTTTGGGAGCGAGTCCGCCCTGCACGGTCACATGTGAGGGTCCGGGTGAGGGCGGCTGCACTGGGCTGCCCGGCTCACTGTGGAGGAGGGAGGCTGAGACGTTTGGAGGGGTGAGGCAGGAGAGGGGGGAGGACAGGGTGAGTAGAGGTCTGGAGGCCGGAGACGATAGTGGAGAAGGGCCCAGACTGGGACCCGGAGACACCATGGAGAGAGGGCGACTGGACTGACGAGACGGAGAGCAGCTCTGAGGACGCAGCGGCGACACGGTGACGGAGGGACGCTCAGGACTTCCCGCTGGAGGACTGTGCACTGCAACAAAGACATATATGAGATAAGATTACTATATATTTATCTCACACTGGAGAAAAGTACATGTCACATTTGGCACAGATAGAATGACTCAGATTGTGCCACTGTGCAAACATGTTAAAGGTTAAAAACATAGTCTGCGCAGGATATAGTTATGTACAATAATAAGTAGCAATAAAAGAAAGAGGCAATAGCAGTGCAGGTTTTTCAGTCCTACTGCATTAGTGAGTTGAAGTGACTTAAGTATATTTATTACACAGCTCCTCACAGCAGCAGGAGAACGCTCCATTGATTTTAATGTAACTTCAAAACGTTCTACCGGTCATTACTTCTTGATAACCGACCTCTCAATACAATAATTGCCGCTGCCCTTTGGCAACGCACCCTCTGCTTGTAATTCAGATGTGTAGATTACGCCGCAAGTAGTTCCGGCCACTTTGTCGCTACTACTGTCGCTATCGGAGCTAGACACGCTCAATAAACGGAAATACCAATCAATCAACACATGTAAATGTTAATGGGAGAATACATTATACATTCTTAACACACGTGCACAGAGGTTTTCAGAAGTATCTGTTAAGGTAGTCATGGCAAAAATTCTGTTTTAATGCGAGAAAAAGCGATTGTGATGAACCCGGAAGTAGATTCTTGGACATTTTAGGAACATTTGCAAAGGATTTAATTATGGATTTAGGTTAAGTTTATGTTTTGGTCACTCACCGCTGATGTTCAGAATTCTTTGTTCAGTTTTCATGCAGTTCCAGAGAGTTCTAGTTTGGAAGTTGCTAGCCTAACTGTTACTAGCCTAACTGTTACTAGCCAAACTATTGCTAGCCTAACCATTACCAGCCCAAGCCCCGGCGATCCAAGATGGCGCCCTATTCAAATGAATGGTTGTGCTCAGTGGCGCTTTGTGACGGTATGGGGGCTGAAAGATTAGCGGATGTCATCTGGAACTCTCAAAGATCTATGGGAAACTCTCAAAGATCTATGGGAAACTCTCAAAGATCTATGGGAAACTTGCAAAGATCTATGGGAAACTCTCAAAGATCTATGGGAAACTCTCAAAGATCTATGGGAAACTCGCTTGTATTTGGGCATCGTCTGGTCCTCCCGGTTCTGCGCAGTGGATGATCTCCCATAATGCATTGCGTCAAACACACGTGTGTGGGTCTCACACCGGGTCTCACGCACGTGCACAGAGGGGCTCGGCCGCGCTCTGACCAATCAGAGCAGTTCATCAGAGCGGGAGTTAGATCCAGAGCCAGACGAGCAGAGTTTGTGGCACTAAAGTGTGGATTTAAACAAAACCGAAGGATTTAAGAAGAAAAAAAGTTCAGGATGACAAGGGACACTAAAATCCCCACAAAATCCGACCTTTATGAAAGCTGTAGGTTCTCTGTCAGCTGAGGTTGAGCTGTTTTAATATGCATTGAGTTCTACGGGGAAAATTTCTGGGTAGCCCACGTGAATTTAGTCTGGTTCAGTCTGCAGTACCGCGAGAATCCCCCGAGCACATGAGTTATTCAGCTACAAGCTAGTAATACCCTATCCAGTTATTATTATAGATCCATGTACCAGCCTAACTATTACTAGCCTAACTGTTACTACTGTCATTATCGGACATTATCTTACTGTCATTATCGGAAAATAAGTACCTTCAGGGCAAATACAGCACACAAGTTAATAACAACAGTAGGTTTAGTCAATGCAATTCAATACATTTTTGTCTAGCCCTAAATCACAACAGCAGTTTTTTCGGGGGACTTGTTTATTCCGCAACAAGAAATCAGAGAATAAAACAGATCAAACACCGGAAATGCAATAATAACAAACACATAGAAGCCTTTAGTACATACGTGGCATCTCCATAAATGATAATCAATGTCTATAAAGGTCTCAGATTCATCAAACATTTGTATCAAGTTATTTCAAATCTTTTAATAATATACTGTTTTTGTGCCATTTTATTTCCCATTTGTTGTGTTTTGAAAGTTAGGCACCTCAGCTTTAAAGCAAGTCTCTTTTTTGGTATTGTATCCAATCAAATAGCAAGCTAATTTTGTTCTGAAATGGATTACATGTAAACATTAAAGTCAGAATCTCAGCCTGACATGCCGACTTCCTCCAGCACTCAACACCCTAACACAGTGTGAAATAGCAAATGTATTGGGTTTCCACATTCCCATTGCCGCGTAATCCTTTTTTATTAGAAAGACCAACAAACAGCCACCGCACAAGTCTAAACTAACCCCTGAAGAAACCCAAACTCCCCGTCCTCCGCTCGGAATACTTGTCTGAGGCCTTTAATCCCCACAGTACACACAGCAGAAAACACCCACTCACTCTCACCTGCTCTGGTCCAGTCCAGAAAGAAATCCCAAAGAGCTGCCTGTGGTCATGTGACAACAAGCACCAAACGCCAAAACTATGCTCATACTTGATTTTTGTAATGAGCTCCAGATGCTTGTACGCCATGTGTTTGTGTGAGAACAGGAGAGAAAGGGAAAGAGGTCGGTGGTGGTCTGTCATTACGCCTCCATAAAACAAAATGGCAGTGATGTCATTCAGCTGTGAGTGCGTCTGTGGTAAAGCGCATTTGTACTTGAGCTGCGAGTCTCAGGCTTTTCACACCGAATAACAGCACAGAATAAACACCAGGCAGATTGAAAAGGGTGATCTCAAATGGATTTGTTTGAGGATTTTGTATAAAAGGGACAGGCACAAATGATAGACCCGAGGAAGAATAGGTATGCTGCAATGACTGATTATGACCAGTAAAAAATGAAATACATGGCCAAATAGATAGCATCTAAGGCTGCACGATGGATCAATAAAAACATTGTTCTCACACTAAAAGAAAGTGAAATATTGATAAAGGTAAATATGTACTTTATGTATCTTTATTTCCTCTGCATTTGACTCATCCTGATCCCACTGAGCCTTTCGTCAGGAGCAGTGGAACCATCTCCAGATGTTGACGCTCGGCTTAGTCAGGACTTCTGCAGCTGGAGGATTTTACCTGATGTACATGTCTTTAGTGGGAGGAAACCTAGGCAGACACGGGGATAACATGCAAACTCCACTCAGAAAGACCCTGTTCCGACCGGGATTCAAAAGGGTGCAAAGATGTGCCACAGTTGAATGTAAAAAATCATGTGTAATGTTTCGTGCAGAGTAGACGCTGCTAGAGAAAGCTCTCTGACTCTCTTGGTCGAGTGACTGGAAAGAGCAAAACACAACATGAAAGAAGAAAAAAATTAACAAAAATTATGTCAGCAAAACATTCCAGAATTTGTTATTATTTGCGGATGGAAAATATTGCAATACATATCGCGATCGCAGTTCTTCATGCAGGCAACAGTGGCTCAGTTGGTAGAGCATTGGCCTTTGAGCCTGAGAAGGTCGTGGGTTTGAGCCCACCACGAGACCTCCTTTACCGACTCCACTGATGTCTGCTGTCGTTGTGTCCTTGGGCAAGACACATAACCCACTTTGCCTATAAGGAGCGCGGAAGTAATGTTGTTGCTTGCCTTGATGTGTGTGTATGCATTAAACTGAAATTTCCCCATTCTTCTTAACACCATTCTCATTCAGTATGACGTCCACAATAATAATCTCTACTAATGAACAATAGAAAAAAAAAAAAATAGTGCTGATGTCCCAGTATTTACATTTATACCATATGGACTTAACTGGAAAATAGGAATACTTTACAGATAAAATATTGTAATTATTCTCCTTTCAGATTTTAATGAAACACTTCAACCCACGAACGAGGTTTTTGTGTGAATTTTTCTCTAAAGATTGCAATAGTTTCAGCGGAACAGAATCTAGATTGCAAAGAAAGCAAAGCTCCAGCAAAGAAAGCGGAGGAGAAAAAAAGCCAAGGAATAGTGCTGCGGAGATGAATAGACCCTGAGCAGAGAACAAGGTTGATCTGATCTAAGGTTTTGCAGACACCAGAGAAGTGTGTGAGTAAAGAGAGAGAGAAAGAAGCAGACTCAAGCTGTAAAGTTGCGACTGTGGCTGACGTAGTTTCGCATGAACTTTGCCAGGCACTGTTCCAACGCATACTATTGTTTTCAAGTATCAATCGACACAAGTTTTGCCCTCGCTGTTATATTAATACAGTAATAGATTTAATTGCATTCGTTTAATTGCAGGTACTTCTCACAAAAGGCTAAATAATTGTCATTTCTATCAGAGATGGCTCACCTGAAGCACACTACTTTTTGAGATATTTTTTTTGAACATTCCACAGAGACACAATAAGCAATAATAAACAATCTTCTGTCCCTCTGGTTGAATCTGATGCAGTGTCTCTGAAGCTGCTTTTCATTCACCATCCACTGTGTCTTTGTTCTTGTAGCTGTTAATGGGAGTTTCAGTCTGAAATTCAAGGGGTATAAAGTGATGGTGTAATTATCTGTCTCACGACACCGGTAAGCGACAGTTGTGGTTTGTATGATTGCTTATTTAGTATGTTCTCGCACGCAGGATAAACCTACCAATAAATATAGTATTTCACATTATTATATGACTTGGATCGTACGCGCGCTCTGATTGGCTGATTTGCGGTCTGATGTTTTCCCATCTCGGACCGTTACCATGACAATTGGTCCGCAGCGCGTATCAGATTTGATATCTTTCCTTGGTAAAAAGAAATACCAAAATACCGTGTATTCCATTATCCGGACGAGTTGGAAGAGTCAGAGGAAGTAATGACGGCAAATAACGACGAAAACACAACTCCCAACAGTCAAGAAGAGATTGACAACTTCATTACAGATCAGAACATGAACGGACATGAACATACTTCACAAATATCTAAAAAGCATTGGTAAAGACACAGAAGAGACTGAGAACTTACCAGCGGCGCCTCAATCATCTGATAAGTTGCATGTGTTTTTGCTAATTGAAACACAAATGCACAAATCTCGCCACGGCTCGGTCTGTACAAAAAGGCACCGGTCTGATATTTCTTTGTACAGACCTCGCGCTCGGTTAATAAGCCGTTAATTGTGCATTAATCTGTTTCCTGCAGGTGCTCCCAACATCTACACACTGAAACAGACATGACCAAAGTTAGGCCCGTGTGCTAAATGCGCCCCTTTATGTCATTTTATGTGGCCCTCTGTCTTGCTAGCCCAATGAAGTCTTTAAGCAAAAACATAAATTTCACAGTGTCACCCAGCCAACTTCTGCTCTGCCGATAAAGGCATGCTGTACCTTGTGGTTATCAGTGTGTGATTCTAGAACTTCTAGAATCCAGTTGTTGACTTTATTCTAATATACAGACAATTTTTAATCTCCTCTCACAATTCCATTTATGGTGCTTGCTGTGGTGAGAAAGTTAAAGGAGCATTACGTAAAAATCTGGCCAAAAGTGGTACTGCAGCCTCTCCCACTCTCTCTGACTCAGGTTGCCAGATATACAGACGAATACAGCTGGGACCATAACAGCTGAATAGACAAGAGTTTAGTCAACAACAAATCTATAACCAACACCTTTTTCACAAAGATTGAAATCCTGGGTTTATTCCTTGTTTTGTTGTTAATGGTTTGAGAATCATAATGAGACCATTTTTTAGTTCTGCGGCCACATGGTACTTTACCAGTGAGATTAGCTCAACAGGGTGAGTTCTGGCGCCCAGATCACAGACTTTCTGATGGAGGGCGGGACATTGAAATGAAAACAATAACAAGATTTAGGGGCTGTAAAACTAATTTAGAAATCCAAATATCTCTGAACTACAGTTATCAGTTAAAGAAGTATTGGAAAAGAGCATGTTTTATTAATGCCTTTCGACAGATTAGGGCCCTTTAATGATGACTTGACATGAAATTTGTACATATCGCTACTTTATCACTACAGTAACCTTCAGTTCTGTCAAAGCTAAATCATTTCTTGAAAGTAACATTTTAAAACTCCAGGAGAGCCCAAATCCTGTTTTTAAATTCTTGTTTGTCGCTCCCAAGAGAAGACTATATTTGTGCACTAGAACTACGGCAACCAGTACCTCATTATTAAAGGGTTTTTTTCTCCCCTCTATAGTACTTTTACCAGTGAACCAATAAAATAACCAGTACAGCTATCAACAAATTAGGAATATTGTGGAAAATGCTTTTATCCACCATGAGTAGAGAAGCCAAAACGCGTTAGCTGCTACTATACCGAGCTCCTGAAGAAAGATTGTTAGAAGTTATTTGTTATTCACAGAGTGTACTACACATAGAAAGGTTGAGGCAACTTTTGGTTAAGCTGCCTGTTTACATTTAGCTTGCCGCCTTTATGAATATTCCAGTCATGTTCCTTCTACACACATGTTCTGCTGTCTGTGTGGGGTGTGATGACGTCATTGGTAAACTATGCTATTGTATACAAATCTACAATGATACATCTTCCTACACCGGGGCCACAAACCACAGCATTGTTAATCCTTAATGCCACTTGAGTATGCATCTATAAATAGCTGTTGGATGCTTGGATACTGAATCTTTTGTATCGGACCCCTACTGTTGTGAGCGTATGGATTTCTGCTTACCCAGCTGCATGGAGGTGCGCTGGTTAACCGTGTGCTGGCCGGAGCGGAGGCAGTTCTTGAGTTGGGCGGCTGCACTTTGAGGCGATGAGGCAGGACTGTGGTTGACAGAGTTTATGAGAGGTGTGGACGGTCGGGACGAGGAAGGACCCGGAGACGACGGGTCGGGCACTTTACTGCTGCTGCTGCCCCCCACTGGACTGGACAGACAGCTACGAGACGAACCCACTCCAAACGGGGCCCTAGACAGAAGAGGTGATAGGGTTGAGTGATACATGACACACTAGAGTCTTCATTCAATCTTGTTTATAAAAATAACAATAGAAACTCGCTCATCTCAGATTCTCTTTTCTGATTGGATGATGCTTACATTGCAAACCTACTACAAACCGACTGTTGAGGTAAGATTGTCTGTCTGCAACAACATTGTAGAGGTGTGAGCTGTCAAAAAGCTCTACCAGATGCCAATTGCACACACCAATACTTGATGTCTGGCCATTAAGTATTTTATTTATTATTTTGTGGTCCCAGTAGTTCCTATTCACTCCCCCTTACAGGAGATGATGGGCGCCAAACATACTGACACGTCAAAGCCCGGACCATCACCATCCACACACTCTGACCTATCGTACATGTTTTTTTTAGAAATAGGAGAAACTGGAGCACCAGGAGGAAACCCACGCACAAATGGGATGAACATGGAAACTCCACGCGGAAAGACTCCGTCTGAAGATTGACGTTTATCAACATTTGTGGACATTGTTCATCTGCTCATTATGGACCAATGGCTCTATGTGTTTTTATCAGTGCATTTCTTGAGTTTGAACAGTTTGATTCTCTGATCAGTGTTGGCGAATTCAATGGTCTTCCGAGAAAACTACTGTTGTGATTTAGGCCTATACAAGAATACATTGAATTGAAGGTAGATTCTTGCTTTGAAGCTAAAACCCTGTGTCACCGTGCCTATGAGCTTGAGAACCAAAACTTTATTTTTTGTGTATCGATATAAATCTAATCCAAAGTGTTATGCGCCAAATTTTCACACCCAAAAACGATAATAAATCCATACAACTAGCATGGTTCTATCACTAGTTTTCACATCTATGTATTTTGGCCTCTCCCTTCAGCAAATCACCTGCATTGCAAAATAAATCACGTTTTCTAGTAGGATGAAGACAGATGCTGTGGTCTGATTGACATTTTCCATTTACAAAACTCATTAAATTGGGACATCGGTATCATCCATCCATCCATCCATTCATGCATTTTTTTCCCTTTGATCCATTTCTGGGTCGAGGGGCAGTCAGAGCTGCACCTAGTACACATAGCACCAGCCCCTCACTGATCCTCATGCAAGTACTGAGTCCACAGGAGCTGAAGTGTCTTGCCCAAGGACACAACGACAGCAGTCATCAGTGGGAGTCGTGAAGTAGGTCTTATGATGGGCTCGAACCCATGACCTTCAGGCTCAAAGGCCAAGGCTCTACCAATGGAGCCACTGTCGCATAGTTTTCCTAATTTACTCAGTGATTTTGTTTTAGATTGCTATACAAGATGAATGATAGGTGCAATCTTTACCATTTCCAGCACTAACGTCTACAAACGGGCCTTGAGTCTCTCCTGCAGCCGCTTCCTGCTCACCTCACTTACTCTTCATGTCAGAGTGAACAAGTCCTGTGATGGTATCTCGTGTCCTGCTGTAACATACGTGAAGCAGCCGCGCTCGCGTTTCTGCCGCAGAGCGCACAAACCCAGCGCCGCGTTATTGACTCGGTGGTATTCACAGTCTCATGGCTTCCTATCGACTTCCCATCACGCACACGGCGAGTTATGGCCCACAATGTGAGCAGGAGCATCAACCAACAAGACCATGTTCATTCACTTGTTCTGCCCGTACAAGTAATTGGAAAACTAATAGGAAACTTGAGTTGGATCAATTTTAAGTAGTTCTAAAGAAGCAGACAAATGCAGATTTGAGATGCTGGGTTGGAATTGTTTGTCTTGGTTCAGATATTTTCACATTTATAAGGCAATAAGCAGCAGAGTTTTAGAAAAGGCATGTTGTGCAAGAGAAAGAAAACATTGTACTTTTAACCTTGTGGATGATGAAGACGCATTGAGGCGTTGGAGTACATTCATCATTTCTAAAAGTATTAGCATAGAGCACGCAATTATCACATGTTTCACAGCACGGACAGAATCACAGCTGAGTGTGAAAACCCAAAATGAATTGATATTTTTAACACAAAAGTGAGAAAAGAGATTCAATCATAGAGAGCGTAGAACATTATGTACCGTACTTCTACACAGAAATAATTTATCCTTAAAGCATTAAGATAAACAGGAGTCAATATTATTACACAAAGAATTTAAACAAAACATAATAAGTAATTTATAAAAATTATTCATCAGTCTATACTACTCAGATGTTGTCGTTTTTTTTTTGGTCCAGTTTAGGTTAAATGTATGAAAAACGTATACTCAAACTGTACTCATTTTGTCAAAAATTAACAGATACCTCCCATTTGTAAAAATATACTAAACAGATACAAGAATACTTCCATAAACACAAAAGATACTAGATTTCTTTGTATCCATGCATGAATTTCATAGTTTAATTTCTGTATTAATTAAGACAATGTACAGTTACATTATGAATCCGGCCCCTCAAAAAATGTGGTTCCCGAAATAAAATAATTGCCCACACCTGGGAGACAATATGAGAAAGTAGTCAAAGAAGAAAAGAGAAGGACACAAAATGACATTGGCGAAAGCATACGAAAGAAAGGACATAAAAGTTGGCAAAATAAAGATGGAAAAACAAGACGTAAAGGAGAAACATTGGAAGGAGTTGTAAGGGAAGAAGGAGGAGTGAGACATGGGCAGAGGAGAGCAGGCCTTTTATTTGATTAGCTGCCCATCCGTTTGTCTCCGTCTGTCTCTGAGGCAGGTTGCATAACGCCAGAATGTGAAGGAGCCATTGATATCCTTCGGCGGGGGACACCTGCTGTTTTCAAGTTTCATCATCTCCATTCATTTTCACTTTCTCTCTCCTCTCAATCCCAACCATCACTTCATTTTCCCGCAACAAATTCTACCTTTTTTAAATTCCCGAGGCAGCCGCCCATCCAGCCTCATTAACCCCCACCATCTCTAGCTGTCTCTGCATCATCCTATTATATTTAATATCTTTTTACTTTCTCCTCCCTATCCATTTTTTGCACCTCGCACCAGCGGAATACAGATGAGGTGAGCAAGCTGTGCAAATGTTTTTACCCATGCAGCAATAATGACGGTAATTAAATTGCCAAATACCGTCCCACACAGCTTTTTGAGTTTGAATGGTTTGCAAAAGTAGCTTGTAAAAATCATGATTGTGGCATTAAGGTACAGTAATTCATTCAAGAATATATTGTGTTAGACCAGGCATAACATTGCAGCAGGTGGCTCAATATACTGAAACATCCATCCATCCATCCATTTTCTACCCTTTAATCCATTTCTGGGTCAGGGGGGTGGCAGTCAGAGATGCCACCCAAGTCTCATAGCACCAGCCCCTCACTGACCCTCTGCAGGTGGTGAGTCCACAGGAGGACGGCTGCTCTCTGAGTGTGAGCATAGCCTTGATCTTTCAGTGGGGGCTTTGGGCAAAGTGGGGTTAAGTGTGTTGCCCAAGGACACAACGACAGCAGTCATCAGCGGGAGTCGGTGGAGAAGGTGTAGAGGTGGGAATTGAACCCACGACCTTCAGGCCTTAAGGCCAATGCTCTACCAACTGAGCTACTGTCGCCCTACTATACTGAAACAACAACACCAAATCTGTTATTATGAGCTTTAGTCGCCACATGCGATATGCTCCAGGCTTCTAAAACGAGCACCTATTCGTTTTCTGCCACGCAACCTCCTTCTGTATCGCATACGGTACAGCAGGCGTTGGAAAAAAACAAAAGCAGTCACACATGTTCATCAGAAGATCACAACAATCTCCAGGTCACAGCTAGCCTGGTCGTACCACACCATAGTACAAATTACATTTGGTACTAAGGTCTGGATTTGCTCCAATAAGCATCGTTCACAGGTGGGAGGGGTTAACTCCTTTTGCAGATTGAAACGATTGGATCTGAGTTTACCGTCACGTATTTAATGCGCCCGAGTGAGTTGTTAGCATTTAGCATTTAGCCGGTCGGCACTAGATCATATACGGCAGGGGTGCTCACACTTTTTCAGCATGCGAGCTACTTATAAAAGGATCAAGTCAAAATGATCTACCTACTACAAAAATGCAAATCATATATTTATTTCAAAAAATATTCTGTATACCTACAATGTATGTTTATGTACATGCAAAACTGCATGAGCCAATATAGCACAACACAACACAATTACCTATGTACATTTTTTGTCATTACCCGAGTTTACTCTGATGACTTGCACTGAATTGAATCGGCCAGGGAGGCATAGTCCGGAAAATTGGTGGTAACTCGCTGACAAGTTTGTCGTTGTTGAGCTTTCCTGCACTGAGCGCGGTTGTTTGCGCATGTGCAGTCACCTAAGTGTCAGTAAAACATTACTGAGTAAAACACAGATGTCATTTGACTGTGGTGCCATGTCCATGTGCCATGCCTATTTTTTTTAAATCCAAATATTTCCCCTCCTCAGTTTATAAAATAATTTGCATCCACACATCTGCGTTATCAATCACGTTCGTAACATTCCAAACATGTGCGTGTCTTACTTCCTGTCCTGCGTTGGGGAAAAACACAGAAGTGGGCGGAGCTTTGATGCAGACGCCGGTAACGGCACTTTTACAGTCATAGAAGACACTCAGAGTAAAGACGTATGTTTACAAGCACTGACCCCGTCCTCAGCCCTGGTTTAGTCCCGTTTTAGTCCTGGTTTAGTCCTGGTTTGGTTGTTTTCGAGCGTGAGTCCGATCACTTTGCTGCTCTCTGATGTGGAGGATGTTCGCTGCTGCGAGCATCTCACAGCGGACAATTTTTAAGGTAGTATGATCCATGCTTGAGTGATCAGAGGAATTTAGGGGGGTACTGTGGCGTGCGAGAACGCAAAACTCCGGTTATCTCTGTCTACACACAAATGCATTAACGGAGTTTTCAAAAATCTCCACTTTGCCCGGAGTTTTTTGTATATATTTGTTTAGAATGTGTAATTTTTTCATTTATTTAATGCGATCTACCAATACTACCTTTGCGATCGACTGGTAGATCGCGATCGACGTATT